GAGAGAGAGAGAGAGAGAAGGGGAAAAAAAGAAAAGGAAAGGAAAGAAAACGAAATCAAAAGGAGATTAAAATTCCCCTGCACGAGGTATCTGCCTTCTATTATAACCTTATATCTTGTTTCTTTCTTTCGTTCTCGTTTCTTTTTCCCTTCCCTGTCCCCGGGGCGTGTGTTCTCTATAACCATACCTACTCTTTCATCTAATGAGGTCCTCGTCTTTCACCCCCAGCACCACGTTCTCGATTCCCACCAGAGAGGTCCTTCGCTCCCTCCCCCTCTTTTAAATGTCTTTCGATCGAGTTCTCCCCAAGCCCGCTGCTTTGCACTATGACTCCCCTCAAGTTACTCTTCCCAGGCCGACCAGTAACCTCCTCGAGCACAAGATCATGAATGATAACGTCTCTAAGGTGTCCATGCTGGACCGCCATCTGGAGGGGGTTCCGGTGGGGAGTTCATGTCGATATGCAGCCGATGGATTGCCTCAAGTCCATCTCTCTTCCTTGAACCGGGCCAAAATTGCTCTGAACAAGATAGCCTCCAATGCTCCCATCGAGCCGCCAAAGCCCGCGGCTCCTTTGGCAGCAAAGAGCATCCCGTTCCGAGAACGGTCCTCGGTATCAGAACGCTCCTCATCCTCAAGTCCTGTCAAGTCAGCTGCTTCTAGGGAGTCCGTGACACAATTTTGTTTGTGTCAGCCAGACCCGAAAATTCCAAGACCTCGGAATGGTATGCTTGCAGCCCTCTCTCTTTTACAGCATTCGTCGCAAGACATAACTCCCAGAACTAATAGCATTGCCCCAGCTTTCATCCTGTATCGTCAGCACTATCAAGCGGCGGTGGTCGCGCAGAATCCGGGTCTTGCTAACCCCGATATATCAAAAATTATCGGCGAGCAATGGAGACGGCTTCCTCAAGAGACAAAGGATGAATGGAAAGCCTTAGCAGAGGTAAGGAAACTGAAAGACGGTCCTGATCACGGAGCTCTATGTGATGCTAATTCCATCATAGGAAGAGAAGGCTCGGCATCAGCAGCAGTATCCTGAGTATCGGTATCAGCCTCGGCGTTATGGCAGGGACGGAAACCCCCGGGGTTCGAGTTCTGGCATCAGCCATAACCCTCCGGGCTCTACTGTTTGTAGTCGGTGTGGGGGACGTGTGATGAATCCACCAGTATCACCTGAGGCCCCTTTCAATCCGAATGGCTCTTCCCATGGGAATGGAGCCTCATTACAGCACGAAACAATCACAGGACGCAGTTATCCGTGCCGGGCTAAAGACTCGGGCCGACCCTCGAACCCTATCAAGATGGGGAGCAATGGGGAGTCTCTCCCGCCACGCAACGCCGATGGGAAGAGACTGTGAATGGGTCCCCAGACTCAAAGCGTCGCCGGATCAGCACACAGCTACCAAGCAAAGCAAGTATTCACCGAGACAGAAGCCCAGATGGCTCATACCCAATATCATCATATACAACTCGCCCAGAGGCGCCGGGCTCCCGTGGATCATTCCACATGTTGCAGCCTCCACGGCCGTACCGGAGTGTTCAGGAGTACCCCCAACCCGACCCCAGTCTGAAGCTCCCACCGCTACAGACAACTGCACCTGTCTCCAGCTCTGCGACTCCAGTGACTCAATATGGTCAGGAAGGCTCCAGTTTGGAGGCTACAGTGATGACTATCCCATTCCTTAACAAGATCAAGGTACTCGCTAAGATCTCGCCACCGCTCCTCCCTTCTTTTCGTGATGGAGCCTCACGAAGACGAGGAGCTGTGATATCAGTTGACGGCCAAGATCCTGTCGCTGTGAAGTCAGTAATTGACTTTCTGAACAACACTTTAGAGAAAGAAGGAAAATACCACACTCACATTTTTGAAGGACCCGATATCCGTCTACGAGAAGGTTACTCTGAGTCTGGCCAGATGGGTGATGCTACTGTTGATTATCTGAACACTATCTCAGCCTGGCACCGCATTTCAGATGAAATCGTGGGCTTCGTCAAGCCCTTGTATGGGTCGTTGGAACCGAAATCTGTGGATGACGACAACTCAACACCAGGAGCGTCGCCCAAAGGCTCTATTTCTAAAGGAGCCGAAATACATATCAGTTCACCTGCACAGTCGAGTGAGAATGGATCTGTATCGTATTCATCGTCCTCAGGATCAGCACCCTCTACTGTACCTGTGGCCCTGGTTCCTAGGTACCAGCTTACCACAGCCGACGCCTTCGCTTGCTCCGTGCCTATCGGAGACTCTTACGCGCCACTGGATCATTGGCAGTGGATGGCATCTCTCTGGCGTGCCTGTGTAGGCCCAGATATCACAGTGTATGTTCGGGAATGTGAGAAAGACGAATTAGATCGATTTGGGGGGAACCCCGTTGAAGTTCGCTTGCATGATGCGCGAACTATAGTGGTACGGAGGGCAGCTGGTTCTCCGAGGGAACTAGAAGAGAAGACTTTGAAACGCGTGGGATTTGAAATTGAGGACTACCTCACCCAATGACTCTCTTACTGATCTTCTCTCTGTCTCTATCTTGGTCTCCCGTTGTCTTTATATATTTCTTTTCTTCTTTTTCTTCCTTCTTTGCATTTGCGAAATGGGACGTGGTGAGGCTTTTTTCTGTTGCAGATTTCTCATACAGCAGCGGAGTATAGTGGAAGCCGCGCGTCCGGGTGGCTTTCTAACAATGCTGTTAATTCGCTTTGAACTATGAAAATGGCGTACATATATGATTGGGGTTCACGGTTGGACAAATTTCCATTTCCTATGACCAATATTGTTTGTTAAACCAGCAGCTGCTACTAGGACTGGACATGCCTTCATTATAAAATACTATAGCGCTTTTAATACTAATAGAATGAACTTTCCCCTCCAGTACTCTTTCAAGTTTCCACAACTTAGTATTGCTATTGACCTGTCCCAGGCATCCATGGAATGATACCTCCAAATACTACTTAGTACTAGTATAACCCTAAGCGGTAAGCTCAAGGCGGTCAAAGATCCGAGCCAATCAGAAGTGTTGGACCCCCCAGGAAGCCATCTCATCTTATCGCTCACCTGCTGTCCACTACTACATACAGGACATGTTGCGACGCCAACAACTTCAAGCCGTTTGGACAGTCTATCTTATGGAAAGAGTATAGGAGTGCATGTCTGTCTATGGTACAAGACTAAATGGGCTTTCAAATAAGACGACCACAATTTTTTGGGACATTCCTCAGAGGCCTATATCAGCACTGAGAGGTAGTGAATGTCTAGATACTGAAAGATGACACTATACATGTCATCTCTATGATGATTGTTGGTTATATAATGCTGCGATAACATTATCTATATCACATTGCCATGTGAACGACCAAGTTACACGACGTATATCTTTCTTTGAGATTAGCTCTATTCATTTCAAAGCCTGGTATTAGTGGAATTCCTTCCATTCCCCATTCCGGAGACGCATCGCACTTTGGACAATGAGTTTGCCAGGCGCTCAGATATCGCAGGCGCAAGAAACGTCTTGTGTAATAACACAGGATAATAATTTCCGGATCCACAATCGTCATCCTTCTGTCCCTGAGCCAACAGGCAGCACAGCTACATATATACCGGCTGCCATGACCCCAGTGTTAGAAAATGAAAACCCACAAATATCAACAAAGGAATGCTCATCAAGTGATACATATGGACCGGTTGAAAATCACAATGCATACATTCCAGTGGGTATTCTAAAGAAGTACATCGCGCAAGATACCGATGCTTTATCGACACAATGTGATGACTTCCCCCATTCAGAAATTTCTAACTTGGAAAAACATCACTGGATCTGGACTAGCACCTATACGTATCAGAAAGACCATCGCTGGAATTATATTCGTGTGTATGTCTTACCTGATGATGTAGGTCGCAAGATTATCCCTCGCTCGAGTACGCATTTGAGGCGTGCACTTAAGATCATTATGGCGAAGATTGACCGGTCGCCTGCAGCATGGTCTGGGTGCTCTTCTCTAGACAATATGACCAGTAGTAGCACCCAAAACTCGAACGAGGATGAGTCACTGTGGTACATCTTCAATACTTTGCAAAACCCTGTGCCCAATCCGAACTCGATGAGAGACCAGTACACCAAGAAAGCCATGCAACAACTGCTTTCGGTAACACCAAGAAGGGATGATGATGGCCTTGATGACTTCGGCGACGGTGCAAAGCTACTTAGAGAATATTCTCGTGTTCCGTACTTGCGAACGGCCCTATACCCATATCAGCGCCGTTCAGCTGCTGCCATGATTCAGCGGGAGGCGCAGCCAGCACCCATGCTTGATCCTCGGCTCAAGCCTTATGCAACTCCTACAGGCCAGGAATACTACTACGACAAAGAGGAAGGTAATATCATTCAAGAAAAGAGAATGTATTCAGAGCCTCGTGGCGGTATGTTGTTCTGAGTAATTCATCTGCTGATCTGCTGACTTTTAGAAGGTATTCTTGCTGAGACTATGGGTTGCGGGAAGACTCTTATATGCATAGCTGTCATATTGGCAACTCAAGGCCACTTTCCTCAAGTTCCTCTAGAGTATCAGGACGTGGAGCTCCTGGTTCGGCCACAAACTGGAAGTCTTCTTGATATGGCAGCCGCAACTGCAGGCCGACTATCCTTGCCTTGGAAGAGCCATTTCGATCTTATGAGACGTACCGGCGCCTTTTTTGGTAGATGTATTAAAGTATGTAAGGAGTATCGCGGAGCATATACTATACCCCCACCACCAGCAAGATATGGAAGCCGGGCTGGTGTGGCTTATCCGAGGCCACCTCGTCGGCAGATTCTTCTCTGTTCAGCTACTTTGGTAGTTGTACCACCTAACCTTGTAAACCACTGGAAAGATGAGATAGCCAAACATGCTGAAGGAGTCAACGTTCTCGTGATCCAGGACAGCTCAGATCCGGTACCACCACCAGACCAACTTTTGGAATTTGATATTGTCTTGTTTTCAAAAGTTCGTTTTGAAAAAGAGGCAGGTACAGCAATCAACAATAGACGAAGTTCAACCACCCCAGACTCATCACCGCTGACGAAACTCCATTGGCTTCGGATCATTGTCGATGAAGGGCATAATGTAGCTGGCCATGGCCATCGAACAAACATGGTTCACATCTTGGACCAGCTTCACGTCGAGCGTCGGTGGATAGTATCTGGAACGCCGTCTAGTGGGTTATATGGAGTTGAGGTCAGCTTAGCTTCGCATGAGACCAATGCCACTAGTGACTCAGACCTGACAGAGGCTACAGCGGCTGTACTTCATGGAAAAGAGAAGACCACTGTTATTGACAGTGAGCTCAAAGATCTCGATGAAATTCGACGTATTGTTGTCGGGTTCTTAGATTTGAAACCATGGTCAAATTCTCAAGCCAATGACCCAGCTAACTGGACCAAATACATGAAACCTATCGGAGAGGATGGAAAGCGCCGGAAGGCACAGTCGCTCCGTGCGACCTTACAAAGTCTTGTCGTGCGGCACCGCATGGAGGTTATCTATAACGAGGTTCCTCTTCCAAGGTTGTACAACAGGGTTGTGCGTCTCGAGCCGACGTTCTATGACAAGTTAAATCTCAACTTGTTCATTTTCATACTGGCCGTCAACGCGATCACTTCCGAACGCAAGGACCAGGATTATATGTTCCATCCACGTAACAGAAAGCATCTGAGTCTGGTGATTAATAACCTGCGACAGGCTGGATTTTGGTGGGCTGGTTCCGATGGTGACATCCAAGGAACGATCGATGTTGCCTCGAACTACATGGAAGCAAACAGAGAGAGAATGGCTCGAAATGACATGGATATGCTCACAGAGGGCATTCAAATAGCTCAGAAAGCGATCACCTGCCAGGGTTGGAACGCTTTCAAACAATTCCATGAATTGGGAGTGTTTATCCAAGATTTTCCTTCCCATGCTCGGAGCATGTGGGCACTCTCACCATCGCGATCCGATGTTGAGCCCCTTCTGTTGGGTATCTCACAAGCTCACAAAGCCCAGAATTTTGTTACCGCACGCCTCAATGAGATATATCCGGAAGAAGGTCTTGCTGGAGCGGGTATAAAGGCTAGGCGTATGCTATCCAGCCGACAAGGACACCCGGATTCCGTGACAACTAAAAAAACCACGCCTAATAAGCTGAGTACTAGTAGTTGTACTGTCAAAACCTTACCACCATCATCTCCTCTTGCACAGACAAAATTGATTGCAACGACATCTGCAAAACTGACCTATTTGTTGGACCGAGTCTTAGAGCTTCATACAGAAGAGAAGATCATCATATTCTACGATAACAATAACTCTGCATTCTGGATCGCAGAAGGGCTTGAGCTGCTTGGTGTTGATTTCCGTATTTACGCGAGCACATTGAAACCTAAAGTTCGAGCGGCTTACTTGGAACTATTTCGAGAACAGGAGGACGTCCGGGTTCTCCTAATGGATCTGCATCAAGCATCTCATGGTTTACACATTGCGAATGCTTCGCGCGTATTCATTGTCAACCCCATCTGGCAACCGAACGTGGAAAGCCAGGCGATAAAACGAGCACACCGCATTGGCCAGACTCGACCAGTTTTCGTAGAGACTCTCGTTCTCAAAGACACCTTGGAAGGCAAGATGTTGGACCGCAGAAAAACCATGTCAGAGAAGGAAATGCAACAAGCGGAAAGAGACCTGCTCGATGATAGCACTATGAGCTCTATTATCCAGAATGAGCACTTCCTCCACATGGTAGATGACGAAGACCTCACCGGCCCAGCGTACTTGAAGCAACCGCCCGGTTTCTTCGACCGCCACGGACTCCCAATTCCCGAAGCAAACGAGCCCCCTTCTCCTGCCAAGAAAGCCCCCCGAAGCCGCAAGCGGGGATCCGTACCTATTGACATGAACATGGACACCACGGGAGACTCAGATGTGGGGGCACTTAAACGGAGGAGATCGGATGGCACTGGGTTGCACTCTGGTGGTATTTCTGAGACACTTCCGTCATTGATAAACTCCAGCGACGGCACTGACGAGAGCACCAACAACCATGGATCTATTTTCAACTGACTGCGTGGGGCGATGCCTCTGAGAACTATATGATATGATATACTCTATACATACAGCATGACTTGTCAGGATGGGCACTGGACAGGAATGATTTGATTTAATGTACGGAGGACTGTTAGAGGAGAAGTGATGCTAAATTATGAAATTGTGCCAACATCTACGCTCCCAAGTAAACCAAGTAAACAAATATCCAAAACCCATTAGACGTGCAAATCTCTATCATAGAATTAGCTACTAATACCAAATCCCAAAACATACTCCGTAAACCCGCATTCCTCCAGAAATAGCTACACAGTAGCGCTAACCAAATCCGGCAACCAAGCACCTGTGCCCAAGAACATACTAGGACTTACGCCTGAAAACCAAGGCATCGACAAGAATCAAGATAACCAAACCAAATACCACGCTAAGAAATGGTATCATGTATAAAGACCCACACTGCCTATAAATCCTCCCCCCACCTTCTATCAATACCACATCAGAGTTGAAGTCACGGTTCCCTTCCCGGAACGGTTCCATTGGGGTCCGTCAATCTACACACAAGCGCTTTCGTTCAGCGGACCTCCTCGCCGTTTCCTGACCTGAGAGAAAGAGGAAGATGAAGAGAGAGAGCGAGAGAGAGCGAGAAAGCGTCACCACAATGACGTCCCAAACCGCTGTAATCGGGATCTCAGGACCCTCATCTAGCGGTAAAACGACCCTAGCTCGACTACTACAGAGAATATTCTCTAAAGCGGACGAGAGTCTTTTCACGTTCATTGTCCATGAGGATGATTTTTATTTCCCCGATGATCGGTATGTACATGCATACCCTGCATATCTGCGAGAAACTCTAGATTGATTTTTTTTTTCTTCTTCATTATCTGTAATTTGTTTCTTGAAAATAAAATAAAAAGTTGAGACAGAATAAGAGAGAGCGGAGTTGTTAACACCAAGTCCCAGAATTCCATACACAACGACCGCATCCGGGAAAACAGTCCAAGACTGGGATACAATCGACGCAATCGATGTTAAATTCCTATCTTCGGCTCTGTCTTACGTCCGTGGTCATGGCCATCTCCCACCCCGTTTGAAGAGTATTCAGGATCTCAATGAGAAGTCAGACTCGGGCGTTGCTGAGGGGACGATTCTTCAGTTGCAGAAGGAAGTGGGGCTTCGACTTCGTTCGCTTTTTCGGCAGCAACCTGGTTCCGGAAATGAAGGCACTATAGTTCCGGTTAAGAGTACGATTGCTTTTCTGGAGGGGTTTCTGTTGTACAGTCCTCCCGAATCTGAGGATAAGGACCATGTTCTTCGACCCGTGCATGAGAATATTGATGTGCATCTGTTTTTGCCCGCACCATATGATATGGTGAAGTCGCGACGTGAGAGTCGGAGTGGGTATGTGACGAGTGGACCTGCACCGGAACCCACTTCATTACCACAAAGAAGTTCAGTATCCGATGAAGTGGACTTGGAGGGCGAAGATGATCGGCCGCCGCAGAACTTCTGGACGGATCCACCAGGCTATGTGGACGATATCGTGTGGCCGCGGTATGTGCAGGATCATGCATGGTTAATCCTGCCTGAAGGGGACTCACAGAAGAGTAACAATCTGAGTAAAGACTCTCAAGAGTTGATCAACAAAGTGGGACAAGGAGTGAACCTGAGAACAGATGCTGGTGTCATTGTAGCCCCTGGACAGGGCACCAAGCCTATGGTAGATATTCTAGAGTGGGCGGTTGAGGAGGTATTGAAGTACTTGGAGGCCACTCACGGCGATAGTAACTGAGTTATCTTGGGAGAAGACAAATAGAAGAAGGATGAATCATTTCACGCATATATGAATTATGATGTATGTGATCCGTAGAGGTACAAGCGTCCCATTCCATTCATTGTCATTTTTGATCCGGAGCGTAACCGATAACGACTCCCCCATGGACCGACCTGCTCATGCCATGCGATTAATAGGCCCTTTCCAACCTAGTAAATAATCGATTTGGTCCCTCAAGGAAAAGCTTTTACCTGACCCCACGCCTGGTGCGGGTGCGTTAGGTGTCTGTTCTTCCGCTCGTACTTGCTCTTCAACTTCCTTGACGTCTTTCTCGAAATCAATGGCTTCCTTCTGATTCAAAGGTACTTTATTACTGGTGTTATTGTTATCGAATAGCGATGGGTGGTCAATGCTGTCCGGGGTTTGGTTGAAAAGCCTCTCAGTAAAGTTGTTATACTTAGAGCTCGGCTCCCCGCAGCCCGGAATCTGCCCGTCCACTCTCGACTTATCAAGCAAACCAGCGTTTGCCCCATTATCCGGTCCCCAGGGGCGACGGAAGGCTCTAGAATATGCATGGCTAAGTAGAAGACATCCTAGCATGCCACAGACCGTAAACGCAACACCAAGAGTGAGAACAAACAAGGTTTTCCGAGACGCTATCCAGGTAGCCAGAGGGGCATTGATTGGCGTCCATACGGCTCTGAACAGCCTTGACATAGCTTTTATTACTGGGCTCATATATCGAGATCTGAACGTCTGTTCAGGGTCTTCAGACTGATCACCACCATCCACAGCTTCTGAAATTCCTCCGCTGGTTTCATTATCTCTTTCAAGAGCGGACATGGTACATCGATAACTTTGTTTTCCAGAGGATGCATTGTCATATAGTCTAGTAAATGTAGCGCGAAGTTGACTCCTATCTCGTTCATTAGCATTTGTTGTTGACCCAGGATAGATTCGCGGCAGCCAGTTCCTTGCTGGGAAAGGCATGTTGACTAGCCAACTGATGCAGAACATTTCTAAGTCTCTTGGTGAGCATATGATTTGAAGGTGGGAGACACCGATGGAATATGGACTACTATTGGGTATATAGACCACCTGCAAGCTCGTATCTGGGGGTTGGAGTCTGCATTGGAAAAATCCTTCTGGCCCTCCGTCTAAATCGAGAAAGAAGCAGCACTTCTCAGCCCAGAAGCAGCGTTTATGCAACCTCAGCGAGCATATCGCATGGTATCTCACCGACAAATGTGGCTGTGTGTGCTTGTTATATTCTGATATAGGGCTTAATGAAGGACGTGCTTCAATTTCCTGGTTCACGACGAAATCCTTGAGAATGCCATAATTCCTCTGGTCAAAAGATCGCATTGGTATCACAAGATCCCTCTTGTTCATGAATTCAGCGAACAAGCAATCTTCCACCATCCTAAATCTGCGGAGATATGTGGTGCGAAATTCAACACCGTACTTGTGAGGAATTAGGAAGAGAATGAACCCACTCTCCCCCATCGCCAGCTTGGGCAGACCTGGTATGACTAGATCATACCAATCATTGGGTGTGTCCCCGAGCAGAGCAATCGAGAAGGTGACAACGACCTTATAAATTCCTGCGCGTACATTTTCCGGGTGCTGAACGAAGAGAATATCATCAATCATGTTAAAATCGGGCTCGTTCTCAGAAGATACACGGTGTACGGGTTCGTGGGTATCACTGAGATTGTGTTCGTAATATCCATATGGATTTCGTTCACAATTATTAGAATCTGAGCCTGCTTCTTGCTCGGTATCTAGCGGTGGAGCCGGTCTAGTTGTGGGGTTGTCGCTCAAGTTAGTCTCAAGTTCTCCCACTGACTCTGTACCAGAGATAGGAGGCATTGGTGGGCTACTGGACGCGCTTTCCCGGCCAATGTGGAAAGAAACGAAGTTTGTAAGCACTGTATCGTGGCCATCGATGTTCATGTCTTTGATTTTACAAAGGTTCTTAGTTGCCGAGGTGGTTTCTAGCCTTTCCCCATCTCGTGGCAAACTTGTGTCAGCTGTTATTGTCTTGTGAGGACCATCTGGGCTTTACATACCATGTGCACTGGCAAGGCATAGTTCTGTGTTGGATGCTTTCTTGGATGCCTCTTTCACTCCCACAGCCACCTCTGACAGTAAGACTGGCTTGCTGTAATTCCCTTGAGAAGAACATGATCGCTGCGAGCTTATTTCCCCCATCGTATCATCTCGTTCAGGGTGTGCTGTTTTCTCTAGTACATCTGACCTGTAGCCTCGCATATCGGGATTGTGAATGGCACCATTATAGGGAATTTTTCGGTCTGGTTGGGCATCCTCCAAGTGTGAGTCGACATCTGCCAAGCAAGCATCTGTAGCACTTCTTTTCCCTAGATTCAACATTCTGGTCTGGTCATCGTGTTTTGCAAAGTTAGGACGTAAACCAGGGGAATGTTCACCAGGCAATAAAGATCTCTCCGTGGAACCATCAACTTCATGGTCTGGGTACAGCACGCGAGTTGTGGAGCTCGTTTCGCTATAAGTTTTAGCAAAGGAATGGCCGTTGATGGCGTCTGAGATTGCAGAAAAGCTCATGAAGTCCATACGGGCTTCCTCTCCATTAGAATCGATTGGCTCAAAAAATTCGAACAGAGGGCTTTGAGTGGGACCCTCGCTGGGTTGACTATTCTGACCCCATTCCTCGGATAGAAATTGAATTGAGGCCTTACACAGAAGGATAGTAGGCGACGTGGTGTCTAATATCTGTGTCTGCGCGTTTGGGGTGCCTTGTACCTGTAGATTGACAATTACTAACACACAAACTATATATGAAGTTCGATGTGACGACAGCCTACCTCGAGCGAAATCCTAAGTTCTGCCCGCCCATTGACCTCACCGTCCCACGTGCCTCTGATTTCCAGATTGTGGACATGGGGTGAGTCCTGGAGTTCCGGCTCTAGCTCGGAAGTCGACATGATTTGTGTCCAGCGGGCGGCAGAAGGAGGGCCGCTTAAAGGACGAGTGAGTACATTAGAGACGCAGTTGGGCTTCAAGTATGATAATGAGAGATAATGAGAGGGAAGACGAGATTGTGGAAGTCAAGTGGGGTGGGGGAAAGCGAAAGTATGTGAGCAAGTGAATGAACGAAAAAATCACCTGGCAGTCATGCCCGGTTGCCTAGACAGGAAGGCGTCGGAGTCTCCTTGACTGGCAGATCAGCCAGTTTACAATAACTTAAGCCTTCTTTCTTTCTTTCTTTCATTTTTTTTAGATTAATAATAGTATGGATTCCAGATTCCTATCAAGCCACGCAGGCCGTGAGTTTCATCGCGCTCACTTCACCTCACATCCTGATAGCGTTCAAGCAAAATATGTACAGAGGAAGTCAAAAGCGTCTCCTTATCCTGAAATCAAAGTCAAAAGGCAACAAAGATCGTAATACAAACCATGAGAAGAATGCCCCGCTAATACGGTTTCCCTTTTTTATGTCCCCAAGCGCCTTGTATCTCCCGGAAGCCACCCATTCTGTTCCCATAAAAAAGACAAACACCGATCCGACAGTCTATCCGGAAAGAAAATCCAAGGTACTCGAATCCAAACGTCTCACGCGGCGTACCATCATTCCCAAACAAGCAAACATAAAAATAAACGAGATAACATGAAAACCAGTCCTACCAATACCGTGATGACAAGCATGAAGCCTGTGCCCATTTAGCGGGGTGTTCCATTAGACGAGCCGGGGTGTTCGAAGGCTGCCTGGCCAGGCGCAGAGCCATATCGATCTGCCTCATTCGTACCAAGCGGCTGTGAGGGGAGGATGGGGGTTGCTGCTTGAGAAGTTTGGTCAAAATACCCTCGTGCTGTTGCGCCGTTGGCCCCTTGTGCAAAGTTGCGACTCCGTTGCAAAGGGGGAAGAATTGTAGAGCTCGCCTGGTACTGTGGCCGTCCATACCCTTGCGGCATCATCGCACCCGTTGAATCCCCCGTCTACTCAAGGATGTTGGTAGTTAGCTTCTCGTCAAAGGATTCAGTGGCTTATGGTGCCCATACAGGTGTGCCCGGTGGGTTTACCATGCCCAGCGACTGCATTGTCGCCTGCTGACTTGACCGACTATGGGCCCCTGGGTCTTGCATCTGAGGAACCTGAGCTGAGGGCGGAATACCGTACGACATCTATGCGAAGTGTGAGTAATGAAATGGCACATTATGGGTGTTTGGCCCTTAATCGTCACGCCCGCCGTTATGGGATCTTGTCGACGGCGGTGACGTAGGTACCAGGCTAGGCGAGGTCTAACGAACCGCGTAATCTGGAACACCCGTGTGTCCTGTAGGATACCCTTGCATGATAGGAGTTGGATAGGCCCCTGGTTGGTTTGCATACATAGCCGCGGTTTGCGGATAAGCTTCCATCTGGCGCATCCGCCCATCGTCATACATGCCTCGGTTACCAAAGTCGATTGACGTGCGCTGACGCTTGACTGGGCCCGCATAATAACCGTACTCTCGGCTCGCTGCAGCTGCAGCTGTTGGATACCCTCCAAAGGTATTCCCAGGTATCTGAATCGAAGAACGATCTGGAGAACGAGGAGGAACCGGCTGGGGATAATCCTCCGGCCGCGGGACTGATCGCTTTCTGATCCTCAAGTCAGTTCAGGAGCCCCGGCAGTATTGAAGGCGGGCGTTTCTTGTATTTGTTTGACACTCACATCAAAGTCCGCGGCTCTTTTCGGATCCTCAGCTTTACACCTTGATCTGCGAATGATCTGGATAGGAAAGTCGACTCTGCCATTCCTGGGAAACTCTTTGGGGGGGACACTGGGGCTCGTTAGCGTCAACGGTTTTAGCAGAGAAACTTCTCGGTGCAACCTTACCGGTGAAGCGGTCTGAGATGATGGACTTCAGATGAGTAACAATATCTCTGCGTGCCAAGTCAGCATATACGGTACTTTCCCTAGTTTCTCCAAATGCGCCCCAGGTCCCACACAATAGTCCCCGATGAAAGGTATGCAGTGTTCTTACTTTCGCATTTCAAAGAGTGTGAACTTTAGCCGAAAGTCTCCCTCAACTTTCACAGACAGGTCTCCAAAGACAAAGAAGCCCCCATCTGGACCAGTCAGTTCAGCCAACTAATGTCTACCACACCCACCAGGGCCAACGTACCGGTGTTGTCCACGTCCTTCAGCCGATGAAGTGACGAGACCAAAGTACCAGTCAAAGCCGTAGATGGCGGTACGGGAACTGGAACGTCATCTGAAGGGTCGAACAAGCTGCAGCACATAAAATAATAGGGACTTTGCAAATAGTGTCTACAAGCATCTGTTAGCGAGCGGATCCTTACGGGATCGTCTCAACTCGAGCCACTTACTGCGCGAGATAAGTTCCTTCCTCTTTTACTCGAATCTGCACTATCGGTGGGGGATCGACTGGCTTGCGTTCTGTGTAGCCAACCTCTAGTCAACACCCGCTAGTTGCCGTGCCTTGCAGGCTCACGTACCTTTCTCCTTCCCACCGGCCACGCGCGCCCGAGTGGGCTGCTGGCGGATGATTAATTCAAAGTCAGAACTGGGGGACAACATGGTCAGCGGGAAACCTTGGGGAACTGGGTAAGAGTTGAAGTTAGTAGGGACACAAGGGAAGCTCGAAAAAACACACCTCTGAGGATCGCGAGTAAGAGAAGCGTCCGGGAACGTTGACGCACTCATAAAGGCGAGATATCGAACAAGACGAACCCAAAAGGAGAGAGAGCCAAAGGATCCAGATCGGGATACCCGTTGAGAAGATTGCAGGGAACCACGAATGAAAGAGTGGGATACTCAGGGGAAGACAAGATGAAGGAAAGGGCAGAGAGAGAGATCCTGTGGTTTTACAGCAAGGCAAAAAAAAGCCACGGGACTCTGGAACCTCAAGCCGGAAACTTGTGGTTCGACGAAGCACTAGAAGAAAGAATGATACACAGTGGGGGGGGTAGAGGGGAATGGGGGAGGGAGATGGTGGTTAATGATGGACACCACGGTGATTAGCTAGTCGTTAGAGCTTCGACTAGAACCTAACAGGCCCGGGGTGGAGACCAGAGTGGGAGTCAATCGACGGTGCCGCCTGTTGCAGCAGCTGAGACGACAATTGCTCTTGCGAGATTGAGGAACTGGTTACGAAAACGGCGCAGAGGTTGAAAAAGATGATGGTGTCGTCAGAATGCAAGCGGCAAGAGCCAACCGAGCACGGTTCCAGACAAACCTTAACTCGGGCAGGTGGAGGGCAAACAACCAAACTTGAGAGCTCTCTCTCTCTCTCTCTGTTTATCTTCTCTCTTCTTCTCACTCCACTTTTTTTGCTGCCTTCGCAATTCAAGACCACCTCTTTTTTTATGCTTTTTTTTCCTTTCTTTTAATTTTCCTCTTCTGGTCCTCGAAGCGGATCAGATGATGAAATGCAACCTTCCCAAATCACCCTTCGAGGAGAAAAGAGAAAAATAAAATATTAGTTAAAACTGCTCTCCGACCGTGCTGTTTAGATCATCCAATAGATGTTGATCTAGACGTCGAGAGAAAAATTTAAGCAAGAAAGAAAATGAAAAAAAGTACAAATATAGAAATGACTAAAAAAATAAAATAAAAAAAAACTTAAGGCGAGCAGCGAGTGGCGCGGGATTGAGCACCGCCTAATTGATAGACCGTAGCTGAACGATGGGTCAACAAAAGTCGCCTCTTGGGTCCTGACAGGCCACTGACGCACACACACAAATTATTGGAGGTAAAATAATGAGGGGACGAGGAAAAAAAAGTTTTAGGGTAAAAATTTAATGGACTGGAATCAGAAGACAACCAGCTGAACCAGACAAATGAGAGTGGTGGAGCTGTACCAAAGCAAAGAACAGCACCGGCCACCTTTCGGCCGTCAAGTTCCAAGCGGTGTTGCTGCCAGTCGAAGGGTCGACCACGGTTGAGAAAGCGGGCTAAGGTGTGTATCAGTCTCGACGATCCGACAGGAACCGTAGCGACATAGAGATGATGCGCACATTTGCAAGTTCTTAAATGATAAGAACAGGGCAATCAAAGGCGAGCTTCAGTTCGGCCACCTGCGCAAGTCCAAAGTCTACCTCGTCTAGGGCGATTCGATCAACAATTGATTGGGCTAAGCATGAAGTCCGCCGCGTTTGCGGCAGCCCAACACTCGCTTCCCCGAGCAAACCCCAACCCACAGCCGCAACGGTTTGGCCTCGTGCGAGCGGAGATGGTGCCGGCTATGCAGGTGATCTGACCCGTATCTGGGCGCCACGCAGGGTCTCCGATTCAATTTTTGACGACAGGGCAAGATTCTTTGGTGGTCGGTGCACGCGCCTAAGCATTCCAGTCAGAGTCTGGTCTCTGTTTATTCTGCGTCTTCGAGATCGGCCCTGCACAGTACTTAAACTCTTGACTGCCCGTTCGCGTGTCGGGCATAAGACTTTCATCCGTAGATCGCTTTTTTGCTTGGGCACCTTTTCCCCTCTTAGTGTTTAGCCTTCAAATACGAACGTCACGTTCCCCTGACGACTAAAATTAGCGTCAATCATTCCAAATAACAATTAAATATCATATCAATGCAAGACAATAACCGGATAGCAACCAACCTAGGTCTTTGTCATCCACGTTTGGATCCGTGTTTCAAGCAGAGCGATCCGAGGGAGGAGCGACGGTCAAGAGAGAGGATTCCAGGGCTCCTTAGGCCCACTCAATGTCCGCTGGTTTGACTTTCAAAAGTATCATTAATAAACCAGATTCTGTCGCGAAACATTTCTTTTTTTTAATTCTCCTGTTTGGAAATACCTTCTTAGCGCAAGTCGCAGTGTATTGTTCATCGATGGCAAAGCTCGGGGTGGCCCGATAGCGCAGCAACTGCTCGACGTGATGGATAACGTGAGTTGTGTCACGAGATACCACAAATGTGCTGTTTCTTTCCTTCCTCACGAGAAGACTACTATCAGTCCCGCAGCCGATTCGCCTTTTCCTCTTATTCCCGTTAATACAGCTGTTTCCACCGTGTTGTGCGATGAATAAGATTCTCTTCGGAAGGTCTTTCCCTCAGGACTGGACTCCCCAATGTCGAAAGGGCTTTTCTGTTCTTCGAGAAAACTTAGGAAAGGAAAAGAAGAAACTGACCGTCAATAATAACGGTACTCCGAAAGATGATGGTTAGCATACAACGCGGCTCGCAACTATTCCAGGACGAGGCTGTGGGAGTGGGCCTCTTTTCAACGTGCGATTGTGGAGGAAAATCGGGCTCGAATTTCAGCTCTATCAGCTGCTGCATATTTAATGATCTAGTTTGGTGGATGCATCACATTCCCTGTGTCCTGACATGCAGGTCGCAGAGTCCGCGGGCCCCCCACACATCCAGACCGTTGCGCTGCGAGGATGATTGGACGTCCGTGGATATAGCACCTAAATTTGCCAGTCCATCAGAGACCGGGTTATTCGCTTGATGCAGCATAAAGGTGCCTAGCCCTGCACGGTCTGCCTTTGCTGATGGAATCCTCAAGGACAATTGGTTTTCCTCGCTGGTCTAGGCGAAACTCAGCAACGAAAAGCTAGCCTTACTTAAAGTAACGTTGACCGTCTTGATGGACTACGCTGCCTCCCATGCATGATGTGAAGATCCCTGATCTGCACTCGTGTAAAGCCGCGGCTGAGGATTACGCTCTCTTTTTCTTCTTGCGGTTTTGGTCTTCCTTCCGGATGTGCTGCGCTGCATTTCTGACGCATACTGACCATGGAACTTAATAGGTGGCATCTGCATCTAGCCGCATCAGCTGCAAAGCTACTAGCATCAGAAGCCTGCCAATCCCTTTCTTCTTCTTATTCTTTTTTTTCTCTTCCTCTTTAAACAAGCAAACATCGGGCGACGGTCTCAGGTAGCACCTCTATCATTATTCTTTTTTCAATGGAGTCCTTGGCCATATCGATAATGCGGCCATGTACCATTGTGCAGAAATTAAGGAGCATCAGCAGGAAAGCTATTGCATTAGTAAGATCAGCAAGAAGGTGAGCGGCGAGAGGCCAGTTATTAGCGATAGCCACGCAAGGGCCTCAAGGGCCAGGACTCGGATTCGTAAGGACCGAAAGATGGACGACTCACGACCGCGAAGCTTTCTATCGTACAGATCAATACCTGCATTCGGGCAGAAGTTTCAATTCTCATCCTTCTGAAGATAACAGAAATAAGAAATAAAGAGGGGTTTCTGAGTGGCCTGTGTTGGCCAGAAAATTGAGTCATTGGCGCAGGTGCTAGTGACTAAACCTATGTGAAAGGGGGAAAGATGGTGATACCAAAAAGAAAAAAAAATTCTAAGGCGAGCAACATGGATCAATCACGATTTTCATGCTTATTTGCTGGGTTCGATCAACGCCATCCCGGAGGCCTGTCAGCAAGTCTCCGGACGTTACCATGATTGCAACAGCTTAAAGAAATTCTCCTGTATCATCGCATATAAGTAATGCCACGTTTCTGTGGCTACCAGAGTTGGAGTCACCCAGTCCAGGAGACGATGTGCAGTTCTTTGCTGATCGACGGGATGTTGAAAGTACCTGTCAATCGTACACAGCACCGGGAACCCACTTTGCTTAGGGTCTGCCAAAACGAAGCGAGTTGTGGAGTTGTCGAGAGAAATATAGGTTTTCTTACTGCCACGGCCTTCAATGCTCAAATCAGAGAAGGGGGCTGTTTTTCATGGTAGGGGGGGTATAAGAGAATGAGCAGGAACGAAAAGAAACCAGAAGTACGTATTAAGGTGAGGAGTAAAGGGAGAAAAAAAAGTTTTTTTCTTTCTCTCTTTTTTTTCTGTGTTTACTGTCTTTATATTGGACCACCTCTTTTTGTCTTCGTACATGGCTTGGTGGGGGTCAACAAGATGCACGATGAAGTGTTCGCGGGTCTTAGCGGTTGCCCTTTGTGTTCAACTTGAAACGATTTCCTTCAGAGCAACTGACAGCAGCGGTCCGTCGGGCATCTCCATCACGAACCAGACTTTCGCAGGCGCTTATTCTACGCTACAGATATGCTTATCCCGGACCTGGGGATAGGTTCCGTGTCTGAAAATTCCAGATCCATGGGTATACAAGTTTCGGGCTATATTCTGGGTTTAGGGGGGTCTTGGACTCCATGCCGATCCTGCTGACAGCTCCCTAACGCCTCAAAAGGATTGGACCCAACGCATGCCAATGAAGAAATAACATCCTTCGTCACAGCAGCAGACCCAAGTGCTGGATATTCTCCCACATATGAAAAGGAGCCAGAAAGTCCTTGGCTTCTAGCAACCTTGGATAGTTGATTGTATTTTCTGTGTTACAACCTCGGCTTCTAGAAGTTGTGTGTGTGTGTGTGCGTATCTATTCATAGAGATTGAACGGGGATCCACATCGAGTGAAACTCCAGAGGGCAAAAAGAAAATGAAAAAGACAGCCTCCGTTATTAGTCGCCTTCCATCAGAAAGTCAAAAAGAAAAAAAGAAAAAAAAAAAAAAAAAGCAAAAGCAAAAGAGAAAGAAAGCCAATGATTACATGGAACACAAAGGAGGAATCGTCTCCTTGACAGATCATATTCAGTACGCGGCGATCGATTTTTGTACCACTTTTGCAGATGCCCAACAATCATCGTCTTTGTTGGTCCTTTACCATTTTCTCTCTCTTTTTCAAGAAGAGAGAAAAAAAGAGGACAAAAAAGAATAAAAAAAGACAAACTATATTACGACTTTCTTTCGACCCAATTCTATTAGCGATCTTCGGTTCTGCTTACAGGTCTTTTTCCACAAACTGAGTGTATAATGATCGAATAATACTTACTGCAAGAATTCTTCCGAGACCTAATTTTCATTTAATCTGTTACCTTGACCGCTAGATGCTCCAAAACCGCCGAGAAAAAACAAAGCATCCAAAATTCCAAATCTCGAATGCACCCAAAACAGGCAAAGCACATACCTCTCGTGCATAAGACCAAAAATGGAGCTCCCTCGGGCAGAAGGATTCATAATCACTATTCCCATATGCACAGGGAACTTCGCCACAGAGGAGGTACATACATATACAGTATACATATGTGCGGATACCAGCGCCACATCTGATCTCGATTCCTTACTACTGCGGTACACAGTATTCTCATCCATTGCTTTATCATGGCTCCACTAATCACATTCGACTCCGTACCTGCATACATCCACACCTAGAGACTATCTACGGGCATACATAGTCGGTCAATACACTGGCCCCCGAACTGACCAATCCTTCCCTCCACTCTTCCCCCCCCCCATACAGTATCTAGCTGTACTACTGCATGCATCGCGATCTCAAACACCACCTCATTTCCGGGTTTTCGTATCTGCGGCTCGTCGATCTCGTTCGTTCCAGCCTTTCCCCCCATGTAATAGAGAATGCAACCTAACTGATAACGTAATCCAGCATGGATGTGATCCTCCACACCTCATCCACTAGTATGTTTGTCTCGATCGTGACGAGAGTAGTAGTAATCCCGACTGTAACGATAAGATGCATCACTAGGAAAATTGATACATCCACAACACCCACTCATCGACCAGGATTACACAGTCAGCAGACGCTGATTGCAGTTCATAAAGACGCAAGGACATCCACTAAATATGTAATACTTAGGTGAAATGGGAAAAGAAAAACGAAGAGAGGTGTCAGCATCTCTACATCACGATTACTTCTTTTTCTGGTCTCAACTCACGTGCCCATATGAAACCTAAATGTGTCAGCAAACTAACGTTCCGGGTTCGGATTCTGTTTATCGCGCATCTGTAAACATGACCTATTACTGAGTCAATGAGGTGACTCAAGGGTTTTTAAAAGTATCATGTTTCTACGTTAGTGCAAGAGCTATGAGACATTGGGTAGCAAAAAATCTAATGACGAAATCGGCTCTTCCATATGCTCTTTCCCTTATACTATGCTCGCAAAGTGGATATTTGTCATGCTTAATACAACGATGTGCAATCGGGGATGTGTATGCACCGATACCACAATTCAGTCCTGGATTACATTAGGTGAAAAGGAGAATTGAAAAGGGAGAAAGAAGAGAGCAAGTCCTCTAGACCAAGACCGTAGAGAGAAAAAGAAGAAGGGGGGGGGAACAACCATTTTCACTCATGGCAAGAACGAAGACAACGAAAGCCGACAATCGCTGAGGGAACCCACAGGGCGGAGAATCAGAGCGCAATTCGTGATAACAGTGCATCGAATAATAGCCAGAACTCCAAATTCCTTGCCCACTCCTTGCTTTGTAAAAAAAAACAGCGCAAACAGAAAGATAAAGTGCCAAGTCATGAAACTTATCCCTTCGAGGGATAGAAATTGAAAACAAAAATGTCCCCTGCAAAGCCGCAAGATAACGCCTCGTTTAAATGCTTCGCCGTTTAAGGCATTCTTCCAGGTTTATTCAGGAATCATGTCTCCATGATCGCATCACCATCTTTATCCACCCCGTTAGGCCCATCTGTATGCTCATCCACCACCGCATTATGGTTCGTAGTACCATGATCTTCTGCCGGAATGACGAACTCGAACTTTTCTACCACCGCCTTTCGGTTCATGGATCGGGTAAGTTTGGCTGTACTCTCAGCACTTACTTCTTTGGTAGGCGTCACTTGTTCTGTAACATGAAGCTCTGTGCCCATGGTTTCCACCCTGTTGATACCATTAAGCTGACTCGGTGCGTCCTGGTCTCCCGTGTGAGTAGCTTGGGCATCTGTCTCCGATAATCCATCAGGTTGAGCTGGGTCTTGTTCCCTACCATTGGTATCCTCATGATCAGGCAGCTGGTCGTCATTCTCGACACCGTTAATCTCGGGACCAGTTGATTCAACCGCAGGAGAGTCTAGTATCCTTGCACTTCGACCGCGCCGGACGCTAGATGCATTTGCAGTAGGGGTCATAGAGGCTAGTGCAGATGATCTTCTAGGTGTGTTACGACCACTAGTGCGAGCAGTTGATGGAGTGACAGCTACCTTGTTGTAAGTGGTCTTGCTGCCAAAGGGTCGACCTGGGCGTCGTTTGACAACAGGCGCCTGAACAGGAGGGTAAACCTCATATCGCCAGGCTGGTATATCTTGGACTGGGTTTGACTCTGTGGGGTTAGAGTCCGTGGCTGGTTCTGTGCGATGTAGGCCGACACCATTAGTCAAAAGTTCAGTCGAAGGAGGTCCGGCAGGTTTAGCTGAAAGTCCCCCGGACAGAGCTTGTGCAACACCATTAACGGTTGGTTGAGGGTTATCATCTCCATTGACTTTGCCCAGATTTTCTGAAAGTTGTTGCTCTTCCTCGTTTCCAGAATCCTTTATATCCTCGACCTCTTCCTCTTCCAAGCCCTCCCGTGGGGCAACTGCATGTATCGGAGCCCTATCGAACTGCGACTGGTTGCTTCGACCCATTATGTAGGGCGTCCACACAAGAGCATCAGGATTGAGCTGAACGTAGCCTTTACTTTCCCAACTCTGTATGCATTCTTCGAAGTATTTGTAGTCAAGTCGTAATGCATAAGTCTTCGTCACTGGATCTCTGACAAGTGCGCGCAAAGCTTCAAGGCCTGAAACAATATCGTCTGCTGTCATGCCTGTCCGCTCCGAAAGCTCCACGATGCTAAGTGGCGCCTTCTGTTTATGAAGCTGGTATGACAGAATAAGCCTCCAGTAGTTCCGATAAGATACTAAACCCATATCCGAAAGCGGCTTCTCGGGCGACCCTGTTTTCCCTTCAATGCGCGTGAGTAGGTATGAGAAGTCAATGAGAAGATTACCATAGCCTTTTCGCTGATGAATGGGCAGAGTAAGGATACAGGAAACGTTATTTGCGGAGCTGGGTCGTTTTTCTTTGCTAAAATAGCCAACAAAATGGCAGCCCAAGTCGTCAAATTCGGTCATGATGTAGAAGAGAAACGGCTCAACGTCGTAGTATAGAGTCTTCGACCCGAGAAACAGTTTTGCGAGCAAGCAGAGATTCTGACAGTATACCGGGTTCTTTCTTCCGTCAACTTCGAAGATCGAAATCGAGCCATCACGGTAGATTTCATCTCCGGGCGGATGCTTTGCCGGACACTTAAGTTTGTGGCGCCACGCGACATAATCCGAGTTCATGTACTTTAAGCAAAACTCACAGATGTAAAGCACGCGGTTGCGGCTGTATTCTTCTGGATAAGGCGCTGCGTACCAGGTCTCAATCTCATAGCCACCAAAATTGATGTACTTTATCCTGGACGGTGGACCCGAGACCTTCTGTGCCGCATGCTGTACAGGCTCTCCGCCGCTCTCGGCTTCCATGACACGTCTTTGCCATTCTTCCTCGGCCCTTTGTCGCGCTACCTCGAACCTCTCACGGTCCGGCTGCGTCGGAAGAGTCTTGGTGGTGTCTGCGTCCGCTTCGGACAGAATGCCACCGTACGGTTTGGATTTAGATTCGTCCATCTCGCGATCGTTGAAAGAATAGAAAGGGGAAATGTATGATACGGGTATAATAGGAGCAAAATGTGCTGGGGGTTCATGTGCCACTGGGGGTGGCTTCGGGGTTCTTCGACCCCTGTGCTGTGACCGACTGCGAGAACTAAGGATTTTAGACAGCTTGGTCTCGTTGAGTCGAAAAGCTAGCACAAGCCTTCCAAACTGCCTCAATACCACGCGGCAATTTTCCTTTTCCCCTCCCCGCACACGGCGAGAGCGAGTCCGTACCGGAGACAGGGCGTCTGAGGCTTCGCCCAAATGGTCTCCCGACTCAGCTCGCTCGGACCGCAACGATGTCTGTCTCTGCCGTTTCCGAAGCACAGGTGTATGCTCCTGTACATCTGCTGATAAGGTTTTCCTTTTTCGTAGCGATCGCGAGCTGTTCAATAAGTTATCATCATCAATATCTACAGTATTGAAAATCGAGTGAAAGCCAGAGCCCTCTTCTCCGGTATGTGCTGGCAAGAGCTCTTTTCGCATGTTCTTCGGGCCGAGCCTTCGATGGGAACCATTGCCCTCAGAGTTTGGCTCCAGCTTTTCCCGAACGCATGTAGGACATCTCCAAGTGTTGGCATCTAGACTGGGTCAGCCCCAATGTTTACAAAACCAATTAAATTAAAACACTAGACATACCTTCGACATCACTTAATGCACTTTGCTCGCGGGCACATTGCCGGTGAGCTGTCGGGTCGCCTAGTCAGTAACGATCGCCGAAAGTTTTGGGGGTGGCTACGCCATGTTTTTATGGGGCCGCAACTCCACGTACAGTGATCGCCACAAACTGTGCATGTCAAATACTCCTCAAAGTCTTCGCTCGGATCGTGGTCTTCATCTTGTCCACAAAATCTATTGATTTTGTTAGCATATCAATCCGACGAATAATATCAGGCACGGGATAGGGAGGAAGCTGAAGTAATTAAATAGAGGGTAACTCACATGCAGTTACCGCGCACCGTGTTGTTATCCACTTCTGCGTCATCATGGTCATTACTCTCACCATCCCACTCCTCATCATCATCCTCCTCATCGGATTCCTGGCTACCTGAACTAGAGCCGGATGCGTCGTGGTCGCTGTCACTTTGGTTCTCGAAGGCTGTATCGGCTGCATCCTCGTTATCCAAAGAAGATTTCCCTTTCGGTAACTTCACAGCTCCCACCGGTTCAGTCTCATCATTTTCGCCGTTGAAGTCCATATCAGAATCCGGCTCCCCGTCCGCATCTTTATCATCCTCGCGGCTAGCACTGTTGCTTTCTTCTGCAATCTCTCCCGAGTATGCCCTATGCACAGCATCCTGGAGTTGTTGATCCATCTGATATAAATCCGTCTCCTCCTCTCCCTCCGCATCCTGGTCGCTGTCAACCACATCCGGGGGAGGTCTCATTTCGGTGTCATCGTCAGCCGGCGGCGCAGTTGCCGCCATGGTGTATGTCACTGCGGTCGCCAGTTTGAGCAGCTCCTGCTTGTCTCCAGTAAGATGGTTCGTGAATAAAGATAGCCTGGAGGTTGAGGCTATTCATTCGCCGCAGGAGTAGACAATCATCTGGCGCTGCACGTAATAGGCATCGGGAACAGAAACGAACGACCTTGGATACAGATGATCCAAACAAAAAGCGAGCTTGAGAGTATCTATATGGTAGCGCAAGCGATAACCCCTGAATACAGCGCAGCCGAAGCGACAGTCAGTTAAGGAGCTGAACGGACGACTCCGATAAGGACAGACAGCGCGTAGAAGGACGCAATGGGAACCATACCGCACAGACCAGCAGGTCAGAGACGTCAAGTAGAGCAGAGCCAAACGCGTAGATCAGCAGCGGATACACCGTCCGAAGGCCTATCCAGCATCCAGAGCACTCAGCTGCGGCCTCTCGCCCCTTCTCCAGCCCGTGAGGTTGATGGCCGTGGCTGACTCAGCCGGCTGGACCCCCCGGTCCCACGCTAAGCCGCTTTAGGCCAACCTCCAGACCTCGACATCGGCGGATTCCCGCGGCCACAAGAAACGACGACTTCCCCTCGGCTTTGTTGGCGTGTCAATCCGCATTCCTCTATTAGCTCTCGCCTTGTTCGTTATCTCAATCGCACAGAATGGGTGTTCCTTTTGAGGCTCTGATCCCCTATGGGATCATCGTCGGCGTACGTCGAGCGTTTTCTCAGCCACTTCGATCGGTCCACTGATGATGCTTTAACAGATGTTTGGCGTGACCGGCGTTGGTCTTACTGCTGTCAAGTGGCTCGGGAATGAGGGAAAGAAGGCCCGCTGGAACCGGGATCTGTGGGACAGAGTAAGTATCTCTCAATTTCATAGGATGTGATCGAACCCGGTCGGCTAACACCCGCTCAGCAAAGTATGTGACTTGCCCAGCAATTGACGATTGAATGATATACGATTACCCTCCCCATTCAGCGGACGAACAGACGGGATGCTAACGACTGGTTAACCATCCGACAGTGATGGAGAGAGATTTGAGAATCACAGGAACCTTGAGAGGCCAATCAGGCAACGCAGAAGCCCCGAAGGATTCGAGCTTAGCAACCCATGGAAGGTATGATGCATGCCCGAATCCCTCTCAACGTGTCGAAGAGAGATCTAATACATCGAACAGCTGGAAAAACGGATCTTCTAAGCCACTCCGACTTGTCACAACCTATGTCATTTATATTGCCCCTTTGTTCGCCTGCAACTTTTCAATAAATACCATGCAATGATTAGAAGAAGCCTTCTTGTATCATATTACCAGGCCAGCAAACAGCTGCAGGGTAGTCGCGAACCCCAAAATTCTAATTTGGACTATCTAGCTTCTATTTAATCTGAGATACTAAGCCCCGAACCCCCTCAATCTCGTGCTCAAGGAAGTGCATATCAAACCACTTAGCCAGAGCGTTGACCCTATCCTCTTCTTTTTCGAAAGTCACCACTGTCTCTGTCTCCCCACGCAGTCTCTTCTTCACCTCCTTCCCGGACAGGATATAGATGCCTATCGGCTCACTTCCTGTCTCGTCCAAGATGACCCGTGTGCACACCAAAGCCTGCACGAACCAACTAGTCGGCCGATGGCTAGTAGAGTAGTTCATAGTGGCAAAATCCTGCGGTAGGAACTCCACCTCGGAAAACGAGTACTGCGGTATCCAGTTGCTTTCCGGATTGTGTCTAATCTGGTAAATCCAGAGCTTCTGACTTCTATCGGTGAATTCAATGGGCGTATCTTTGACTAGACGCATCTCAGCCGGCGCCATGCATACAGCGACGGCGCCATCTTCTTTGAGCGGTAGTGGACTTGTAGGACCAAAGTTGCCGAACCCGACGTCAACCTGTTCGTTACCGCATCAGAGATGGCCGACATATACTCGGTAGGGAAGTAGAAGTTACCATGTATCTTTGACCGTCGATAGTCACAATGAGAACCATGTGTCCCCTGTATAGTTCATTTAGTGGTGTTCTTTCATGTCCCATGGCCCCGCTATCACTCACAAACTCATATACAACTCACTACCGGGAGTCTGGTTTCCGCCGGCCACGGCTTGGCTCACCCGTCCACCAGTTGGATAAATATCGTATCCCAGGGATCGTAGCACCATATAGAACAAGTTGGTATTTTCCATACAATACCCGTCCAGACGGCGCACGACCAGTTTATCAAATATAGACGCGGGGTGGACCGAAATGGATCGGTGCTGCGAGTAATGCAAGGCCGAGTTTCCCCAGGGGATGGAGGCCAAGTGCCGTCGTTGCAACTCTATCAGGGTCGCCAGGCGATCCTGCTCACTGGATTGCAGGACACGTTGAAGCCTACCTGTAGTGCTGTCTGGCGTGGGGTTGACCGAGTTGGCATATCCGATTCGCTCCAGGTAGCGTTCCAGTTGTTCAGAGTTGTACGGCTGGGATGGGGAAGCCATGATGGTATATATGTGTAAAGCCCTATCCAATCTGAGAATACAGGGACTAAGGATCGTGGGGGGGTTCGCGGGGATGATACTTGTAGGTACATACCCTAGGACTAAGCAAGTGATCGATTGTGCTACTCGATTATAATTTATTCTGGGGTATCGGCCGTGCTAAAAATTCGTGGAGGCGACGGCCTGGAACCACGGCACCGACTAATTGTATGGCCATTAGTATTCTTAACGAACTAACTAGAAGTTACTATAACGTTATCAATACGAAGAGCTTTAGTCAGACATTGGTCATCGGGATCTCGTTGACTCTAGTTAAGTGTCTATTAGAACTATGCTTAGTCGATTGAGTTTCCAAACATCTCTCTAGTGTTATCTGCAACGGTGCGAGGATGCGTTGACTTATCAATCTGACGCGTGTCGGGGGAATTCCCGGTAGTTGATTTCGTGAGTTAAGGTGCCTGGGCCGAAACCTTAGAATGAATGAATTTAATGTATTCAATCTATAAATTTCGATGATGTCAGTCTTCCCGATCCTCGGTTATTTTGTATACGTCCATAGGTCACGAGATTCAACCATGACTTGAGCCGGAGATAATTATCTGATTCAACTACACAGTCTGATCAAGATCAATCGATTTTGTTACAAGACCGGAGGAGAACAACACCACCCCCCCAAAAAGTCCATTCAAGATTCTCACCTCATAGTAACAATACCAATCCATTGACGTACCAGCGCCCAATCTCACCTTCCTATAAGCTCCGATCAACCGAAACCCTACTAGCACCTCTCTCTCTTTCTCTCTCTCTATATATATCAGCATCGAATGGACTCCATCCCCAGAATCCTCTCCAGGATACTCCCCCACCTGAGGACGACCACTTCCCAAATCCCCTATAGAGGAATCACCCCACTCACTATCCCAACTACCAAACGTACCATGTCAACATCAATCGAACAAAAGCTGGACGTTCTGCGGAACTACTCTGCATGTGATGTATGTACAACGCATAGTACTCACCGTTGACATAACGACTAGTACAACGACTCCGAACACAACCCAATTAACAACCCAACCCAGGTATCCGATGCGCTACTCAAACTACAAAAACTCCCTGAGGGAGCCACAGCTCGTGCTGGCCATATAGCCGATTTCGGTGAGCCGATACTTACTCCCACAGAACTCCCTGGTTAACAGCATCGCAAGTCCCCTTCTCGCCAACCATCGGACGAAATGAAAACACCCCCAAGGTCATCGCCCCCGCTTCCACATTCAAGTTCATTCCCAAATCAGATCCCGTCCCGGCTACCGAGTCGGTAGAGGCCCATGGCTTCCCCGCTGGGACGCACTGGGTCGACTTTGCCGAGCCAGGAACCGTAGCTGTGATTGAGCAACCCGAGGGACAGCACTGCGCAGTCCTGGGTGGGATCATGGCGGTTCGGATGAAGTATCTCGGGGTCAAGGGGGCCTTGGTCAACGGGCGCGTGCGTGATCTAAGTGAGATTAGGGAGTGTCAGCTCCCAGTAGGTTCATTCTCTGTTGCTTTTGTGCACTGGGCTCTGACTGGGGTCGGCTAGGTCTGGGCTCGTGCTACTTCTACGGTTGGAACCGCTGCGGAGGCCAAACCGGGGGCTCGGAATGTGCCTGTTTCCCTTAGTGGTGTGACGGTGTCTCCGGTATGTCTTTCTCTCTTCTTTAAGCTGCTGCTGTTGAAGCCATGGCTGAGCTTTTCTTCGCGCCCTAGGGTGATATCATTTTCTGTGATCCGTTGGAAGGCGTGGTTGCTATTCCACGCGAGCTTCTAGACCAAGTGCTCGATCTGATGCCCAAATTGGTTGCGATGGATGATAAAGTCAAGGAGGCTGTGCGTCAGGGGTCGAACGTCTTTGATGCCTTCAAGAAATTTAGAACTAAAATATAGTGGATCACTCTGTCCTAATAGGGGGTACCCTGCAATGTCTTCGTCTACATGAGGTTTATGGAGAGCAATGGTGCTTGCTTTCATAGTTGAACCACGGTCTATTAACCAACCCGAAACTCAATCCTCATGCTTGGTATTCTGGAAAATATGAGTACAAATCAAAATCGTCATGCGTATATAAAATCGCTGTACAGGAAGAGAATCGAAGAAAAGTGAAACACAAAGACAATTTTAGAGCCAGCTCATTTATTCGCGAACCCAAACGGCAGCCATGCCCATACCAGTACCAACACACATGCTAGTGACACCAATCTTCTTGTCAGTGCGCTTCAGCTCTGTCAGCAGGGTGCTGATCTGGCGAGAACCAGTGCAGCCAAGAGGGTGTCCGAATGCAATGGCACCTCCCTTGGGGTTGATTTTCTCTTGAGGCAGTCCAAGTTCGTTGACACACCACACGCACTGAGAGGCAAAGGCCTCATTGATCTCGTAGATGTCCACGTCATCTTTGGTGATACCAGCCTTCTCAAGGGCCACGGGGATGGCCTTCCAGGGGCCGACGCCCATGAGCAGGGGCTTAACACCCACAACGCTAGCGGCGACGTACTTGCCGATGATCTTCTGACCGAGACGCTCAGCAGTGGAACGCTTCATCAGCAAGACGGCAGCAGCACCGTCAGAGATCTGGGAGGCATTGCCAGCATGAATAGAGCCATCCTTAGCGAAAGCTGGGCGAATCTTGCCCAGGGATTCAGCGGTGATGCCGTCACGGATACCATCATCGGCCTTCACGGTAATGGTCTTCTCCTCGCCAGACTTGGGGTCAGTCCACTTGACCTGGAGAGGATAGATCTCCTCGTCAAAAAGACCGGCCTTCTGAGCCTTAACGGCCTTCTGGTAGGACGAGGCGGCAAAAGCATCTTGGACAGCACGAGAGACGCCACGATCCTTGGCCATGTTCTCCGACAGAACACCCATGGGAACCTTGCAGTTGGCAGACTCTTGGTGGTTCTCGAGGAGGTCTGAGAATTCGGTGACAGCACCAGGACTAACATTGTCAGTATATTGAAAGACTGGACAAATGGGCATAGAATCCACTTACCCATACTGAGAGGACATGCTCTCCACACCAGCACCAATACCAACTTCAATCATGCCGGACTTGATAGCATTGGCAATGTCAACAATGGCCTGAAGACCACTGGAGCACTGGCGGTTCAAGCTCTTGACAGCAGTAGACTCGGGAAACCCAGCAACCAGGGCAGCAGCACGGAACTCGGTGGCACCGCCACCAGGGGCAAGGACGGAGCCGACAGCAACATCCTCGACGACGCTGGGGTCGATACCGCTCTTCTCAATAAGACCCTTGAAAACGCCAGCCAGGATATCAGCAGCCGCAGTATCCTTGAAGCCACCCTTTCCACCCTTAGTGAGGGCAGAACGAAGGGCACATGTCACGACAATGTCATCGGGGTGCTTCTCGGTGATGGCGGCGACGCCCTTCTTGCCGCCGGGGGCGAAATGGGAAGTCACCTGAGTAAGACGTTGCTGAGCTGAAACAAAAAAAAAGAGGACATACGTTAGACCATATTGTCATATTGATTTAGTGAGTAACAAGAGGATATTCAATCCTAACTTACCAGAGGACATTATGACGTCAGTGAAACTTTAGAAGATACAAAGGAAGAATAAAAGGGGTATCGGCAATCAAATAGTATGGGGATAGAGAGCGAGAGAAGGGAAGTGACAAGATCCCTCTTTATATCGTGTACCTGGGGAGACAACGTGGAGTAGAATCCACTTGGTCGGTCGGTCCTGTTGCCTTTTTGTATGCTCTTCCCCGGTCCTGTGAAAGTACCGAGGCTCACCCGCGTTATCGTTGTTCCGGGGGAATGGCAGTCACGGGATTTCCAGGTCACTGGAGGTTTTCATGTGAAGAAGAAAGTCCGAATGATCGTCCTGTTTCTATGCCTTGGATCTTGTGACAATGATGTCGTATATGGCCAGAGCCGAGCTTCATGGATCTTCTACTGTGTATTCACACCTTCGCCAAGTATGAAGACAATGCTTGCGTTTGGGTTAGTTAGTTAAGCTCTATCCTTTTACATAATATGTGAGTATCCCATTAGCCAAGTTGACTGGCTACTGGAAATGTATATATCATCTCCTTTGGAAAGGACTCGGACATCACTGAGAGATTGACCGTATCGCAAAATCAATAATTTTGCGATGACTGAGCATTTCTCCACCAAGACCTCGTCGTATGGTAATTCTAGCGTACCAGTTAATAGCCAATGGTTATTATCATTGCACAGACACACAGGGCCTTTTTTTCAGGCCCTATGTGCCCACTAAATAGGCAAGACGAGTAGAGATCCATGGAGCTTGGAAAACCGGAGGTTACAACCTTCCAAGCCGTTCCTGAGGCCAGCCCGGACTTTAAGTTGCGCCCCACCATTAAGCCCGAGAGCGGAAGAGTCTGGGCGGCGGAATTGCACCCCCAGACAACCACCTTTTTTTCTCCGCCTTAACAATCCGTACCTTGTTCCTGGCCGCATATCTCACTGTATACGGCTACCGTGATCATCGACATGTCCTCAACATTCCTCCTACGCCGGCTCCCGGCATCTATACCATCCACATCGTCCACTCGAATTGTCGCATCATGCAACACCAGTCTCCTCAGCCGTCTCCAGCCCTCACCTCATGTATATACCCATTCTAGCCAGATAACACCCACCCCGCGCGCGCAAAGCTAACGAAAATGTCTAATCTTCAGAATGCCTCTGTACTAACACATACCCGACCATTCTCGCAAACAGTTCCCACCTATTCCTCTCCTTTCCGCCTATCCTCGAACAACAACACAACCGCCCAAAATGACCACCCTCCATCTCCCGAAGAGTACCCCAACGGCGAACCCATGCCCTACTACAGTCCTTACAAGCCCAAGCGCCAATGGCCCCCAGACATGTCCAAGTTGTCGCCGAAACACCAGTTCCGACTCGAGCGCAAATATCGTCGGCGTGCGGCACTTAAGTTTGCTCGACCCAAGTGGGTGAAGGCGACGAAGTTGGTTCAATGGGGTGTAATCGGATGTAAGTGCTCTACAGTGCTGACCTGAATATTATCATTATTGAAGTTTGTGGGCTGACGGATGCTGGAAGTCGTTATTGTGTATGCCGCGCTTTTTATGGAATGGGATGAGAGGGGGAGCCCGTTTGATGAGGTAGGTACTCTGTCTGATGATGTTGTAGCGCTCTCGATTAGGGGTATTTTCTAATCTGGGGATCTCTTTTAGTTTCGAAGGGTTTTCTTTGCTGGTGTCAAGGGGGCATTTTCTACCCCTCCACCTCCAGGACCGGTCAAGAGGTCGGATGATAACTGAGTGGCTGGGGAAGACAGGCGTAAGCATTGTTCTATTGGGCCCAGGTTCAATTCTCCTTGTGAGGGTCAGTAATCTATGAAATAAGATGCAATACACCGGGGATGGCATGGGTATCTCCCTGGACTTGCTTTCTTTCTAGTGTGACATACTGTATATTACTCCACCAATCTTAGAAACTGTCAGATAAACCAATTTAGGGCAAGTAATCAGATATTGTGGAAAATCTACTAAACGATAGCAATTCATCTCAACTGTCGTACCAAAGTGTTCTGGGCTATAACATGTCTGTGCAAAGGAATAAAAAAACGAATCTCGCCTTACAAGCATTTGCGCAGGAACGTCAAATCTCGTCAATGTTATGGCTCCGTTCCTTCATTAAATCGTTTCACCGTGGCCGTCAACGGGAAATGCACCCAAAACTCCAAAAGCAAAAAATAGTGAAAAGCCAACGCCGTCCTGCCCAAGACTCCATCATAATGAGAGGAAAATGAACCAAGTAAACCAAGAATAGAAACGCAGGAAAAGAAAAGAAAAAGAATAAAAGCCAAAAAGGTAACAAATAAGAAAGGGAGAAAGAACAAAAGGAAGTACTGGCCGCATCACTGGCTCAGACGCACACGTCCATGGGGATGGATGGAATGCTTGGCAGAGATACAACAGTGAGGGCTAAGAACACGGGCGAAATAGCGATATATACAACCCGTCATTGAAAATTTTTTTGATAAGCCTTCACAGCCAATTTCCTAGGCCTTCGTTCTTCGGCGATACCCGGTTATTAGCAGGACCATCCAGTGCCAACTCCAGTCGAGGAGGCTTCTCATCCAGAAGACCCTTCTTAGGGCTCCCACCGGCCGCTTTGATCGGGGATTTGGTAGGCGATCCGGGCTCAGGCCGAGGTGGACCTTCGCGGACAGCTGTATAAGGCCAGCCGTCTTCCACGGCAGCAGCAACCCATGTCCGCAAACAATCGTGGACGGAGGCATAGAACTTCTCTTTGCATGTTCTCAAGTTGCCACCCATAACCTTCTCGAATCCAGAAGCTCTGAGTTCGGCACGCAGTTTGCTGCGCTCCTCCGCTGACGGCAATGATGCCACAAGTCCATTCAAAAGATCTAGATGCGCAGCTAGATAATTGGTTGCATCCCATTCAACCCCACCAACATAGGGTGCAGCAGGTACCGGAGGCCTGGGAGCTGGGAAATGCCTCGCTCGATAGGTTTCCAAATATGGTCTCTCACTTTTCACAATCGGTATCACGTTCAAGTGATGCAGGAATATCCAGAAGACTTCTTTGGTTACGTTGGTAACCTCTTTACACCAGACACGGTACGGGCGTGATTGGTATATGTTTGCAATAAAAGCAAGGGGTTGGTTTTCTTCAGGTGGTGAAGGGTCTCGCAAGTACGACAGGATTCGGGTGGCACGAGATCCGGCATCCTCAGCTGACGATGCTGTGGAAAGTTGCGTGAAAAGAAGATTGATAATGATACTCCGCGTTGTGTATTCGCTCGGTCCTTTCTTTTCCTCGTCAAACAACATCTTCAGAAGCGCTGGGAAGATTTCTCCTTCAATAGCTGTAAGACGCTGTAATGCAATAGAGGTCGTGCAGAGCGCCTTCAAGCACAGCAAAGTTTCGTGGAGCAAATTGTCCTCATGTTCTTCCCTGTAGAGGTATTAGTGGGAACAATCTTGTTAAACTAAAGGCAGACAAGGTAAGCCTGCATACCTCCACTCAACCTTCATGATCCTGTAAAGCAATTGTATAATTTCGTCCATACCGCCATCTGCAATAAATGTATCGACCCAGCTGATTGTTTCATTCCGCAAGAGAAGTCGAAGTTTATGGATTTTGCCCACTTCCATCATCTCCGGCTTCTGGATCTCCCTCAGATAATGAACAAAATCTGAGGGATCAGCTGCGGTATCCTGGCAAGCTGTCGCAGAGAGAGATGTCGTGGAAGTTGACGGTGTCAATAACTTTGAGAGCCCTGGCTGTGAAAAATCAGCAGACTTTGGACGCCGATGGGAACTTCCGCTCTCCGGCCGTTTCTTCGTGGGAGATGAACCCTTGGAAAAGCTGAACCCGCGACTTCTGGATCGCGACCGTGACCCTTTGCTGTCGTTATTGTGTTGGTCTTCTTTCTGGTCCTTTTTGCGACCTCGGCGACCTGTACTGTCATTGGTATGCACGCTTATACTGGCACTATGAGCGCTCTCTGCTTTGTCCTTTTGAATAAAGTCCGCTTTGATATTAGTGTCCAAAGACCTCATCTTTTCCCTCATATTATGAGGAATGTTTCTTGCGTCCTGTAATCACGTTAGCTGTATCCTTTTACTCTATTCTTGCGTTTATCCCCTCCTTCTTAAGGGCCAGGAGTCTTGTGCGATGTACTGACCAGAAGCTTCTCGAACTCACTCTCGAGGTCCTTCGAGTTCAAGCGTCTCTGCAGTTCCGCTTCTCGTTCCTTCGCATTGAAGGCGGATATGGCTGCCTGAACACGCGAGGATTTTTTTGGGCTTTGTTCTGCTTGCTGCTCAGCAGTTTGGCGCGATTCAGGCTTGGATAGTGCCCGAGGCCGTCCCCTTCGTTTAGAGGGAGAGGAGGGTTCTGATAGGTCAGAGGGTGAAAGCTTCTCTGAGGACATGTTCTGCAGTGATCCAAACAGCTCTCGCACCTTGCGATTGCCAGAAAGGAACTCTGATTTCGGACGAGGCTTAGGGTCGTCGCGGTTCGTGAGAGAGGGCTGATGATAGTCCCAAAAGTTACGCTGTTGGGCCGGTCCATACCCCTTGGGGGTGTAGAGTGAGACCTCTTCTTGGAAGGTTCTACGGTTGGAGGGGGAGGGCGGTACTGGAATCTGGTCATAGTACGACCCTGTCGAGTATTGGTTCCATATAGGTGATGGCATATTGTCGACTAAGTCCGTTGGGCTCCGATTTTCTTTATCCCGGCCACTTTTCGAGTTCTCAGCCTTCCTTCCGCGCTGAGACAGCTTCAAGATTGCTGAGAGACTGTTGGCTGATTTAGCCTTCTTCGGTTTCAAATCTTCGGACTCGTTCTCGGGAGACTCTGATCGGTTGTCTTTGCGCTCCATGTAACTCCTTAGAGACTTCAGGGATACAGCGCTTTTCGTCTTCTTGTGTAACGTGTTCTTTTCCTGCTTACCAGGAGATCTCTGACGAGGCAAGCCATACTCTGCGGCATCTCGATTCGGAGCAATTTCGGTCAATGGCTGTTGGTCTTGGGTGGCATAGGCCTGACCCACTGGAGACCAGAATGTACTGCGAGGGGGCTGGCTCTGGTAGGGATATTTGAAAGAGGTGGCGGCGTCGTCTGCGGAGGGGTTTCTCTTGTGGCCTTTGGAAGACAAGATTCCTCGGAAGACGGATGGTTTGGTTGGGACACGGCTAGCATCGTCGAAGATATTGGGGCCTTGCATGTTGGGAGCCATGTCTGATCGCCTTTAAAGCGAATCTGTAGGAATGGCAGACGACAAGTTAGCATGCTGATTGAAGACAACACTCTGGTGGTACCGACATAGTGAAGGGTAGGTACAGAGCACTTACGGGGACAGCGCTCCAACGTAACCACCAATATACAAGGTATTTATAGACGGAAGAAGAAGAAGCGGATACAAAAGTATTAAGTGGAGCAGGAAAGACAACAATATGTATTCAGACACAAAGTAAAGGCATTGGAGAATAGTAATCATCAAAAGCAAGAAGGCAACCACGAAGAAAAAAAAAACGCCCGCGAGAATCAGACAACGGCAACAACGATCACTGCAGTAGTGGACAACAGGTGGGCAGACCGGGAATTTGAAGTCTTCCGTAGCGACGGAGGAAAGTAAAGGGCATGATCATCCTTCTCCCCAGCCTAAATTAATTCTTCAATGGCGTTCGTGGCAAACGGCTGGAGCTGCAGTGCAGAGAAAGCGGAGGATGTAAACACATTGCCGTCATTGGGGTTGCCAGGCAACCAGGTGGCTGGTTGTTGCTGGTGGCGGGTGCTTATCAATTATCAATCAGTCCCCATCAGCTGATTTGATCGCTCTGATTTTGTGATATATGCAGAATGAGTCCCCATCAATTCAATGTAGAAGAGTGGGTATCTTTCCCCTCCTTCTTGTCATCATTGGGGTATCGTCATACAATGTAGTATCAACGATAGATCCCAAATGTGATGCAGCGGGTTTTCTTTGCTTTTTCCTTTTCTTCAGATCTTGAATGATCGAACCTAGCAATGCAAGATGAATACATCGGGTATTGGTGTCTCCACGCAGGGAAAAAATGAGACGGTTGGAAGCCAGCTGGGGAAAGCAAAAAATGGTATAGGAGTCACTCCTCTATGCTGGGTAAGAAATCAATTATTGTATCCAGGTTCCAATAATTGAAGAGAGCATACATGAACATTGTGCAAGGGGAAAGCGAACAATGAGATTAGATAAGCCGCCCGGTCACGGGGTCTTTCATAGTGAGCATAAGTTCCTGCCAAGGCAGATCCGCTTTCTTGGAAAGTCTTGGGCCCGTGGGGGTTACACATTTTAAAGGTGTCTCTAGATCTATATATAAAAATCGTTCCTTAGTTGATCTGGATCTCTTACTCCTCTTGCGTAGTCTGGTAAATTTTAGCGGAGAGTAATTTTCCTTATCCCTCAGTCTTCCGTCATGTACAAGGTGAATACGATCGACCCGTTTCTCACTTCAATGCTAGTTAAGATGCCGTCATGGCCACAATTTGATCTTGTCATCCTCCTTCTTTGCCAGGGTGCTCACACGCTTCCCAACCTGGTTGAAGGACTCCCCAATTGTGATTCTGTTTGACCATTGAGGGGCTAACTGGCCTGGTCGTCTTCTCACTGCATGTGCCCACTTTGTAGTGGATGTGTCGCACTGGGACTGGGACTACCGTAGCCGGGGAATTTCGGAGAGTCGTTCCCGCACATTACTCTTGACTTCGTTTTCGACGTGCTACTTACGACTTAGAATACATCACAAGTACTTCGCGGAGAATTTTCTGCAGCTGACCACGTCGTTGCCTTCTTTATAGCATACGCAAACACCCGGTTCACAACCACGATGAACTGCCCCTCGCGAACCGATGACACTCTGGATCATCCAGGTTGGAATCAAAATCCGTCCGACTTGAATGCAGACGTAACCACTCGCAACGACTTCAACGGTATTGCCAATTCCAGAGTGCATAGGGAGCATGCATCAGGTGCGGGAGCAGCAATGGGGGAAAGCATTGGGACTGTAGAGCCTCAACTACATGGTCGGGATCGAAACGATACCGAGTCCGAGAAGAAGATGCCTGGCGAAGTGGTCTCTGCAGCCTCTGGGTATCAAACACCCGAGAGGAACAGTAGATCACCTCGCCACTCCTTTAAAACTCCTATCAAATCATCTTTTCTTCGTATGGCGCAGAGTATCGTGAAATTTGCTCGCTTTGTGGGCCCCGGATTCTTGATCGCCGTAGCTTACATTGACCCGGGAAATTATGCGACTGATGTCGCCGCCGGTGCAGAATATCGATATGCTCTCTTGTTCATCGTTCTCGTTTCCAATCTCTTTGCCATATTCCTGCAATCTCTATGCATCAAGCTTGGTACGGTAACTGGTTTAAATCTAGCAGAAAACTGCAGAGAGCACCTTCCTCGATGGCTAGTATATATCCTCTACTTTCTCTCGGAGGCAGCCATAGTTGCAACAGATATTGCAGAGGTAGGTTCTACTAAAGTTAACATATCTCCCCGAGGAAGTACTAATACAAGCTCCCATAGGTCGTTGGTTCAGCAATTGCACTCAACCTCCTTTTGAAAATCCCTTTGGTGGCTGGATGTGCGATTACGCTTGCCGATGTGCTTTTCATTCTCATCTTCTACAAACCTGACGGCAGTATGCTGGGTTTACGTTTGTTTGAATTTTTCGTCATGGGTTTGGTGTTAGGAGTTGTTGTTTGCTTCTGCATACAACTCTCACTCATCAGGGACCAGTCAGTCGGGGATGTATTCAGGGGTTACTTGCCATCATCTGCTATAGTAGAGTCTACGGGGTAAGTGGAATTGGTCGCCTACCGGGTGGTGTGCTTGACTAAAGGTGGTGGTGTCGAATAGCTTATACCAAAGCTGTGGAATCCTCGGCGCCACAGTTATGCCTCATTCGATGTTTCTCGGCAGTGGTGTTGTCCAGTCGCGCCTGAAAGAATTTGATGTAACTGAAGGCTACGTCGACCCGTCCGTTTGTTTAGGAAGCACCAACGGGGAGGTTGAATACAGGCCTTCTCTTCATGCTATCCGAGGGTGCTTGAAGTATTCCATCATAGAACTTGCGGTGTCGCTTTTCACCTTTGCTCTTTTTGTGAACAGTTCTATCTTGATCGTCGCAGGCGCTGCGCTCTACGGAAACCCGGATGTTGGCGAAGCTGATCTCTGGGGTATCCACGACTTGCTTTCTACTTCTATTGCTCCAGCTGCCGGCCTGATTTTTGGATTGGCCCTGCTTCTCTCTGGAATATCCGCCGGAATTGTGTGCACGATGGCAGGACAGATGGTGAGTGAGGGTATGTTGAATTGGAGCATTAGACCCTGGCTCCGCAGATTGATCACTCGATCCGTCAGCATAATCCCCAGTATCGTTGTTGCAGGCGCCGTTGGCAGGAAAGGCCTGGATAAAACCCTTACTGCTAGTCAAGTGGTGTTGAGTGTGATTCTCCCTTTCGTGAGCGCCCCATTGATCTACTTTACCTGCCGCAACCGATACATGACCGTTCCATCCGATCGGATTAGGCACGGCGAAGACCAGACCCAAACCGAAGGGGTGAAGATGAAAAACAATCTCATTACCACTGTGGTGGCAATCGTGATATGGTTGATTATTGCTGTCATGAATGTGGCTTTGCTTGTCTTAGTTGGTCTCGGCAAAGCCTAACAACCGATACAAAAACACACGCTAGGAAATCATATGGCTCAAAGGGAAAGAACAGGATAGATAGGAGGGAAAAGAAGTCATATACATGGCCATTATTAAGTTTGAAAAGTGAAGCAACAAATGCTTTGAAATGGACGCCAAAACCGAATCAGTCTAAAGATGAAGATGTAAAGATCCTGACTCCCATGCTCCCATGACGAAGAACTCGAACGACCTTGTATCTCCATAATCATCATTACCCTAGACCGCTGGCAGGCTCCTTGACCTTAGTTTGCTCTGGGGGCTCGTCAATAAACTGGGGTGGCGCCACCTCATCCTGAAGGAAACTAGGCATTGCACTTTCACCCATCGAGTTCTCGAACATCGTCTCCTCTCCCAGCGCCTCCAATTCTGCATCAAGCTCCGCTTCATCCACGTCTTCAGGAACATCATACGCACGCGATATACTTTCCTGGATCTCGTTCCCGATGTCCATCAAGTCGGCCATCTCATCTTGCATCCGCTCAATCTGGTCCACATCGATCTTGCCGTATTGCTTCTTAAGGGTCTTGGTAGTCGTCTTCATTGCGTCTACAGTGGTCATCACATTCTTCAAGTTGTCCTGCATCATCCCAGCCTGTTCCATATTCCATGATTGCTGGGATAGCTGATCCCGTTGGGCTTCGTATTGCTTCCGTCGCTGCAGCACCTTAAGCGCCTTTTGCCGGAGGGCATTTTTGCCTGGTCCATCGCGCATCTTGGCAATTTTTGATTGATAGGTAGACAGTTCTGAGTTGAGAGCTGCCAGTTTCACGTCTATGCTCGCAACACGATTGTCCACCTGCCAAAGAGCGGGATGTTAATCAAGCGGGGCAACCAGACCGGGGAATTGGGTGACAAACAAATAATGCTTAGTACTTACATTTGCGATGGCACCGTCAAGGGTGGGTTTGGGAGCATTACTTTTAGCTCCAAAGAGGCGATTCATTTTGATGACTATTGAAAAGGAAAGGGAGAGACGAGTTGCAAGAGAGGTATCTCGGCGACTCAGCTGTGGAGGTGACTTTATCTCAGAGCAGTAGGAATGAAAGCTAACGTAACTTCTTAAAGGTGGCGCTCGTTCCGTTGCTGCCTAAGGCAAACAGCCCTGCTTGACACTCGCAGTCCACAGAGTATGGATGGTAGTTTGTTTCTATGATTGCTGGTAAGGATTCGCATCACCTGACAGGTGTCGAATTTGTTAGGCAGACGAACAGCACGTGTGACCACCAGGGGAATTTGTGCTTATTTACCCAAGGAACATTAGTTAGTAGTAGTTACAGATGAATGAGGGTGGATGAACAAGGCAAACTTACGGATGGCACCCTATGGTTTCTCATCTTGGTATGGTAAGAATGAAAGTACCTGGTACTTACTGTACGCACGGGCAGCTATGGCCAATGCGGGTACCCAGTACCCAGTACCTTACTTCATACCGGATACATGATACAAGTTCTTTACTTGCTGCAAGGTGGTCCCCAGCAACAATTAAAGAGTCTCGTGCATCTGCAGCTGAACACTACCTAAAAGCACAGAAGGGCACATGGTTTTGATCAAATTGTTGAAGAGTCAGTGACCCGAGAAAGAATTTAAGAATAATCTTGATGATTGTAAGATCCTGTGGAGTAAGCTTAATAATTCAAATAATTAAGACCCCCAGATCTAAAGCGCTCGGTTGCCTACTTTCTCTTTCTCTTTTGTTCCCCTCCTCTCGCGTATTAAATGTGAATTTCCCCCGCCGCCGCCGCTTGTCGGGCTCGTTGGGTACTTTCGCCCTGCCTTGAATTCAGCGAACTTCCAGGGATCAAAGTTGCCGGCCGATCCAGACGCAGCCGCCAGCGCACCACATCCAACGTGATTCCCCAGCGTCAGCCTGTCATCTTCATTTTGCCATTTCGACCATCGGTCTGTCTGTCTGTCTACCGGACTGATTGATTGCTTGATTTATTGTTTTGATTGACGGATGGAGTGACCCGAGTCCTCCTCCACTTTTACCCCCTCCAACTGACGGACTGGTTTCGCCTGCGCGCACATCATTCACTGTTTGTGCCTCTGACGAACTTAATTAGTCCGACCTTACTCCCCATAACCAGGAGTTTGCCGAGTATTTTCCTTCATTGTCACTCCCTTCGGTTCTGAAGGTATGTTTCTGGATTACTGATGACACCTCGACGTATTCAGCGACTGCTTACCAGCAAGTCTGGATCTCTCCTGATTTGTCATTGTTGCTTCTTTTTCCCTTCCCGGGCGGCCGTGACGTTGTCGAACCTCGTATGGTTTTTGTCGCTGGAGGTCATGACCTTTTGACCTGCTCGTTTATGCTGTTCGCCCATGAGTTACGATTACTAACTTATCTCTTCTGCACGTTTAGCGCTTGGTCGCTCCGACCGTGTCTTGTTTTGCCCACTGTTGTCACCCTTTTCTATTCTGAGACGACTTGCATATTACGAACTTAACGTCTTTGGAAGCGATCAATCTACAGACATATTGCGCCGCGTATTTCCGATCATTGCGCTCCGCACGAGCATACTAAATCGTCCCAGTCGCTCCCGCGGTTCCGTACCATAGAGATATCTCCATTACGATACCTCGGCGAAGAAAAACCGCCACAAAAGTGCTTGTGATCCGTCGTTCCTTTCCATGAATCTGTTCGTCCAGTTATATAATCCAACATGTTTTGGCGCTTTGGTGGATATGCAAGTATCTCCTCAATTGATACCCTTCTTGACAAGCCTGATGTCAGCCTTGAGGAGTTACTGGATGAGTCCGAGCTGATTCAGGAGCTTAAACAACATAATACGAAACTCATAGAGTATTTACGAGATGATAATGTCTTGAAACGCCTTATGGACCATGTTACCGCCCCTAGCCTAGTGAACGATGATGATGAGGATGATGTCAATGACACTAATGGGAGTAAGGATGCTACCACGGAGGAAGAAAAGCGGGGAGATCCGCTGAAGGATATCTTAGATCCTGAAGACTTAGAAAGAGCAGAGAAGGAGCGGCTCAAGCGTGCATACGTCGCTTGCGAGATTCTATCGGCTGAAGTATGGTCGATATTGGACTCTATTATGCTGAACCCTGGCCATCTCCGAGACTTCTGGGGGTTTCTGCGAAGATCGCCGCCTCTAGATTCTCTTCAAGCGAGCTATTTCACTAAAGTGAATGAGACACTTTTTGACAGGAAAACTAGCGAGATGTTGGATTTCCTCAAATCATTGGAGGGAATTATCCCCGCGATTCTGCAGCACATCGATAACCCAATGGTTATGGACCTTTTGCTTAAGATCATCAGTCTCGAGAAAGTAGAAGGTGGCCAAGGTATCGTCGACGTAAGTTCATGGTGGTAAACCCCATCATAGACTTTACCATCGCTGACGCTATCCACAGTGGCTCAAAACACAAGACCTGATACCTAGGCTTCTTTCATTCTTATCTTCGGATTGGCCAGCCTCTGTGCAAACTTCGGCCGGCGATTTTCTCAAAGCCATAATAACTATATCCGCGAATGCAACGCAGAATGATCAGACCTGCATTGGCCCTAACAGTTTAACGCGCCAGTTGGTTTCCAGACCCTGTGTGGAAAGCCTCATCAAGGCTATGCTACAGGGTGGTAACCCTTTAACTGTGGGCGTGGGTATTGTGATTGAGGTCATCCGCAAGAATAATTCTGACTATGATCCGGACACTATCAATAGCCCTGATTCACTACCCACCACATACGACCCTATCTATCTTGGGAACCTCCTTCGAATCTTCGCTAAGCACATCCCTGACTTTATGAAGCTGATTCAAAGTTCGAAGCATACTGTTAAGGACGGCGAGAAACTCAAGAGCGTAGATAGGGGCAAACTAAGTTCAGCTTGGGGGGCGAAAATCGAACCATTAGGTTTCGACCGATTTAAGACTTGCGAACTGATGGCTGAGCTGTTACACTGCAGTAACATGGCTCTCTTGAACCAGCCCGGGAGCGAGGAGTATGTACAACAGCGGGATGCTGAACGCGAGAGGTTATTACGAGAAGAAACATTCAACACAAACAGAGAAGAGACTTCCCCTTTCGATGGTAACGACTCTACGGTGGATTTCGTCAATGGGTCAATGGTTGGTTATCGCTCTCCCGAGGACTCGAGGATTCTTGAGGTCGCAAATACAGGCGAGGATGGATTCGAAGATGTTTGCTCATCGGGCGTCCTTGCCGATAAGGAGAAAGATGCTGCCGAAGCCAAGGACAGCTCCGGCCAAGAAGTGCAATCCCAGCGCATACCCTCATCAGAACTGCAGGGCTCTGCACCAACAAAAGAACAAGGGTCCAGTGTGCCAGTACGCGAAAATGAGGACGAGAAAGAAGCACCAAACGACGGGACCACGCACCCGCCTTTTTCAGACCCAATGTCTCCTTCTGCATTGGGAATAACTGATCGGGTCAGAGAGGTGACCCTCGACACTAATCGAAACATGGACGACAACCGATCAGCCACAGAAGCAGTGCCTAAGGAACCTCCGGTCACTTTGAGAAATGATCAGGAACAGGAAACTGCTCCGGTGGTATCTATGTCAGAGTCGGCTCCACCTCCTCTCTTTGCCTCCAATCAAGAGAATCAGCTACCAAGCCCCCAAAACCCTGACGTTGCCGGACAGGCTGGTGAGGCTTCAAGCTCTACAGAGCCTTATGCAGAGGTGCAAACAACTGAGGGTAAACCACGGCAACACATGCACCCAGACATTCAACTTGACCCCAACGGTCAGCCTGTTGTAGGGGATTACCTCAAGCTGATGTTTGTGGAGAATCGAGTTGTGCCTACTATTTTGGTAAGGGTTGCGCCAAAAAGGAAGTTATCCTTCATCACTAACTTTGCACACTAGGGCTTCTTCTTCCGATTCCCGTGGAACAACTTCCTTCACAATGTCGTATATGACATTATACAGCAAGTGTTTAATGGACCCATGGAACGTGGTTATAATCGAGTCTTGGCGATTGATGTCTTCGAAACTGGACGGATAACCCAGGAGATTGTAGAAGGACAGAAACGGAGTGATGAAACGCAACGGACCAAGCAGATCAGACTTGGCTATATGGGCCATTTAACCCTGATCGCAGAGGAAGTTGTCAAGTTCAGCGAACGACACCCACCTGAGTTGCTTTCTCCCACTGTTATGGAGAACGTCTTAAATCCAGAGTGGATAGACTATGTGGAGCAAACGCTTTCGGAGACTAGAGAACGCGATAATGCCATTCTTGGTGGGGTACGCCCGGATATGTCCATTGGGCACCGCCAGGGCATGCTTAACTCGGGTCAAAGCATGACTGGGTCATCGGCTCTTGCAGATGCTGGATTGAACGGAGCGGCTGGAGGATCTACTTTCCAGGGCTTTGACATGATGAGTCAAGGAAGTGTCTCTGGCGGGGCTTTCGGTCTCAGCGGTGGAGGTAATTCACTCTTAAGCGGGTTTGCAAGCTCAAGTGACGATGAGGATGAAGACATGGAAGATCAGGATGACAGAAACCTCGTCGATCAATCCGCCGAAGGCGGCTCTGAAAATGTGGGTGATGATTTCTTTAGTGATGTCGATATGCGGGATTATTAAGTCTTGGAATTCATCTTCACCTTCCCCCTTTGATTCTCTTCTTGTATACATTGTTGCATTTGTTTTGCCTTTTCCCCAACTGGCCTATGTGAACCGGCTGCAGAGGGTCAGCGCGTGATGGATGACGTGAATAGTGGTGGTTACATGAGGACCATGCACATAAGGTGTTGGAGCGGGTTTCATTTAAGTATGAAGTCATTCAAGAAAAACCGCAACTCCCAAGGGTCATGTGACGTTTTGTTCGATGCCAAACAGTTTCTACGAGTTTTAGAAGTAGTCCTCTGGCTTTCAGCTTAGACGTTGGCTCCTTCGTTTTTGTACACCACCACTGCCCCTCTCTCCGCAGTATTCGTGTGCTTTTTTTAGTTCCCGCACACACTTTGCATGTTTAATTTATGTTTATTGTTACAATTTCACTAACCCAATCTCAATTATAGGCATCTACTAACTCCACAAGCCAGCCTATTCCGATCCTGCCTCCGCCTCCAGCTCCTCTTAGTCTCGGCCCGTCTCGGGCACGGCGGCAGCTGGCTGCGCGACTCGCTGCTCAAAAGCAGCAGGCGGCTGAAGGTACTGGGGAGAATGACGAGAAGGGCGAGGAGAAGGCGCAAACAAACACACACGGGAGTTCCCAATGGCCTGCCAATCCGTTTGTAGTTGCTGGTGTAGATGACGATGGCGACGGTGGAGGCTCCCCCTCCAATGCCTTTCCCTCAACAGATTTTCCGTCAGCGAATAAGGACGAGCCTTTCTCGTCGCCTACATTCCCTGATTCAGGATTCAGCCCGCCTGACTCCTTCTCCACCAATTCATCAGAGGACGACGTCGAAGGCAGAAGTGAGGGCTTGAGACGCAAAGAACGTATACCTCTTGAGGTAGATGACGACGACGATGATGACATGGGCGAAATGGTGGGTCCATCTGGCGGGACAGACATGATGGACTCGGACGAAGAAGATGAGGCTATTATGAACGAATCATTGGGCTACCCGGATCTTGGACCTGGACGATACAAGAGCTTCCGACGATCTCGCTTCGGGGTCTCCCCTTTCGGTGATGACGACCAGAATGACAGCAGTGATGGTGAAGATGATGGATTGGTTGAAATCCTAGTTCCAGGGAAGAAGTCCTGAGCGACACCGTGTTCTTAAAGTCATTCTACGCCTTGGGGCCGGCCGTTGATTTAAGTGTTGAGGGGTCCTGTTTGGCCATTCGGCAAAACCAGTCCTCTGAAAAACTGTACACTACTGACTGCATAGCGCTTACAGACTCTGCCAAGTGGAGAAGACTTAGTGTTGGTTAGATTGATGTGGCTTCTGGCTGGAGCATTTGGGATTCGATACTAGAGGTTGGGTAACATTGGATTTTCTGTCCTGCAATGTTTCCGGAAAAGAAGCATTGTTCTCTTGCGGAGTGGTACTTTCTCAGTCTTGGTTTTCTTTCTTTTTCTTTTTCTTTCTTTCTTTTTTTTTTTTTCCTTGTCTCTTCTTCCCCTTAGGACCATTCGTTGGCGTTTTGTTTGTTATTGATATCTATCTGTGTCTTTGGGAGGATTCATTTTCAGCAGAGACCTGCACTGTACGATATTGAGTTAGAAGCATTGATTTCAGTTCCCACGGTTCGAAGGTTAAATAGTACTCAATGGGTTGTACGTATAGATTTTGAAATCCTGCTCTTCGGGTAAAAGTGGGACACCGCATTCGAACATTTATCGACCTGCCCCTCCAACTTGAATATCAAAGCCACCCAATCCTCCAGCAACCTCATAATTGCAACAGGTTAAGTAGGGGGAAGCCTGTGTCTTATCCTGGAAGAACTCAGAATGTCTGACACATCAGCCCTAAGCGTGGCTGCCCAAGGGTAAGCGTCTTGATGTTCCTTCTTTCATTTCTTCCTTTTTTTTTTCCCACCCCCCGCGATACCGACGCCATCTATCGTAAGCTCGCGATAAAGCTAGCTATATAACCCGGCGGATCGAAGTTATAAATGACTGTTGTTTGGTCACCGAACAGTAATTTGGCCTTATCGCTATTGCTCCTGATATGAATTGTATTTAGCGCTTCTAAATTGCTTTCAAATCCTAACCCCACCTCAATCAGGTGGCTATTGTCATATATCGTTTTTCTGCTTTATGCCTGTCCATTTTCCATCACCAGTGACATGCTCCGGTTTACATGGCATCGTGTCTGACTCGATACAGGCCTAACATCGACAGCAGTTTGGAACATTATACTACACTGTTGGACTGGATGGTCAACAATGGTGGTCAGCTTCACGAAAGCGTTGAAATAGCCAAGGATGAACGGCGCGGCGTGCATCTCCAGGTCAAGAAAGACTGGAAAAATGGTGTTCCCAGTAATACTCATATCATCAAAACGCCTTTGACTTCCACAATGTCGTATTTCAATGCTATCGGCTACAGTTTCACCACAGATGATGGAAGCTCCGTTTCTTTCCCTGAGAACGGAGTCCATTTCCCTCGCGGCTTTCTGGAAGCGGTGGGACAGGAAGAAGCATCAATCTTCTTTTTGATTGGGCAGTACCTCCAGGGAAAAGACGGTTTCTGGTATCCGTATATCAGGACGCTTCCTCAGCCTGGTGCTTTGACCACCCCTCTCTACTATGATGGAGATGACCTGGCATGGCTGGAGGGCACAAGTCTATCCACAGCGAGAGCACAGAAAACCAGTTTATTGAAGGAGAATTACGAAACTGTATACACTGAGCTCTGTAAGGCTGGGTTTGATGGCGCTGAGAAGTACACTTGGTAAGTGATAGGCTACAACTGTGTCTGCTCATGGTCGACGGCTTGGATTTGACGAGTCTCATATAGGGATCTTTATCTCTGGGCATCGACCATCTTTATTTCGCGTGCGTTCTCAGCCAAAGTGCTCTCTGGTGTAATCCCCGATACGCAGCTTCCTGAGGAGAACGTTTCTGTGCTCCTACCCTTCATTGACATTCTAAATCATCGTCCACTTGCAAAAGTAGAGTGGCGCGCTGGCAAAGAGAATGTGGTATTCTTAGTCCTGGAAGACGTCGCTGCTGGTCAGGAGATCTCAAACAATTACGGGCCCCGAAATAATGAGCAGTGTAGGTGCTATATTCTACGCGGCCTTTGGGGGTTAGCTAACTCTTTGCCAGTAATGATGAATTATGGCTTTTGCCTTCCAAACAATCCTTGTGATTATCGTATTGTCAGCTTACGAGCGCCACCTGGCAGTCCACTTCAGATGGCAAGATCTCAGCAGCTACAGATGTTTCCGGGACTGGCCAAAGAGACGGATGATCATTATTACGTATTCAATGTCTTTTACCCTCTTCTTGCTCCTGACACGCCAATGGAGCATTCAATATTTTCCCCGGCACTTTTCAACGCTGTCTCGACATTGGCAGCTAACAACAGGGAATTAGAGAGTCTTGAGATCTCAGAGCAAGGCATTCGAATCCCAGACGCTTATGGGAGCTCACGAACCACTCTTGCCGCCCTCAGCCAGATCATCATCGAGTTAATCACACATATTGTAAAGCTGAGGTCTTCAGCGGCCGACCTACAGAACCCTGGTAATCTCAAGCAGACCCATGCAAAAATTTATCGCGACACTCAAATCATGCTGTCCGAAACGGCCTTGGTTATTGCAGCATGGACCCTAAACCGGGCACGACAGCATAACTTCGGAGGAACTTGGGAGGAGACAAAACAGCTTCTCGGTTCGCATATGGTCCGTGTGCCTCCAGGAAAGTTCCCAGAAGAAATACGGTCTCGGATACAGGTGCGAATTCTCGAGCGCCAATCAGTTCTTGCAAACAATGGAGAGCTGTTCGTTCTGGATGACTTGCTCGAGATACTGCCCGTTGAGATGCAACAGCCCTGCAAAGCGTGCTTACAGGGCGTCACTCAGAACGCTGGAAGGGCTATCCCGATGCTGAAGGGGAGCCTTGAGACATCCCCCTTTGCCTTCCCGATGTTCCTCTGCTTTATCAGAGCGGCTTACACTGCTGGGGAATCTCACCCGGGGGCGGTTGCACTTCCGTCTCGACTCAGTAAATGGGCCAGATGCCTTCTCGAGAACTACGCAGCTCCTCCTGAAGATGTACTATGGGCACTGGAGGACGAGGATGACGAGCAGCTGTTAGACATGTTTGATAACGTGCTTGAGGGAATGCAAACACGGGACAGTGCTAGCTTCTCTGACTTGGAGAGATTCACAGGAGCATGGCAGGGAGATAACTGGTGGCTTTCTCCCAACTGGCTCCGGTGGGCATGGATGATTACGGAGCAAGAAAGTGTGCAGGTACCAGAGGAGCCACTGGCTTTGTTGGCCGCAGGGCAGCCCGGCCAAGGGCAAGTGATGCTCTCTACGGCGTCATGTCTGTATATTCCGCAGTAGCACGGAGCGTGTACATTTGTGTTGAAACGAGATCTCGTTACTCCGTAGACACAATTCTAAACATAATGATTAGTAAGATTCACATAGTTCACTGACCAGCGAGGGATACCTGACTCAGCATGTACCACGTGACCGCGCCGGGGCCAATCAGCGGCGGGCGAAAGGCGGATATTCAGCAAGCGCAGGAATTGCCGCGCCCGTGAAGCTCAACGACAGCGAGTCTCCATCATTGAGCCCTTTCCACTCCTCCCTCCCCCTCGAATCACCCCGCAGCCATTGGGCCAGCTATCACAATGATATCTCGAGCGGCGGCTCCCTCGTCTTCCTCCCTCGCCAACCTCTCCTCCCGCTCCCTCCGAGCCCAGGGCCAGGCTGCCCGCACCTTCGCGACCGTCCAGGACAACGCTCCCCCAGTACGGCATTATGGCGGTCTGCAGGACCAGGACCGGATTTTCACAAACCTTTACGGGCACCATGGAGCCGATCTGAAGTCAGCAATGAAGTACGGTGATTGGCATAGGACCAAGGATATTGTTCTCAAGGGCCATGACTGGGTAGGTGTTCGGCCATTTGCCATGGACCATCATCCTGTGGTGTGTTCTATCTCGAATTGGTTCAATGCTAATGCAGGTGTGCTGCCAAATCACAGCTTATCTCGGAACTCAAAGCTTCTGGTCTCCGTGGTCGTGGTGGTGCCGGTTTCCCCTCGGGATTGAAATATGTAAGTGCTGATTGAGAGACGGCTTCGGACCCCTAGGGTCTAACATACAATGACCCTATAGTCTTTCATGAACTTCAAGGACTGGGATAAGGACCCCAGACCCCGTTATCTGGTCATCAACGCCGATGAGGGTGAGCCCGGAACCTGCAAGGACCGTGAGATCATGCGCAAGGACCCCCAGAAGCTCATTGAGGGCTGTCTCGTCGTCGGTCGTGCGATGAACGCCAACGCTGCCTACATCTATATCCGTGGCGAGTTCTACTACGAAGCTACCGTCCTCCAGCGGGCCATCAACGAGGCCTATGAGGCTGGTCTGATCGGCAAGAACGCCTGCGGAACCGGCTACGACTTCGATGTCTACATCCACCGTGGTATGGGTGCTTATGTCTGTGGCGAGGAAACCTCCCTGATCGAGTCCATCGAGGGTAAGGCCGGCAAGCCTCGTCTTAAGCCCCCATTCCCGGCTGCTGTGGGTCTGTTCGGCTGCCCCAGTACCGTCACCAACGTTGAGACTGTCGCTGTGACCCCCACTATCATGCGTCGTGGTGCCAACTGGTTCTCCTCATTCGGTCGTGAGCGCAACGCCGGTACCAAGCTGTTTTGTATTTCCGGCCACGTCAACAACCCCGTCACCGTCGAGGAGGAGATGTCCATCCCTCTTCGTGAGCTGATCGACCGTCACTGTGGTGGCGTCCGCGGTGGCTGGGACAACCTCCTCGCTGTCATTCCCGGTGGATCCTCGACCCCCGTCATCCCCAAGTCTGTCTGCGATGATCAGCTCATGGACTTCGATGCTCTCAAGGACAACCAAACCGGTCTCGGCACCGCCGCTGTGATCGTCATGGACAAGTCCACCGACATTGTCCGCGCTATCTCGCGTCTGTCTAGCTTCTACAGGCACGAGAGTTGCGGTCAGTGCACTCCTTGCCGTGAGGGAAGCAAGTGGACTCAGCAGATGATGCAGCGTATGGAGACCGGCCAGGCCCGTGAGCGTGAAATCGACATGCTCCAGGAGCTGACCAAGCAGGTCGAGGGCCACACCATTTGCGCTCTGGGTGAAGCCTTTGCCTGGCCCATCCAGGGTCTTATTCGTCATTTCCGCCCCGAACTTGAGGCTAGAATCAAGGAGCATGCTCAGGAGCTCGGACAGGCCCCTTACGCCGGTGGCTGGCACCCTAACAGCAGGGCCGAGGGCAAGCTGATTTCCCCGGGCATGTAAACTATCATTCCGCTTTTTGTAGACTGATGGTAGGATGAATGGTGGAAAAATAATCAAACCTGTTTCTCTAGATAAAGATGTTCGAGCAGGAGTATTCTCTTTTTTTCATGTTCAGTTTAGGATTTCCAATCATGTACAGTTCCCGCTAGCAATCATACTATTTCTTTCGTTAAACATCTGAGGTGCACAAAACTCGATCTACAAGCATGGATGCAGAAGAAAGCCATTCACTGAAAATCTTACCTCGGAATACAATCCACCATAATCCCTATCGTACCGAAGAACCTCTTAAGAGGGGTCGTCATTACTCCGTAGCTTCATCAACACAGACAAATAAAACGAGCTGAACCCAAACAACTATACCCAGGCCATTGGCAGAATGATTTAAACGTATCCTCAGACGATTGCCTGGATCCTGTATCTTTTTCACAACCGAAATACATGCTCACCATATCACCAACAACTTTTTCTTGAGAGAAGCAAAATTTCCAAATATTAACTGTTTATTTCATGGTTCTGAGCTTCTTTTTTTTTTTTCCCCACCAAAATCATAGACGGCCTATAAGCGGAGCTAGAAGGGGTAAAAATACAAAATCAGGATCTCTTCGAGACATTTGGACTTTATGGCTTTCTTGGCGGACCGTCTTCTAAATGGGGCTAGGCTTACTTGGGTTGACCTGTTTGCACTGTACTTGAGTACAGAAGTCGGGCATGAATGGATATTTTCGCATGGTATGAGATATCTGGTTTTGGTCGGTGGTATTTGGTCCTTCATGTGTATACCATATATCAGCGATTTTTAACGTAGAAATCTGGGGTATAGCGATATACTAGGGCTGCTCCCTCTAGCTTCAAAGCTTCAAGGCTGGATAGAGGGCATGGAATGGTCAACTGGTAGAGAAATATTAAGAGTAATGTAGGCAAGAGTAATATAGGCTAGTTTAAAGAGATATTAGGTGCATTTCACGTACTAACACACTGTCGTAAAGTACCTAAACTAACACGGAGATCATGAAGCACCACGAAAGGGCTGCAGAATGCGGAATCCAAGAAGGATGATAACGGGGGGGAAATTTACACTAGGTTACAGGGATGACACCAAAGAAACGTAGCAAAAACGAAAAATAAAGACGCTTAATAGGCACCCGCATGATGATACCGTAATACCGTCGACTCATTTCGGCGGTCTGCATGATTCGCGCATCGCCAGTCAAAGGCAAACTGAGCACACTAGAGAACTCGACCACCTAAGAAAAGAGAATAAGTTAGTATACCTTTCCAAGGCGTCGAACGAGAAGCGAAGATATGTGAACTCACCTTGGTATCTTCGTGTGCCGTCCAGCTAGCAATCGCCCGGCTCATTTCCTTGAAAGCCACACGTTCTTCCAATCCTTCGACACCCGATCTTTGGCTGATCTGATTGCCCATCGCAACCAGCGCATTCACCAAGCGATTCAACCTGGTGGCATCCCGCTTGCCGCTCTTTGCTGTCGCTAAGCGCAGGAAGTCCTCGTATACACCGCCGCCACTGGTCCATCCTCTGACCTTTCGCTCGGGGGCCTCGCCGAAGCCTGACACCAAGGTTTCCAACGTTGCGTAGTCACGTTCGATAACGGCGGTTGGTCCGACAATGCGGCAGAAAGTAGCATGCGCATCATCCCAATTCTTGCCACGGATAAGGCAGTCCACCTCGCGGGCGGCATCTCCAATATCCCGAGCGTAAAGTGCCTTGGCAACCCAGATCCAGCCTTCGGGGATCTGCAGGTCTGTAGTAAGATAGTGCCAGGTAGTATCTGGGACTCCCTCAGGAGTGGTCTGGTCGGGCAGCCGCGAAGCGAATCTCGCTAGGGCTTCTTTCATGGCACGCTCACGATCTTCAGGTCGTGAAAGGTGGAGTAAAACGAATAAAGCCCGGTCGAGCTGGTCACTACGGCTGAGCTCCCAGGCATAGTCACATACCATTTGATCCACGTGGAAAGTATCAATCTGAAAGCCGTCGTGTTGACCAACAGCAGTGGCAAGGAGCTGATACAGCTGGAAGGAGAGTCGGCTCGACAGTTTATCTCCGCTCACGGACTCCGGGAGCAGAGCAGCAGGGAATTCCATTGCTGGAATATCTTTAGCTACTCCAAGAGTCATTGAGTAAAGCTTAAGCAGAACCCACAAAGGGGACTCTAGACCAAGTGCGTCGGATGCCGAATGCGATAATTCCCGGGCACTCTCCGAACGGAATGGATGTGGGAAAGCGGGCTCATTACCGGTACTAAGATCGTTGAGGAATTTTGAAACCGCGGCCTCAATAGGTTCATCATCGGTGATTCCGTACCACAGACGCAGACCAAATGCCTGGATCCAATCGAGTTCAAAACGTTCAGTGAGAGTGAACGTAGAAGCACGATCCTCCAGTGCGCCGCCTGATTTACCTTCACTGCGGAGGGCGTTGCCTGCCAGAAGTTCGTATAGAGCTCGAATAGGTTCGGTCATTTCCGAATAAACGTTATGCTGCCGCCACATCTCGATTTGTTTCGCCATGTCTGCACGGCTCGTGGGGTCTCGACCAATTTGCGCGATAAGGGTAGCTAGATGAAGATTTTGACTTGCTATCAAGACATTGCACGCCTCCTCAACCCGATGCGAACAAAGCAAGTAGATAGCCTGTTCCTCGGCTGAATTGGCTTTGCCCAGTGTATGTGCGTGCCTTTCTCTAACAATGCCTTCCCACAGTCGACTAAAGCGATCCTTCTTGATGCGGTGAATGAACTTTGACCGAAGCTGGGGTGGTACGCCGACAGAGATGTCATCTTCAATTTCGTCATTGAACAGAATGTTGGTCAACTGCCACAGTAGTCGCTCTTGGTCAGAATCCGCCAAGCTGGAGGATGTCTGTGCGAATTGCTGGAAATCAGCCTTGGTCAATCGGGCCAGAGGAACGTCATCAACGCGGCTTATTGTAGTCTGCTTCTTCTGCGCATCGAGCATAACATTCGACTCTGGAGACTTACTGGAAGCCAGCAGAGTGATGTCCCTCTCCTCGCTCGTAATAGAAAACTTTTGCTCCCAACGGCCATCCGTGGAATGGGTGCTCTCCATTCCGTTCTTGACACATATTATCGAGTCCGCTGGGCCCCACCGCGGCTTGAACGAGTGGTGAAAAGCAAGGTCGTCTTGACTCAGTTCATTAGAATCGCCAGCGAAGGTCTTTGGCTTTTTGTTGTACGGCCACTGTGATGGAGATTGAAGTTAGTCCACTTTCCCAATAGATCTAGATTTTGGCCCATTCGGCATATTGTAACACCACTACGGTAAGGCACGAAAGATTGAAACGCAACGGAGTGAAAGAAAACTGGGAGTCGAACCTCGAAACCTCTAGGCTGCGCATTGCGTGCCTTCAAAGGAGACTGTGTCTGCTGCTTCCGCGGTTGTTGAAACAAAGAGTTCATTAGATCGATACTAGTTGCGAAACCTTTTTGCTGAGTTTCCGCAACAGGCTCTTGGGTGTCATCATCGTGGAGAGGCCTGTCCGTGAAGGCATTTGCCTGGATTTCACGCAGTGCGTCGCGGTCCTGCTTCCTGGGACTAATGGTTCGTTGGAGCTGCGCAGCCCAGTCACCGCTAAGATCAAGACGAGCCTTGGGTGGCGTACTCCATGGTTTTAAAGATGGCTGTGTGTTTTCGTTTAAGCTGACGATGCTTTTGGTATCATCGCGCTCCACGGTATGATGAAGTGAGGGAAAGGTGCCCGCCATGTCCATTTCCTCGTCCTCATCTAATTCAACTTCTGATTCGCCAGACTGCTGGCTTTCAGTGACATCGTCACCTTCTTGCTCAGTAGTTGAACCCGTGGAGCCTTCCCCTAAAAAAGACTCTTCATCTTCGCCGGAATTCGAGTGTTCATCCTCCATTGTTTCCATTGCTTGGCTACCAAACGACCCTGGGACTAATTTACGCTTTTTGAAATCGAATGTGTCATCGTCAATACCAGCCACCGAACCGAGAAAAGAATCATCTGTCGAGAAGGTGGACATCTGCTCTGAGGCCACGGTATTATCGAGATTGGTGGGGGTATGAGCCTTCGGAGTCGGTGTGTCAGGAGCAGCACTCAAAGTGCTTTGGTTGAGGCTCTCACCTTCATCATCATCGCTATCATAATCAAGGCCATATGTAGTATAATGCGGCACCTTGAAAACCCATGTCCCCGTTTCCGTTTCGTAATCGATAAAATCAGTGTTGTGTACCTTCCTCAGGCGATCGACGTGTTTTTCAAAAAGAGGCCCGCTGGTGAGAGGTGATGGGGACTTCTTGTCTCTTCCTCGCGGCCAGGAATTTTCGATTCGAAGGATAGATGGGACATTCAGCCCTTTGCCCCTAGGGGGTTTGATTGCTTCATCTGGATACACTGTAATTTTCCGCACGCCGATGTCAACAAGACCTCCGAAGACTTGATCCAGATCAATGTTCGTCAAGTCAACGGGTTCATCAAATGTCACTTGACCACAATGTTGGCGACCGACTGTGAAGCCCACGACATGCTTGAGCTGGTCACGGCCCATCTTGTTCAATTCAGCCCTGGTGGCTTCATCCAATACTCGCCGGGTTGTGGATCGCCGCTGGGGACGGAAGCCAGTCGTGATTGGCCATCCGTGACTGCTGTCTGCTCAGAGTCTTCAGGGACAGCCGGAAGATCCTTGTCACGGACAGATTCCATCTCGGGCCGAATGCCATTTTCTTTAATCCCATTGAGCCCGTTGACGGTATTGCTCTTGCGAATTGAGCGGAGGAAGCCTAGCTCTTCTGGCGTGGGCTCGGAGGTTTGAGACTGTACCGGCACAATTTCACCTCCTGTGGTAGCATCCGAGGTAGATTCAAAGCTGACCTTCTTCTTGGCTTTATCCGTCGGTTGGGCAGAATCCTCACCATTCGTGATCGCAGCGGCAGGTGTACTGGCGGGCCGTGAGAATAGATCGTTCCGCAGACTGCGGTCAATGGTAAGGCGCTTCAGGCTACCGCTGGACAGACGAGAGGAGCCAGAGGAAAGTGCTCCTGGAGACAACACGCTGTCAGCCTCCGGGTCAAAGGTTTTACGAAGGTTGCTCGTAGAAAAGCTCTTGCTGAAGCTAGCGCGCCCAAGTCCACCATTGACGCTTCCACGCAGGCTGCCGCCCAGAAGACTATTACCGAGCCCGCTAGGAGTAGCAGTAGAGCTAGAAGGTGACCCGTAGGTCGAATAAGAGAACCCGTACCCTTGGCGTTTTGGCGGTGTGACGAGACGGTTAGCTGCGTTGGGTGTAATCTTGTAAACTGGCAATGGGGTGCGCTGTTTTTGCTTGATAGATGAAGCAAGCGGCGTCGCCAACGGACCAGGGCTAGAAGCACTGGGAGCGGGCAGACCAGAGAAGATGGATTGGTTTCCGTATGGGTTTGGGTCCAGGAGGGAGGCCTGCAGGCTACCAGGCACCGGCTGTTGAGGCTGCTGCTGTTGAGTTTGCGTTTGCTGCGTGCTACCGAAGAGGCTGGATGTACCCATTCCGAGACCCCCAGTCTGCGGCTGCTGCTGGTTTTGTGTGTTACCAAAAAGCGAGGAGCCTGTGTTCGGAGTGGCTGCAGCACCGCCTCCAAACAAGGAACTGCCGGTGCCGGTGCTCCCACCGAAAAGGCTGGGCTTCTGCTGTTGCTGATTCTGTCCATTGAACAGGCCACCAGTTCCGGCCTGCTGATTCTGAGTATTACCAAAGCCTCCGAACGTATTGGTTGCGGTTGGTGTACCAGTGGTGCCAGACCCAAATAGGCTACTCTTTTGGCCTTGCTGCTGAGCCCCTCCGCCGAATAGTGATCCAGTTCCGGATTGCTGATTCCCACCTCCGAACAGGGAACCGCCAGTCGCTGGCTGCTGATTATTCTGGCCAAAGAGAGAAGAGCCCCCCGTAGTAGCACCGCCACCTCCAAACAGGCCAGGTGTCGAGGACTGTTGCTGTTGGTTGCTTTGTCCGAAACCGCCAAACAGCCCTTTGTTCTGAGTCTGAGCCTGGTTCTGCTGGTTCTGTTGACCAAACCCACCGAATGCGCTTCCCCCAGCCTGCTGCTGCTGCTGCTGCTGCTGCTGCTGACCGCCGCCGAACGGGGACGAGGTAGCTGCAGTACCACCAAATGGCGTAGACGCACTGGTGTTCTGCTGTCCAAAGCCTCCAAAGCCTGTCCCGGTAGACGTACCGCCTCCGCCAAACAAGGACTTGTTTTGTTGTTGCTGTTGATTATTGTTGTTGTTGCCAAAGAGACCACCGGATCCACCAGTTCCAAAGCCAGTTCCGGTGTTGGCTGTGTTACCAAAGCCGCCGGAAGTCGCGGTGGCCCCACCGAATAAGCTGGGCTGCGACGTTCCCGTTGAAGTGGCTCCTCCTCCAAATAAAGAGGTCGCCGGTTTATTCGATCCGAACAAGGGGTTGCTAGTGGTGGAGCCAAACCCACCAGCGGTTTGGGTCTGTGTCTGGCCGAAGGCAGGGGCGCTGGTGCCACCGAAGGGGGAAGATGTGCTTCCAAACCCAGTCGACTGTTGTTGTTGTTGTTGTTGACCAAAGCCGCTTCCGCCGAATGCTGACGTACCAAAAGCACCGGCCTGCCCGCTCCCGTTCCCAAATCTTCGGCCTTGTTGATAGTCACCCAGACGTAGCTCCTCAAATGAGTATTTGTTGTATGGCTGCATGAAAGAAATGCTTTGGTAATGGTTGGTTATATTCGAGTTGCCATCCTTTTCGGTGAAAGGCTGAATGGCGTGCTACCAGTACCATCTGATGGAGGAACGGCCTGCTGGAACGCAGTTCCACTTCCACTACCAAAGCCAGTACTGCCGCTTCCAAAGCCGCCACTTGCGCCAAAGCCACCTGTTGTACCAGTTGAACTACCAAAGCCGGTGGCACTGCCAGTGGCAGTGGCAGTGCCGGTGCCGGTGCCAGCCTTGTTACCAAAGAGGCCTCCACCGGCGGTGTTATTGGAGCTTCCGAAGCCTCCAGTGTTTCCGGTCGAACCGAAACCACCAAAACCACCGCCGGTAGTTGTTGCTGTTGTACCTCCTGCACTGCCTCCGAAGAGACTTCCACCGGTTGAAGTCCCGGCCCCAAAGCCGGCAGTCCGGTTTTGGCTACCAAAAAGCGAGTTTGACTGATTCTGCGTGCCCGTTCCGAATCCTAAATAAATCAAAACGTCAGTTCACTGCGGGGGCTTGCGCTAGAAACAATATATGAAGAGATTTATTGGAATATATATGAGGAAAGAAAGCTCGTCCTTGGACACAGATCCCCGATGGCCAGATATTTTGTTCTATGCTCGTTTCCCTCACTAGAGCAGAGCGTACTGCATTAATGTGCATTCACCAGCAAGTCGTGGTGATGTCGGTTGTCAAGTATCATAAATGGCAACAATAATAAGGCCAAGAGTTCCGTCCACGAGGCGAGCAGGGAAGAGAAAGGATCGCCAAGCTCGTGAACACATCGTCATTGGACACGTACCTCCTCCGGAACCAAAGCTACTGGAAGTATTCCCAAACAGGCCACCGCCTGATGTGTTACCGCCCCCAAATGGGGACGATGTAGATCCAAAGCCTAGATGACGGGGGAAGATGCTGTCAGAGACTGTACTCAAGCTGCGATCCCTTCTCTTGCGGCGCCAACTGTGTTGCCCAGAGTCGAAAACATCCGCGGAGTGTTGATATGTCGAGAGCCAAGTGGAACCATCGCGGGGTTGACGTCAGGAGCACCAGTGAGGACCGATTGTAGAACCAGTGGAAGTCCCAAGAAGGTTGAAAGGTAAAAGTCACAGGTCCAAGGCAGAAAAAATCGCAGCGACATGATGGATTGCAAACCTACCTCCTCCAGAACTTGTCCCACCGAAGCCAGAGCCAGCTCCAAATCCGGAGCTCTGGTTGTTTTGACCAAATCCTCCGAATCCGAAAGACATGATGTTTGATATGGATTGATGCTTATAGGTTCATTCGTTCGAAGTTGTCCGGAGACCGAAAACTTGTAAAGGTTGCGCGAAAGGTGATTAACAAGCTGATATCAACAAATAAATGCAGGCGATATGCTCGGTTACAGTGCGCTTCTACCAAGTAGAGGCAAACGTGTGTTGCTCAGAGAAAAGCAGCTCGACGCGCTGAAAGCGAAAGCAAAGAAAATCTGTTTTGATTTCTCGAAAAACAAAAAAAAGGACCCACACCGGCTTAAGACGGGCAGTCACCGTCTCAGGTAGGATATGCACAGGTCCTCGACTGTAAATATCGAAATCAAGAGAAAAGAAGATGAAGGGGTGGGAGGAAAGAAGAGTGGACAAACGCGACGGTGTAGGGAAAAGAGCTGCGAAGAGAGGATGGACGAGGGAGAAGTAGTCATAAAGTTACCGTTGCCTCCTTCGCTTACGGCAGCAGGACATCGGAACCGTCACTGATACCGGCCGTTCACCGGTCAACTCGAGGCTAACGCTCGTAATTTGGGTATGGTACTGTCATCCTGACTTTATAATCACGTGGTCACGATGCCTGAACGGAGCTGGCCTTCCCTTAGCAAAATCCACCGTTGATACTGCCACCGCATTTACTAGTAGTTAATGTATGTGCAGAGGATGCGACCTACATATTTCGTTTATCAATCCTAGGCAGTCTATACTCATTTCTTAATCAAAAAAGCATGGAGGACGCCTATTCCCTGCTATGCAATCTGAGCAAAGTAACTACTAGCCACAGAGATATTACGCTGTGCCCAATCCCAGGAGGGAATCCTACGACTTCAGTAATCTGCCGTAGCTGCCGTCAACGCATCCTGGACCCTCGCAATTAGATCCTCTTCTCTCTCTAACCCAACGCTGATTCTGACCATATGTCTGTCTATTCCACCCTCGGATTCGGCCCAGTCCTGCTCCCGAAAGTGCGCCAGCAGGCAGTATGGAATCGCCAGAGAGAAGTTGGTCCCGACGCTAGGTCCTTTACAAATGTCCAGCAGGTCATAAAAGCGCATAGCAGTCTCGGGTTTATGGAAAACAATGCTAAGCAAATACCCGTAGCCACCATCCTTGCGCCGCACCTGATCGTAGAATTGCCGTGAGGGTACTAAGCTAGGATAATACAATTGGGCCACCGAAGAATGTTTCGCGAGTAAATTGGCGATTGTGTGGGCATTGGCATTGCATCGCTTGACTCGCTCTTCAAAGTCGGAGGCATTCTGGGCCATAATCATGGCTTCGAGAGGGAAATACGTATCCTCGTAAAGCGCTGTGAGAGCTGAGTGAATCGTGGTATAGTGGGACGATTGGGGATTTACAACGACGCTGTAATGCAGTTTGTCAAAAAGTGGTCTGAAACGTCTCAGCGGTACAGGACGCTCACCTTCCCCCCATCACGTTACACATGCCGCTGAAGATCTTCGTTAAGCTGGTCATAATCACATCGACATAGGGTAAAACATCGATGTTGACGAAAGTACCGAGCGTGTCGTCGACTGCTACAACGAAATTATATTGTGCAGCCAGGGCACGAATTCGCGGCAGGTCAGGGGTTCGCAGTTGTGGATTGGAAGGAACCTCGCAGAACAGAACCTGAATGCGACGACCGGCCGCAAGGGAGGATTCCAACTCATCTAGTTCTTGTTTACTTCCAGCGCTGAGCAGAGTAGATCGTTTGTAATCACTTTCTTTGACACAGAGCGGAGTTTCGGCGTATGGCCATCTAAAATGATTATCAGCTCTGCGACAATCGAAGATAAGAGCCTGTTTGACGTACCCGTAGATTACCGCCTCAGAGAGCTCTGCAGATTGAGGTACCAAGGCCCTAGCTACTGCTGCAATGGCACACATTCCTTTAGGGTAGAGAAAGACGTCGTGACTGCTGACGGGACGATAACCCTGCTGGTCGGAACTGACCAAACGTGCAATCAAACTCCGGATAGATTTCTTTTCGGCCGCAGCCGAGTTGACCCATTGCAGATCCCAGGTGGAATGATCTCGGCAGGTGGCTGAAGTTTCAAAGTTAGTATTCTTTGAGTAAGAATTCATCGAGGGAAGCGCCGCGAGGCAATGCTCTGCATGACGACCCGCGATTCCATCCCCAAACACTTTCCAGAAATGCATGGCGGTGGAGTCACATGCCTGTGGAAACAGGACGACAAAGAAAGCGGCCCATCGTAGAGCTTCTTCGTCTGCTGGCTGGTGTGATTGAAATTTGATAGTGTGGCACGCTTCCTTGGGGTGTTCAGCTGATAGTCGGGCTGTACACCTGGCGGCGGCATCGGCCGAGGGAAAGATCAGACAGCTCAAATCCTTGGGGGCGCGCAGTCGAGCACATACGGCATCCATCAGTTTGCGTACTGATGGATGCATGCCAAACCTATCCCGGCTGAGCCTATAATGCGAGGTATCAAGAACGAGTAGCTCACCGTGGATAGCAAGTATGCAATGAGTCCAACAGCCATTGCTCTCGACGGCCCCAAGCAGCGACAGACTCCCATGTCGGCAGGGACACGCTTACAGACTATTGTTCGTCCTCGTCAGTACTTCCCATGAGATCATTTAAACCAATATCGAGATTGCACTCACATGCTTCTCGTTGGGTGGGTTGGGCTCTCCCACCGGGAGCATGTGCGGAGAGAGAGATTTCATCTTTTTTTTTGGCGGTAGGACAAGGGCAGTGTTAGTCAAGGGTTGAAAAGAATTTGGATTCAGAAAATGATGCTCGTGCTTGGGCTGTATGTCTGTCTATTTATAAGGCCAGCCCTTGCAGATTGTCCACAAAAAATGACGAGAGGATATCTTGTAGCGGTCACCTTATTGGAGATGAAGACGAGCCAGATGCAACATCCATTCGCTAATCCACCAAGTGCTTGTAACCCTCGTGCATCCATGATGCACGCCAGGTTGGCCCAATTCCAAGTTGACGAATGGAATGGCAAGGTGTTATTGGCGGGGACTGGGATCTGAGCAGGTGTTTGACCTCCACTGGCCCACCGAGTGTTTTCAGCTCAAGGTTGAGAAAATGAGAAAAACCTCAGCTACCTTAGCTCAGTTCTAGTACTACTTCGCACCCGTAGTGATTTCCCCTTGTTTCCCCCCTTTTTTTTTGTATCTGTTATTCTTTTATTCTTCTGCTGGTTTCTTTTTATGGTTTTTACTTCTCCGAAATGCTGTCGGCGATCCATCAGCTAGCAGAAAAGCGAAGAACATGTCCGGTAACAGAATGTGTTTCGTTGGAAATCTGCCATGATTAGAAGTAATTTTCAAATTCTGTTAGGGGAATCAAGAGAAAAGGGATATATATATATTGAAAAATATGGAACGTAACACACATATCAAGCAGAATAACATCGCTTCTCCAGAGGACAGAACACGGGAATCACAGAGTAAAGCCAAGCGAAATACGTGCACATGAGAATAATCCTGCCCTTCACAAACACTGCACCAGTTCAGTGCAGAGGAATTAAGAACATCATGTCATACCATCGCTGTTTTCCTTTTTTTTTCCTTCGGTTTTTCTTCTTTCATCATAACTCATGTCGTCGTCCATCTATTTGCCCCGGGCAGCGTGAACGGTTGCGATGATCTTGTCGACCACCGAGGGATCGGACAGGGTAGAAGTATCACCCAAACTATCCTCTTCGCCGCTCAGGATCTTGCGCAGGATACGCCGCATGATCTTACCGCTGCGAGTCTTGGGGAGGTCATCAACGACAAAGACGGCCTTGGGAGCGGCGAATGGTCCAATCGACTTGCGAACCTGCATAACAAGGTCTTTGCGGACCTGCTCATTCGTCTCATTACCCTCCTTCAGAGCCACAAATGCATTGACCGCTTGGCCAGTGAGTTCGTCAGCAATACCAACCACGGCGGCTTCCGCAACCATATCTGTGATGAATTATCAGCGCCCGAGCGTCCAGGGTGTCGCATTCTTTGTGTTACTTACGGTGTTCAAGCAGAGCAGCTTCAATCTCGGCGGTGGACAGCCGGTGACCGGATACGTTGACCACGTCGTCCACACGGCCGCGGATCCAGTAGTATCCGTCGTGGTCACGACCTGCGCCATCTCCAGTGAACTACCACCAGTTAGTCACAATCAACCAAAATGACTTGAGTATTTCCTTACGTAGTATCCCTTGTAGACGTTCAGATAGGTATCCATGTAACGCTTGTGGGCACCCCACACAGTGCGAGCCATGCTAGGCCAGGGCTGCTTGAAGGCAAGCACACCTTCCACGTCATTGCCCGAGATTTCCTCTCCAGAGACAGGATCAATGATGGCAGGCTCAATACCGAAGAACGGCAAGGAGGCACTACCGGGCTTCGTAGGGGTAATTCCACCCAAAGGTGTGATGACGTTCGAGCCAGTTTCGGTCTGCCAGTAGGTCTAAAGGGAAAGCATGGTCAGTACTGCGCCTAAGATAGAGAGCCAAAACAATAAAGCAGCGTATTTCATACATCGCAAATGTGTGCCTCTTCCTTTCCGACTTTCTCGAAGTACCATTTCCAAACCTCTGCAGCGATAGGTTCACCGACGGAACCCAGGACACGCAGATGAGCCATCTTGTGGTGAATGTGCTCGTCTCCAGCGCGCTTCAGCAACCGCAATGCTGTAGGGGCGACGTAGAATTGAGTCACCTGGTGCTTCTCGATGACATCCCAGTAGCGAGAAAAGTTAGGGTACGCTGGGGTACTCTCAAAGACGACGGTGGAACATCCCAGGAGCAAAGGCGCATACACAACATAGGTATGACCAGTAATCCAACCGACGTCACCACCACAGAAGAAGCGATCGTCGTCGTGGATATCGAAGACGTACTTGCCGGTCATAGCGGCACCCAGGAGATACCCAGCGGTGGTGTGCATAACACCCTTAGGCTTTCCAGTCGAACCAGAGGTGTAAAGCAAAAACAGAGGGTCTTCGGAGCTCACGGACTCAGGAGGGAAGTAATTGGGGTACTTTTCCACCTCCTCGTGCCACCAGACGTCCCGACCTTGGGTCCAGGGGACCTCAGTCCCAGTGCGCTTGTAGACCAGCACGCTTGAAACGTCCGGGCACTGCTTCAAGGCCTCGTCAACAATACGCTTAGTACCAATCACCTTGCCGCCACGCTTGCCCTCATCGGTGGTAATGACCACTTTAGATCCGGCATCAATGACCCGATCACGGAGCGAGTCTGAGGAAAATCCTGCAAACACCACGGAGTGGACGGCACCAATGCGGGAACAGGCCAGGAAGGCTACAATGGCCTCCGGAATCATAGGAAGATAGATGGCCACAGTATCACCCTTCCGAACACCTTGCTGTTTAAGCACCCAGGCAACTCGAGATACTTCGCGAAGCAGCTCTCCGTATGTAATAGTACGGCCCTCATTCGGCTCATCAGCCTCGTAGATGATTGCGACCTTGTCGGGGTTCTTCAGTGCATGACGGTCCACGCAGTTGAAGGCAGCGTTTAAGCGGCCTTCCACGAACCAGGCACTGTCGCCGTTCTCCAGAGAGCCACTGTGGGTAGTTTGGAAGTCTTTGTCGAAGGAAAGGAGTTCACGAGCCATGCGGGCCCAGAACGTCTGAGGACTGCGAATCGATTCGTCATAGAGCTTCTTATATTCATCCAGGTCTTTCAGGTGAGTGCCAGTCGGGTGCTTCTCGTAGAAAGCCTTGGGGACATGGAAAGTATCGACTTCGTGGGCTTCCAGCACCTGAATTGAGGCGATTAGCCAGCTGTCAGACTATATATATCATCTGGAGTTTCTCTCATACCACGGAGGGCTTAGGGGGCATCACGTTGCCGTCAGCCATGATTCGATAGCGCGCGAGGGAGATGCCCGAGCTAGACGAGAGACCACGAGACGCGACAGTCTTAAAAAAGAAAAAGCTGGGAGGAAGGCAAGAGACTCTGGTTCCAGAGGAGGAGAAGGTCAGCATGAGCGTGCCAATCATTGCGAAGTGGCGGCGGCAAGGGACTATTTGAACCTACTGTCAAAGAGGAATTAATTACGGTGGTATCTGATGGATGTTTAGAGAGGTGGGTATAATACGACGAACCCCTCCAAAGTAACCAAGGTAGTAGAGTAGAGGAAAGGGAGGGGAAGGCGCAGATTGAAAACGGAAAAGAGGAAAGGATAGAAAGAGAAATGGCTTATGGAGACTTTGTCTCAGACCGGGGGGAGGAGAGAGCGTTATTTAATTGAATCCAACACACAAACTAAATGGACCAACAGACAATGTTGAGGTCCCGCAGTCCGGCAGTCCGGTGGAGGTTTCTCGGCCACCTTATATCTCCAGCCCACCAACAACCACCCACATCCTTCCGCGCGACCGGTGCTCTGGTTTTACCGGCCATTCAATTGTTTATCTTCAAGAGGGCGTAGGGAAAATCATGAGTCTTACTATACCTCTTGGTTGTCCTCTATCCCCGCCTCATGGAGCACAGTGCACTATACCCATATACATCCTGTTCTTGGTACCTTTTCTACTACTACTAGTACTAGTAAAGGGTAAATACAATGGATATTGGTGGGAGAAAGATTGAATTGCATTACAGTAATTTTTCTCTACAGATATTAATTCATACTAAAACCTATGGGAATTATTGTTATAACTATAATTATTATTATTATTGTTATTATCTTGCTTTTCTAGTTTTCTTTTCTTTTCTTTTTTTTTTGTGTGTATTTTGTTGAACCCTGCACCTATTAGTACTGGAGTAGTAGTGTTTTTTTTTCCCTCTCATCCTCCAAGCAAACCAATAACAGCATCCACCCTGGAAGTACTGTACAGTCTAAACCACTCGCATTGGTCCGAACGCGGCAAGTCGAAAATGGTTAGACTCGGCCATGCGGGGCTCGCAGAGGACCTGACAGCTTCCCTTTCCGTTGCTCCGGGGAAAGGAATCTCGATGATGCGTCAGCATTGTCGCAAATTGGTTCGTCCCTGGGTACTCAAAAAGTTTAGGGTCATGGGGGAGCAGATCAAGATCATCCGTCGATTAATTTACCTTAGTACTGAGTGACCCCCTTGATTTACCGTTCTGTTTTGGTTGTACAGTGCCCCGGGTCCATGCCCCCCTCCCCATCACCACGGGCCCAGATCAGTGATCAATGGATCTGGAGTCGTTCAAGTGTTACCAAGGGGGTCAATGTGTGATGCAGCCCCAGCGGATCGGAATTCCCACATGTTTGGTTATTGGTTGGGACGTAGTATCACAAGAGCAGCTGCCGAGCCATCGAAGTGGAGGGGTAATCTCGTAACTTCTCATCATCTGCGGGGTGGAAACTTTTGAGTTCTCTTCAATACTCTACTGCGTTAGGCTGGGATTAAGGTGTAGAGAAAGGAAAATTAAAATGAAATACAATACAATACATTCAAATAAACTGCGGTAGAGCACCAATGGTCAGGTTGAAAACATTCCCAGGATGATTTTCAATGCTGTTTGCGGAAGCTACTAATTGTATAGTACCTCATTCGGTAGGAAATACTTCTCGACGTGCCTAGATCTGTCGTGGGCGATATTAAGATTGATAATAAGACATGGTAATAAGAAACAAGGTACAGTATTGGGCAGTCATCACTTACCGAAGGGAGTAAAAGCGCTAGCTGATGGCAGCCCACGTTTTACCGCAACTGACAGGTGAAAATGATTTGATTCCGTCATGCATGTATTATGCTCATCGCTCCGAGTTTATTGAGGTACATCCTGTAGTACCAGGAGTGACATCCCGTTGGACAACTTGCCCCGTTCCATTGGGCATCGTCCTAACTTGCCTAAGAGAGTAAATCATGGTTCATCGCTCGTTGTGATCACCACGGAATCTATTCCAAGCTTCGGCCAAGTAGCAAAATGCGATTAAATAGTACACAGCACATAGGACTTCTCCACGACTGTGGGGAGATTTTGTGGGTAGACCATATTGCGAACGAGAAGAAGACTGTGTGGTTTTTTTACGGCCACCTATTAGGATCCATCATAGTGAAGGGAGGGGGGGGGGGCAATGTGGAGAGAGGGTCGGCAACGCAAACATCAGAAAGTCTAGGTACCGTACCTCCTCCGGAGTACGGAGTATTGTTGTACAGTGTGCAGTGGTAGAATGATCAACGCTCGGCTCTCCTGCCTGGGTTTCCAGGCATTCAATCGCCTCTACCGAGACGGCTACACGGAAGCCCGGGCATCTCTGTTAACCGTGACGAGCACCGAGGTTATGGTTAATCGTCCCTGTTTATAAGGTTATCTTCCCTTCATCCTGTTCCTGTTCCGACTGCGTACGTTGCTCTTCTACGTTCACCCTAATACGGAGTACGTCGGGAAAACGGATGATCACCTGTTCAGCGCGGCCTCAGGCACGCCTCCTACTAGGTACTGATTTAGTGGTGGTTAGCGGCTACTGAGGATCATCTAACTCGTCAGAACTCACACCATCTTATTTCTTAGTTGACTCTGCTACAGACTTTGAAACCCACTCCCTCCTTACCACTTGCGTTCGCCTCTAGGTACGTACTTTCCTCCGCCTGTGTTCAAATAAAGCCCCCCTGCTCATACTACGTGGGTACTACCTACTACGTCGGACATACTTCTCGCACTATGTACTGTACGGAGTACATCCATTGTCATAATTTATAAATTAAGGTACGGAGCTTCCTCCGGAGGCTACATTGGTCATCGCAATCCACATTCGCTGCAACTCTAGTGTAACATAGCGCAAGCTCATCGAATCTCGACTGACTGGACTTGCTTAAAACAGCAAAGTTGGGTTGGCTCTTGTGCCGCACCCGGTGGGCCTGATTTTCATTCCACCACTACTCTAGTGCGCGAACCACTTTCAGTGTGGGTTTGGTTTGACTTGATGGCATACCCACGAACCAATGATCACGACTGATTAGGATGGACATACCGGTAGCCCTGCTCTCCCAGTCTCCAATTTCACACTAATTGATGGCGCGTTTGATACCCCTGTTGGGATTCTAGCGTTGCTTAGTTACAGTCGCCTCGGAACATCCGGGCTATGAAAGCCTGGTCCGCTGGCCTGTCTTGATCATATAGCAACATGCCGCCACGCCAGTAGTCCATACTCTGGATTATCCATAACATCAGTTGTCTGCGACAGCGATTTAGGATACTGTCTGGAGCCAGGTGATGGCGAGACCCTTGTTTCGATGCATGCTATATTTGAACCTTATTATAGTACCCTAAAACCCCTTTCTTCCGCAAGATTACAGATAATGATTCTAGACACACGGCTGAACATACAGCCTCATGCATGACACTATTTATGTTGAGGTACGTATACGTCACCCCGAGGCCAGCTTGAGGACTAGATCGCCAACCCTGGATAATCCGCAAGGTATACCGGCCCGTATCCTATCACAGCTCCGTAAGATATCGATCCTGTGCAGTCTGTCGGGAACAAAGGGTGGACAAGTAAAAGTGTCACCCGCTTCAGGTATACCAGCAATTGATATATCCGTCGCCAGCACCCTGATACAGATATGACATGACAAAACATAAAGTAACACCCAGGCGCTGTCACCGCCTGCTACAATTTGTCCTACCTCAGATTATATTATATAACAAGCAGAGAAGATGAAAAGTTATTGTTTAAATAACACGACCTGGCTGGTTCCGTAAGACATTGACAGATAATTCTGGAATGGCATAGTAATGGTTCCACCATGGCTGGAGGAAACCAGGAGTTTGTTTTGCAAAAAATCAGGCATATACAACAGGATGTAATCTATAGAACTGAGCGCGAATTATATGGCATGGTAGTGCCAATACTAGTAATGGACAAATAATGATTAACAATTCAAAACATAAAACAGGAGGTCATAGCTTCAGTTGCCGTCGCTTTTCATCTGAGTACCATCACAGCTTACAATGCAAGATCTGAAGAGATCAAAACAAAACAATAGTAGTAAAGTGGATAACTATAAACAACACTAACCATTTTAATAGGCTGTCCACTCACGGGTCCACCAAGCTCCCATCCCCAGCAAGAACACGACTAGGCTACCGTCGCGGACTATGTCCTGGAAGAGTTGAAGCCAAAGCATTATCCCGGCAGCTCTCCCAGTCCGACCCTTGCTCATTAACCTCGCGCCAGTCAATACCACTTCTCCCGTTGTAAAGTAAAGGAACGGGTTCTGTGCAGTGGCAGGGGGTGGTGGCTGGCTACCGTAGGTGGAAACCGAAGTTCCGATGAGCATGAGCAAGTAGATCCCGACTGCAACTGCGAACAGGACGTGCAGTACTTTCCATGTCCGGACCTCCTTCTTCTCCTCATCAGTAGGTTTGTGAGTTGCAGCTCCAAGCAGATCCGCGACAAACGGAGGGAGCCCCAGGGCAGACACGAGTTCGGCTGGTGATGGACCGCCAGCAGCTCCACCGGCAGCCTGATCTTGCCCATTCATGCCTGCCATCAAGGTATTGAGCATTTGCATTGTAGGATCCTCCTCCTGAGGGCCCTGCTCGGAGGATGATGGTCCACCTTGGCGTAGAAGTGCGCGGAATAACTCCTGTTGTGCCTGTAGGTTTTCGGGAGACTGAGGCTCGGGGTTCGACGTTGGTTGGACTGGTACTGATGCTGGTGCCGGTGCCGGCTGCGGTTGAGGCTTTTCGGTCTCTGGTGTAGATAATATCTGTGCAGGAGACGGGGGGGATGGCGATGGCGATGGAGAGGCCTCTTCACGCACTGCAGAAATGAAGTTAGCTTCCGCTCTTCGACCCCAGAGACCAGGGTAATGCGTGTAAGAGAGACAAAAGAAGGGGAGACCGTACTGCTTGCGGGTGTACGTCCGCTGAGACTAGTAATCTTATCCAAACGCGCTGCACCACCCTCTTTGATTTTAGCTTCACGACGCTCACGTCGGAGACGGGCTGCTCGCTGGGCTGGCGACTCTTCTGCTGAAGACATTCTCGGGGATTTTGTGAATTGACTCTTTCGATCGACTTCGTGTTCACGATAAACTTCCTACTATATTGATAGGTATGTAGTACGTGCAAGATACGCAAGTACCAGCTAGTGAGTTGGCACAGCCTTATAGATAACGACCTGTTGCGTATGATGTTGTTGGTCTTTCGGCCACATGAAAGTGATTGATGTCAAGTAATCTAAGTCTTGGCGCTTGCTGGAGCGATGCCCTTTCCTATTCGCTGGGCGTGCTAATTGTGGGACGACTTTGATTAGTAAGAATCGTGGTAGCTTTCCAACTTGATGACTTGAGCTTGAGGTACAGAAGATACCTAAGTATAAGGGGGAGCAATTTCCTGGTTATTGTCTTGATTCAATTGGTGGTACGTGAGTATATAGTATATATATTTCTAAGCGTTGAGAAGGATTTGGCTTCCTTCCCAAGAGACATTAGTATAAACCATTGCCTAGTGATCAGGTAAATCTACAACCGTCGACAGTCTCAATCCTGGATGCAGATGGCTTCAAGATGTGATATATATATACTTACCCTGTGAGGTTCATACATCTGTAGCACCATCATAGTGAATGAAGTCTTACTTAAGCCGTTTATCTCCTAGTTAATTAGTACCGTTAGTTATGTATTATTGTATTATATATAACTATTGCTTGGAAATTTGGTTACTAATTATACAGTACCATCACTTCGATCATTTCAAGAATAAATAGCTACCCACCTAACATAAGTACACGCAATCTCATCAACTCGAATGGCCGATCCTTTAACCCACCAGAAGATTTAATTATGGATAGTTGGGGTGTGACATCATCACTCAAGGTTCGTCCCGTGCTGTCAGTTTGCGACCAGTCGGGATGGTACCATTTCACAGAGCATTTGCTTCGAGAAATTGAGCGACAACCATTCTATCGGATCTGCCCTGGACACGTTCATGATGAGTTGTCTCATATTATAACAGTCCAGAGAAAAAAAAGTTTACTTGAACGAGGATACCAACAGCTGTTGGCGATATCGCTCAACTTCAATGGGCCAATTCATCATATATGCCAAGACCATCTTGGCCTTGATGAGAGACGGTCCTAATCGGTAACATCCGCATGGCATCTGGGATCCTGGAGCAAAGTTAGTGCTAGTCCTGTGTATACATAGTATCTTGGTGCCGTCAGTCTATTTCTAACTTCTGGCAGTAGTGCGACTCTTATTTCTTGTTGGACCGTCCATACACCTTCCAACTCCACCGGACATTGGCTGACGTTTGGGGGTTCCTCCACAATGACGTAGTGTCTTCCTCCGGTAGGGCTGGACGATGCTATTACTTCACCAGAGCTGCTGTTCCTCCCACGCAAGACACAGACTAGAACCCACTCATTGCTTTCAAATACCCTCTCATCGTCAATTCCGTTGTAACTCAATTCCTTCTGACCCTCTCGATTTCTGCTCAACCCAGGACTCAGGGCGTCCAAATCTAGAATGAAAGCTCGGGTCCCCGTTTGACTTGCATGGTTTCCCAGCTTTTATCTTTTTTTTCGTCCATCTATAGCTTCTACTAATAAACACCATTTCTAAACTTACCGTCAGCATGGGGCCCCATACTACTGGGGTTGATTCTCCCACACACCATCGGGTAGGAGAACATTATGGTACACACAACCCCGTTCCCACCATTCAAAAGTTTCTAGAGCACTTGGAAAAAGACAAGCAGGACCGCAAGGCCCATGAGGAGGCTGTCACGGCGAGGGAAAAGGAAGAAGCGGCCCGCGGAGAAGCGAAGCCTCATAAGCCGCGGAAGAGACCTGGTAAAGGTAAAACCCGTATGGTTACAGACCCGACAACTGGTCGCGAGATAGAGGTTGAAGACCAGGATGCGGATTCGATGGAAGTAGTGAAGAATCCAAAGGTATGCATTTCATAATACCATGGCTCTATGCATTTGAAAGCCGTTTTGATTGCTAAATTTGACTGTAGTTGGTCGTCCCCAATGCCAACCTTGGAAAGCCAACGGTTAGTACCCCAGCGCGAATTAGCTCTCTCATGGCTAGCCCAGACTGACCGCTTATGCAAAATAAAAGGATGTCAGGACCTCCCCAAGTCAAAGCCTCAAGGACTACAAAGAGAATCAGGATATAACAGCACCCCCGGACCCCATCGCAGAGGTACTACTTCCGACGTCCCCCTCCATGGAGAAATCACGAATGTTCTCTTTCATCCAACCCCATCCATTTCCTACAAGCCTATGTATGACAAATTAGAGAAAAGAGGGACTGGGCTTTGCATAGGAATTGTATTTGGAATCCTTTTTGTGGGCCGGATGCTTGGTGGCTCGCTATGGGCTCTCCTCCCCTTGGCTGCCTGCATTGCAAGTGGTGTATGGCTGTGGGTACAAGAAGTTATTCGGAGTGGGCGCGAGATGGAATGGAGCAGCGAGCAACTTCGGGGGCAAATGGTAGGCTAACCTTCCGTCTTCGTCTGATGGTCAAGATACTAATGTCTCATCCTCCAGGCTATTGCTAATCTCCTGCCTGAATCCGTTGAGTGGATGAACTCGTTTCTCGGAGTCATATGGGGCTTGATTAACCCGGACATGCTGTCGCCTGTTGCCGATACCATCGAGGACATTATGCAGGCGTCCGCCCCTAGCGTGGTTGAGAACGTTCGAATTGCCGAAATTGACCAAGGGAACAACCCTTTGCGGATACTGAGTTTGCGAGCTCTTCCGGATGAGCACGTACAGCACATTAAGGACAACGTTCGTGAAGAGAATCTCAGGAATAAGGACCCTCATGAAGCCGCTGCCATGGAGGAGGGCGGCAGTTATTATAATTTAGAAGCTTCCTTTGCGTACCACGCAAAACCGAGCGGTCAAACCGCTTCGTCCAAAGCACGCAACATGCATATGCAGCTAATCTTTTATCTGGGTATCAGAGGCCTTTTTGGAGTTCCTTTCCCGGTGTTTGTGGAGTTGATTGAGATGGTTGGCACTGTGCGGATCAGATTTCAGTTGATGCCCGAAGCACCCTTCATGAAGGATATGACGTTCAGCCTTGTGGGAATCCCTCACATCAGAGCCGGATGTATGCCGATGTTCAAAGCTGGCGTCAATATCTTGAACCTTCCTCTCATCTCGAATTTCGTCAACTATGCGATTGGTACGGCATGTGGTCTCTTTGCGGCTCCCAAATCGATGACAATGGACCTCAGTATGATACTCAAAGGCGACGATATCATCAAGGAGACTCAAGCATTGGGTATCATGTGGGTTCGTATCCACCGTGCAACTGGACTAAGCAAGCAGGATAGACGTGGCAGCTATGGTGGTGGTAGTGACCCGTACATAAATCTTTCTTTCTCCAAGTACGGCAAGCCTATGTATTGTACAAGGGTGATTACAGACGACTTGAATCCAGTATGGGAAGAAACTGCGGCACTACTTGTGAATCCAGAACTTATCAGTGCCGATGAGAACCTAAGTGTTGAGCTATGGGATTCAGATCGCAACACGGCAGACGACATCGTGGGTAAGGTTGAGCTGCCGATCCGTGAGATGATCCAACATCCAGCGCGGATGTATCCCCAAGTATCTAAGCTACAGGGTCTCAACGAGGGCAGCGAGATGCCTGGTGAGCTACACTGGGAAGTCGGCTTCTTTGGAAAACCGAAACTGAGGCCAGAGCTAAGGACCGATGGCAAGAAGAAAGACTTACCCGAGAACCTCAGGGACAACCCTCAATTCCAAGATGATAAAGGGGTCATCACCAACGGGGAGGAGGATGCTATCACTCACACGCCGCCGGATCCGCTTTGGCCTAGTGGTATTCTTAGTATTGTGGTACACCAAATTGTGAACCTCCAACTTGCAAACATTAAGGGAAGCCGGTATCGAAAAGGAAGAGAATACGAACCGGCGAAGCCATATGGGGAGAATACGGAGGAACAGGGAGGAGATCTTCCGACCAGCTATTGCAAGATTGTTTTGAATGATCAGTTGGTAATTTCTGACCCAACCTATTTCACCTAACAACAACTGAAGCTAAATGGTGAATTTGCAGGTCTACCGTACCCGGCCGAAAGCTGTCAGCTCAAAGCCCATATTCAATGCAGGCACGGAGCGATTCGTTAGAGACTGGCGATCAGCTATCGTCACCGTGACTGTTAGGGATCAACGCTACCGAGAGCATGATCCAATTCTAGGAGTAGTACCTCTGAAGCTATCAGAAATCCTCCAAACGAGCTCGCAGGTTACCCGATGGTACCCTCTTGATGGTGGCATTGGATACGGGCGGATTCGCATCTCTCTACTCTTACGGCATGTTGAAACCCGACTCCCTCCAAACATGCTTGGATGGGATGTCGGTACGTTCGAGTTCGCCTCAGATAAAATCATCGCGAAGAACTTCAACCATCGGGCCAAGGTTAAGCTACGGACGGGTGGCAGCAGCGGCAAGATCCCACGATACGTGGCTTCGATCGAAGGGCAGGACACTTCTTTTAACTTGACTAACGGATCTCTCCACAAGAGTATCCGACTTCCCGTAAAACACCGCTACAGATCTCCAGTTGTGTTTGAGTTCTACTCACCAGGAAAACATGGCGCTGCAGCATACGCAGTCCTCTGGCTCCAGCACCTGGTAGACAACGAAGATACCCCGGTCGATCTGCCCCTCTGGTCAACGAAGAATGGAAAACGGCTCACCCAGAACTACATCACGGAAGAAAACTGGGAAGCCAAACGAGAGCCAGGTCTAGAAGATCTACAGATCATCGGTCGACTCCAGTTCACATGCCGCTTCACACCCGGCATCGATGAATCCCACGAACAGTACGTAGTGGACAATCACTCCCGTGAGACCTACGAAACATGGGAAGCGTGCATCGCCGAAGGTGTACGGCCCCGAAGCATCTCCCTCGAGGTCCCAGAAGAAACGGAACAAATGCATGAAAGATCATTGGTCGACGGCCGCGACGTCCTGAAGCACGCCGACCCCAAAGAGCGCCGCCAATGGATTGACAAACAAGGACAAGATTGGAGCGGTGCATTCGGCAACGACCCCAGCGCATTCATGAACCACGACGGCCACAAGGTCGCCGAACCCGGCCGCGACAATCCGCCGTACTCCGCTGATGGCCATTCCGTGGAGGCTGTACACCCCGAAGGAGAAGAAGAAGAAGAAGAAGAAGACAACGACTCCTCCTCCTCCTCCTCCTTCTCCTCATCTAGCAGGACTGAGAACTCCACTGAGCAACGACTCTCCACTGCGAATGGCTCTCAGCTATCCTCTACGGGAACTCCACCCTCCACCACCGAAGATAGTCTCGCTGGGTCAAGTAAGGGGACTAGGCACACGAAAAAGGCCAATCGACGCAGTGAGCAACGACAGCAGCGCGGCCTGATGCAGTGGAAACCGGCTCGTAACGCAGTCTTCGCGCGTGATGAGGCAAAGTTTGCGCTGCGGAAAGTGAAGAAGAGGTTCACAGGTAATCTGACTGGCCGGGAGCCCGATATTGAAACTGAGACTGGCAATTAAAGTGCGGTGTACGTGCTTACTGTATCTATATTTATCTATTCTTGATGCTTTCACGAATCATGGCATGATTTGAGCTGTATGGTGTACGAGAGTGTATAACATTTTTTTTTTTTTTTAAATTCTTATTATTATTTAATTTTATTATTTTTGAGTTTTGGTTGTACGTACATTAGGGTTTGCTGACGCTGCATGATTATGATGTCACGAAGTTGGGTTGGCAATCAGTACTAGTGGTGTACTCGAACCGGGTGTTCTTGTGGCATCTTTGCAAACTGTGGTGGTTCACCGCTGAAATTGTTTATCTGTTCTCAACGCCGTGCGTATTCTTATTTATTACTAGATCGGTAGAGTCTGAATACGGAATGTGGATTTCCAGGTCCACATGTTTCTATATTAATACGACTTGATCGGCAGTCGTATTCGTGTCGCACGAGGATCTTTAATGGAGTCAAACATGGTGCGAAGTAAGGTAGGACGGTGTATACCCAATGGGATCTCAAGTATCATCGTAGATATTTTATTAGAATAGTAAGTAATAATATATAGGTATGTATATGCTGTGATGCGAAACAAAAATGTATATATATGCAATGGCATCATGCTGCCAACCTTGTTGGTATCAAACAAGCAAAGGTTTTCTCATATAACTCCCAATGTAAAGAATAATCAATCAATAATGCTCTGAAAACAGCAACCAAATTCAACCTGATATGTATATGAACCGGTGTATGTATGTATGTATGTATGTATGTATGAAGAGAGGCTTGCTGAAAGGCTCATGGTCCCATGCCTTCTATATGCATAAATCATAATCGGATATCCTAAACTCATCAATGCATGCGTGATTTCCATTTCATCGCTCGTCATTGGACTGTATTTGCGTGCGCTCGTTCAGTTTCGTGAGTCATGTTACTCTTGCAGTCATCATTTGTGACGATCTCTAGAGCGATGGATGGACTCGGACTGGAATTTTGCTCTGAAATGCTGGACAAAGACGTAAGGTTCGAGACCCAGGACCTAGGACTGTCATTCTCGTTGTCCGGCGATGTTGTTGTGGCATTAGAGGCAGGGGATATATTTGGTATAGTTTCTGTCGGGTTGGATGTTGATTTTTCTTCAGCCTGCGAAGGTTGGGTATTTCCATCCCGTATCTCTAGTGGTCCCAGGGTCCATCTCCATTCGCAGCGACGTTTGGTCCGATTCTGACATGGCGTTTGTGGAGTGGAGGCGCCATCTTTGTCAATCCCGTCCATTAGAGCAACTGCTCGGATTTGTTTTTCCGCGCTCAAGTGCTTCCGCTTCTTCTTTCCGAATGATTTCAACGGGTCATGGCTCGATTTTGCCTCCACATCCTCATCCGTTGTGCTCGCATCGGATGGCTCCGTGCTCGTGTTCGAATCCGAATCCTCCCTGGAGCCAGCTTCTTGGGATATAGGATTGGGCTGGTGTGTGATATCGGAGTGGCGCGCGGTATAGCGCACGGTTTGGATTTCTTCTTCCAGCGGCTGCCGATAGCTTACTTGTTTCTTGGCGGGGAAAAAAACACGGCGTGAGCCCGGTCCTCCATTGGGCCCGTTCGGGGCCACCGAGCCCCGGCGCCTGCAGGTGGGTTCTAGCGGCGAGTTGCGAAGAATGCTTTTGACTCCCAGAGGGAGTTGATAAGGGCTGTTTGTGGAATATGGCGATGAGGGTTTGCTGAACCGGTGATTAGATGATCTTGAGGGGGAAGCGGTGGCTGAAGATGGTACGGCGACTTCATAGGCATTTTTAAAAGTGTTGCGAACTGTGGGAGACGCTGTCGGCCCGGTAGCAAGCGAAAGAGACAATCCCGTCGAAGAAGTGCCGAATGTCATGGGAAGTGACGTCGTTTGGAGGGTAAGTTTGGGTCTCATAGTAGGTCGTCGGTTACTTGTCACATTGGATGACAGGCTGCAGGACAAGTTTGAGTGAGAGACGGTCGATGGGCATGGTGAGGTCTGAGGAGTGACCGTGGGCATAGTTGTTTGCGAGGCCGTCCGACCTGCTTCGGAAGGAGGATAATGTGACGTTGGCGGTTGCATGGGGGCAAGAAGCATGGCGATGAGTCCTTCAGCAATGGAGCTCAAGGTGGAAAGAGATGGGGAGAGGGTAAAAGAAAGAGACCGAAGAAGAAGAAGAAGAAGAGGAGGAGGAGGGAGAAGAAAAAGAAAAGAAAAGGAAGAAGATAGGGTCGACGAATAGAGGAACAAACAAGTGGTGACTGTCGAGGCCAGGATTCGGTGCGCCCCGCACTCAATAAGGCCAACGGGTGCGAGGTGAAGTGATGTGAAAGACTGGTAACTACTAGGTAAGAAGAGGAAGTCTAATGCATCAGACTGAGAGTGATCACAGTGCCAGAGAGTATACTCTGGAAGAGGAGTGGCGGATGGCACTGGAGAAAAAGAGGAGACGACGTGGGCGCTTGTCCAATGTCAGAGTGAGAGGGTTTCCTATTTTAGGAAGACCGCATCGGAGGGGTTGGAAAACTGATGTCGATCACCAACGGCGGGTCATCCGGCGATGAAGAAGCAGAAACAGAAGAGAGATTTTTCTTTTTTTCCACCATGTGGCAGCCTCTTAAGATGTATATAAGAAATTTTAAACGTGAGAAATTAAACAAAAGGTAGAGCTTAAAAAAAAAAAAACAAACGTAAAAGAGAAAGAGAAAAATGAAATAAAATAAAAACCTTCAACGCTGCTTGCAATGAGTTTTTCCGGATTTTAATAAATTAATTCCCAAAAAAGCTGGAGATCATTAAAAAAAAAAAAAGAAAAAACCGACGTATAATAATAATGCTGCGGTACTACACAGCGTTACGACTCTTCTAATAATAAATAGAACTATTGACGCCGCATCAGCAATCGCTGCTCGTCGGGACCCATTCACAGTATCAACAGGTGAAGGAAGGATCCGCTGCTGTCGACCGACTAGAACCATGTTTAACTTTTTTTTTTCTTTTTCTCTTTCCTTTTTTTTTTTTTTTTCTCTCCTCATTTCTTTCTTAAAATAAGATTACATAGTCTAATCTATGTCGGGAGTCTGGACGCGTGGCTGATTCATTTTGGAAGATCCAACTGATCCAGTTCGATTGTCTGATTTGAATCATGGTGGATTCTTTTTCTTCACATACTTATACCCTCTGTCCAGACAATTGACATCGAGTGGGAATCAACGGCAGTGAAGGATATTTATAGCATTCAGGTATTGTCACCAGATGGTATGCTGAGGTACTATAAAAAGATCCCTGTTGGTACACGAGGCTAAGTGGGGCACTGAGACGCGACTAGTCCTTCTTGGGACTGGAGAAATGTATCTCCACTCTCAAAAGAAGAGTCCAGCCACAGACTCCCCAGCCTTTTCTTTCAAGCCAATCATAACTCCGGGATCACATGGGGAACATTCCTTGAACGCCTATCAATCAGGCATGAATCCTGCATGATGATTATTTCCACTCACTCACACCAACAGAAATCTTTTGCTGTCACTCGCAGTTGACTGAATGGCTGTGGTACCGCCCCGTGATGATCACCGAATTATAATCCACTTTGTTAGTCCCGCCCAGCACCAGCCAGGTAATGAACAGGACTAATCCTATATCGGCTTCTCTTATAATAGGACTATGACTGTTTCTATGCTTCGGTTTTTGAGGTTGAGCAACCGGCGTTGAAGACTCTTCCTTTAGCCGTCCAGCAGAAACAGATTGTAGTGACCTGCAACTATGAGGCTCGCAGAAGGGGATTACGCAAGCTGCAATTGATCAAGGAGGCCAGGCAGATTTGTCCCGAGCTGGTCGTCGTCCTCGGTGAAGATCTAACTAAATTCCGTGATGCGTCGAAGAGTCTCTACCTTTTCCTCCGTGCTTTCTGTTGGAGCGGGAAAGTGGAAAAATTGGGATTTGATGAGGTGGGTTGGTTTCCTACTGCGTATTTTACTCTTCAGTTCCTGTCGACGGTTTGTGGATCTCGGAGCCTTATCTCTGATACTAGAACAACAGCTGTTTCTGGATGTCACAGACATGATTACATACAATGTGGATCTTTTGAATCGAAACGATCTAGAACACTCGTTCTTTCATCTCAGCCGTCAGGATCCCACCCTCGGGTTCGCATTTGATGCCACTGGGTTCCATGGTCCGACTTACCCTGCGGCTCCCAACGTAGCACCGGATTCTGCCTGGCCATCTGTTCCGGCGGGAAATGATCCTCCTTCGCTACATATTAAACTTCTAGTTGCTTCCCATCTGGCAGCCTACCTACGTGGACAACTGGAAGAACATAAGGGCTACACTGCCACAGTAGGCATTTCGACCTCGAAAATCCTCGCCAAATTAGTGGGTAATACTTATAAGCCCAACAACCAAACAACCCTTCTTCCGCCTTATACTGCGGCGGAGCAAGGCGCTCAGAGCAATGTGCTCAACTTTCTTGACGCTCATGACCTAAGAAAAATTCCTGGGATTGGCTCTAAACTTTCTCAAAGATTATCTTCCTACCTCAAAAGCCCGGCCCAGTCAGGTTTAACTCAGGGCGTTTCTGATACGGCGAAGGATGATACAGCCACTGTCCGAGACGTTCGTTTGTGTCCTAGGATGGGCCCGATGCTTCTAGATAAAATTCTAGGCGGTCCAGGGTCCCCCAGAGGTATTGGTCCGAAGGTATGGGGCCTATTACATGGTGTAGACAATTCAGAGGTTCTCCAAGCTCGGGACCTACCGACCCAAATTAGCATCGAAGACTCGTATGGGTGTTTGAGCACCTTCGCAGAAGTTAGAAGAGAGCTGGTCTCCCTAACAGCTAGTTTAATACGTCGCATGCGAGTGGACCTCACGGAGGAAGAACCTGCTGCAGCGGACTCGCGATCGAACGGTTCGCTTTCTCGAACAACACTCAATATGCGATGGATTGCTCGTCCAAGGACTCTCCGTTTGTCAACAAGGCCTCGGCCACCCCCTACATCCAGCGAGGCACAAGCGCACGGCTTCAACCGTATTTCACGCTCGGCGCCGCTGCCCCAGTATGTATTTTCCCTTGATGCGAGTATTGACGCGCTGGCGGAACAACTGGTGCACGAACTTGTGACCTCCATGTTCCGGAAACTTCATCCTGAAAAGGCTGGTTGGAACATCCGTCTCTTGAATGTCGCCGTGACCAACATGGTAGATGCAGCTGGGGAGCGTAAGCAGAGTAGTGGACGAGACATCGAGAAGATGTTCCAGAGGCAGGACATGGGACGCAGGCCAGTCCTCCCCGTTCCAGTGACGGCATGGCCATCACCGGACACTGGTACGCAATACGCCAGGGATCCCAGCCTGTCATCCAGCGAGATCTCCAGCCGTCCTCAAAAAGTCGTGGGCTTGGATAGACATGCGTATAATACCGGAGGTGATGCCTGGGAGGAAAGTGATGAGGACGAGGACATGCCGTGTGTAGCCTGTACCAGTTGTGGAGCGTTGGTTCCACACTTTGCACTTGTTGCGCATGAAGTGTATCATTCCACCGCAGACTAACGGTGAGATATCGATTAAATCCGATCCAGAATGGATGATGGATATAGTAGTGTATGCGATGTTCAGTTGAGTCGGGGCCGCAAAGCGAGCTGTACCATGGTTGTCGATCTTGGTCGTTACCATCACTTGTCTCAGGGGCTAGCCAGTGAGGATAATTAACGTGGTTGCGACCATGACTTTTACCTTTTTTTTTGTTTTACCTTTTTTTTTTTTCTCTCTCTGTTTCAGTTTCTCTATCTTTTTGCTGAAATCTTGATGCCTAGGCCATAGGGATCCTAGGGCTACCCTGCGCTGGTCCTTTTCGAGTTTAGACCCTGAACACATGATCCTGGCCAATTGGTGACCGTCTCCGATCCACTTTTGTTGTCCCTTGGTGGGAATTTCTCCGCGACAGCATTTGGAGGTGCTACGTAGTACCTACACTGTACGATTGGGGAAGCGTTCTCCAATGGTGACTCTTGTCATGAAAATATCTTCATTTCCTCTGTTCCTCCCGACAGCATGAATATCGCCTTATGTACGGAGTCCTGTCAGCACTAAAAGTTCCAGCTACGGGTAAAGCGCCAATTTCCCCGCCGATCCCAACCCTGAGGCTGCGGACAACCAATTGATCCGTTCACTAATCAGCTTCAGGGACCGTTCCTAACCCACTCTCAGCCTAGTTTGCTGAACCCCGATTTTCTTTCATTCCTCCCGCATCGTGTTGACATCCGACTCCCGAATCCCATCTCATCTTTCGCCGGTTGATCGCCACGACAACCTCCTCCCCTTCCCACTCGTTCTCGATTCCTCCCTCCATACCCTGGAGATATCCCATCTCCATTTCCGATTCTGTCGCCCTCATCACGCTCGTTCGGTTTGTTGATCTCGCTCACTATAGCAACACATTGTATCGTCGCATCCGCCAAGACTGCTGCGCCCCAGCCAAGCGTATCGCCGTGGCGTCTCTAGTTCACGGATTGCTCGCTGCCTGGAAGGATCCCCCTATCGTTCGCTTGCATATTGCGTGCTTATACCGTTTACCGTGAGTTGCGGGAGAGCGACTGTCGACCAGAATCAACCAAGTTACCGTTTGTTACTTCGAACTGCGTCAGTTGGTTTGAAACGGCGGCATCACTTTTATTGTTGTTGCCTGATGCTGTTGATGTTGCTCGGTCAAGGGGACCTCTAGACTTTTCCGCTCACTCCATTGTCTTCCTACTACCTACCCATTTGTCGGTCGGAATCCATTAACACCCTGGGTGTTAGCCACCACCAGCGGTCATGAGGTTGTTTAAACGATCGCTTTGGTTTGCTACCGGTGCAATCTCACTCCTTGCAGCTCATGTAGAAGGTCGGCTTGCATAATTTTCCCTTCCCTACCTGCTCAGCTTATACCAGTTTCTAACCTTGACATATTGAACAGCTCGGTCGCAGGAACCAAATGCTATTCAGCGCGTATCGACTCTAGATCATCCTAGAATTCATACCTCCTCACATCAAGTCGATCACCTTTCTCATTTCGATGTCACTTTCAACCTGCGTGACAAGAATCAACGCATAAAATTAGAATTAGAACCGAACCATGATATCCTAGCCGAAGACGCATATGTGCAGTACTTAGACCGCCATGGAAACATTCAACGTGAAGAGCCGATCGAGCGACACGAACACAAGGTCTTCAAAGGCCGTGCGTTGGTTGGGAGGGGAAAAGGCATGTGGGATCCTGTAGGATGGGCCCGGATTTACTTGAAGAATGACGGGTCGCAACCCCTATTTGAAGGAGTCTTCAGCGTCCACGACGATAAACATCATGTCGAGTTGAAATCAACGTACCTGCAAAACAAACGTCAGCAAGACGTGGACATCCCAGACCGGAAAGGTGAATACATGGTCTTCTACCGAGACTCCGATATGATCCGGGAACTGCATACCGACTTGAAGCGCTCATTCCCCGTTTCCTCGTCGTGCCAAGCCGACAAACTTAGCTTCAATGCCGACCCAAGCCACCCGATTCTCCAAGCCGAGGAGGACATGAGCCAATGGGGTGCTATGTCTCTAAATTCGCTGTTCGGACTCACCAAGCGGCAATCTGACACTGGGGGTGTCTCGGGTAACAGTGGTGGTGTGAGCTTGAAGTCGACCATTGGTGATACGTCTGGTTGCCCCGACACCAAGAAAGTCGCGTTAATCGGTATCGCTACGGACTGTGGCTTCACCGGCTCATTTGATGACAAAGAAGCCGCCCAAAAATGGATCATAAATACTGTCAACAGCGCATCGAACGTCTACGAGAAATCCTTCAATATCTCCATCGGCCTACGCAATCTAACCATCACCGAAAAGGATTGTCCAGAAACTCCTCCCGCTTCAGCAGAGTGGAACATGCCGTGTTCCGAGGGGAATATCTCATCTCGACTGGATAAATTTTCCAAGTGGCGTGGGCAGCAAAAAGATACCAATGCTTATTGGACCCTGATGAGCAACTGCCCCACAGGTAGCGAGGTTGGATTGGCATGGCTTGGGCAGTTGTGTAATGCAGACGTTGTATCAGATGCTGCGAACGCAGTCAGTGGCACCAACGTCGTCGTCCGCTCCTCAGGTGGTGGATGGCAGATCTTTGCCCATGAATCGGGCCACACGTTCGGAGCGGTTCACGATTGTGATACTCAGACATGTGGGCAAAATCTTGAGGCATCGTCGCAATGCTGTCCTTTAACTGCATCCTCCTGTGATGCAAAGGGGCAGTATATTATGAACCCCACTACGGGCACAGATATCACAGAGTTTTCCAAGTGTACAATCGGGAACATTTGCTCGGCCCTGGGCCGCAACAGTGTCAAGTCCAGTTGCCTTTCCGACAACAGGGGGGTCACCACCTATACTGGTCATCAATGTGGTAATGGCATTGTTGAGTCGGGCGAAGACTGCGACTGTGGCGGGGAAGAATCCTGCGGAGACAACAGTTGCTGTGATGCCAAAACGTGTAAGTTCAAGAGCGGCGCGGTTTGTGACGATGCCAATGATAGCTGCTGTTCGAAATGCCAATTCTCTTCTGCTGGAACTGTCTGTCGAGCCAGCCGTGGAGAATGCGATGAGGAAGAAACGTGCAGCGGCACTTCGAGTACTTGCCCTTCTGACTCCTTCAAGAAAGATGGAACGAAATGTGGTGATTCCTCAGCCGGCCTGACTTGCGCCAGCGGACAGTGTACCAGTCGAGACTACCAGTGTCGGTCCGTCATGGGTAGCTTGCTGCATAGCAACGAAACGTATGCTTGCTCTGCATATGGCTCGTCTTGTGAAGTGGTCTGCTCCTCGAACACATTTGGCCAGTGCTACGGCGTCAACCAGAACTTCTTAGATGGTACCCCTTGTAGTGGCGGTGGCCATTGCAAGAACGGAAAATGCGATGGTTCTAGCGTCAAGGGCTGGATTGATGACCACAAGAACCTAGTCATCGGTGTTGCGTGTGGTGTAGGGGGGCTAATTGTTCTGTCAATTCTGTGGTGCTTGATCAACCGCTGTCGCCGGGCACGACCGAGTCCAAAGCCCATGCCACCCCCTGCCGGTCCATATGGACCTTGGACTCGCCCTATGCAGCAACCGATCCCCATGAATCAGTGGCCGAGTGGGCCGCCGCGCGGATATCAGGGGCTTGCAGACCCTCCACCGCCATATCCTCCCCCAGCGTATGGTAACCAAGCACCTCGATATGCTTAATAATATGTTGCTATATATACATTTACACTTCATCTGACACGAATTCTCATGACGAATCTGCGAACATTGCATACTGGCGACATTCTTTCTTTCAGTTCTCTTTTGGCTCCGGCGCAAGTATAGTAATATGTGGCACTTGCATGAAAGACTCGGCGACGTGTCTTGTATGCTCTATACCTATCCTCCCGTCCCCTACTTCTCTCGGTATTCGTGGTCTTGGGCTTTTGGTGTTCTTTCCTTGTCATGTTTGTTATCGAGCTGGTTCATAAATAGGGCCCTTGTATAATTGAGACGCGCGCTCCTTTGGTGTTAGGGGTACGATACCTAGTAAATATTGATTGCTGTCACGTTTATGAGCCACCACCCTTAGAAGACTGAGTAAATGCATGGTTGCAGACATAAGTCTATAAGAGCACCGACTTATCAATTACAATGTCCCATACCAACACGCAGTAAATCAAGACTCAATGGACTAGTATATAATTCATCCAAAGGGGGGGGGGGAATCCCACAACCGATAGGCGCCCATCCAATGCCCAAGGGAAACATCCAACAAATTCGAAATGCTGCCAAGAAAAAGAAAAAAAAAGAAAAAGAAAAAAGAAAACAGCCAATGCAGAATCAAATCACAGAATGATACCATCTGTTCACACAATCCAATCACTTTCAGGGCAGAAGAAGTAATTGCCTGTACACAATATAAAAGGGTTTTAATCAATCCCCAGGATCGAGCCACAAAGCCAAGTCCAACAAACATAGTAAAATCTCGCAACAGAGGACATTACACAATCAAACCAATTTTCACCATAAACAAAAAGGGAGAGGGGAAAAAAAAAGAGACACAAAGGTCATCACTGCCAACATATACTCACAAACGCCTCCCGGGTGACACCACCTACGCCCTCCAAATCAAACTCCTCAATCATAGCCCTGAGTTCCTCCTCTTCGAGACCTGTCTCGCCTAACTCCCGCGCAACCCGTCTCAGATCCTCTAGATCGATGTACCCCTTGCCGCCCTCGTCAAAGAGCTCGAACGCTCGCAGAATCTCATCCCGGGGGTCGCGCTCTAGGATCTTCAGCGCCGTCACAGCCTGGAAGGCAGAGAGGGGCATGAGCAGATTGGATGGGTGCTGGGGATTCGTGGCGGGAGCGGTCTTGGCTTGTTGTTGTTGTTGTTGTTGTTGTTGTTGTTGTTGGGCTGAGGATTGCTGCTGGACTTGGGGACGGGGTACGCCGTAGGTGGTGAGAAGGGAGATGAGTTCTTGCTTGGGGAGAGTAAAGCCTAGAGCGCGGAAGGCGACGCGGAGTTCATGGTAGTCTAGATGTTGGTCGCGGTCGAGATCAAAGAGGGTGAACTGTTGGTTTGAGAAGACGGGTGTTGATGTTAGCTTTTTTGCTGGCCGTTCCCCTTTTTTTTCTTCACGGGAGTGCAATAAGGGGGGTCATACAGCTTCATTGATCTCTTCCCGTTGTTCCTCTGTTAATCGACTCAGAGGATTCGAGTCCTGTGATGGGCCGTGGGTCTGTGAATGCACTGGTGGCTGTGGCGCCTGTTGCGAGGATCTCGCTGCGTCGGCTCCTTGGTCGCCGGATCCTGGAGCGCCTAGTCGTTGGCGAGAGAAGGTAGATGCGGCGAAGGGAGTTGGATTGGCGTTCATAGACCGGTCAGGCAGCCTGGTGGAGGCGAATGAGCGCGAGCCAAACCCTTGCGACGCCATGGTGGTCGTTGTTGTGGTTGGTGTTTATGAGGGAGATCCCGCGGTGTGTGATCACCGGTGAAAAGCACCGGGACGTGGTCAATTTGTCAGAAGAGGCAGATATGCTGTGAAATAAGAGTAGGGGTTTTTGGTAAGGTAAATTGGGTCGGAGAATAGTTCTGAGCCGTGTGGTTGTTGTGGGGATGGATTGGAAGAATTGATTGCCTGTCAGGTTGTCGGGCTGCGGAGACGCGACCAAGTGAAGGTGACGCGGAGGAAATTCAATCATCAAAGCAGTCCGTACATCTTTTGTTTACACTCACATCGGGAATTTCACATTAACTCATTCAGATCTTACACCGATTGGATTTCTTTACACACGAATATAAGACTGTATCTACAATCCACACTTGACATCTCAAGGTTGGTTATCTTCAGGTTCAGTTAGCCCGCGCCAGAATCATACTTCTTGTTGCCTGTAACAAAAAATAAATAAATAAAAATATGTATATCCCGAAAACTCCTGCAGCAATGCTGGTATACCCCTATCATGACTGCCAACGTGCGGGCCAAAAGTACACTCATATTGTTTTTTTAAGCAAGTGTTGGTCAAATTTGTTGTGCTGTCGGCATCTGGTTCACCACAATCATTCAGTCGATTGTCTGCCAATGGGCGTGCCCTTGAATGACTTTCCAGCCATTCCAGTTACTGCCATAGGGCTTTGTAGTTTCATAGCCCATGTCGGTACCTGGCTCATCAGGGTGGAATGGGTCTCAGTTCCCAACACCAATTTCCACAACTGAGAATGCTCAGCTGCCACACTCATGTGCATAATACGTGAGCTTGAGGGATAAGGTAAACGCTGTAGTCCATTAGGACGTTTTTTCTCAACGCTGGCCATTGAGATCTGGGTCAACCTGACAACCAAGATCGAGATCCTCAAGGAATTTCCGGCCTTGAAGTCTCTCAGGCAAGTATTCCTGTGCTACCTCGCCATTCAAATAGTTCGGATTGTACTTGTACTCCTTCCCATATCCTAGTTCCTTCATCAATCGAGTGGGGGCGTTCCGCAGATGAATTGGAATCGGTAGCCCGGCAACGCCTGGTTCTGCCAATGCTGTGAACGCGTTGTTGAGGCCTCTGTATGACCGGGTACTCTTTTTTGATAACGCCATAGCTACGGTCGCATGGGCGAGGTTGATCCGCGCCTCTGGGAGTCCGACTTTCTCCACAGCCGAATGGGTAGAAATAGCCAGAGTGAGCATACTGTTATCTGCCAGACCAATGTCTTCCGACGCCACTACGATCAGACGGCGAGCAATGTACAGTGGGTCCTCGCCTGACTGAATCATGCGGGCGAGATAATACAGGGCAGCATCTGGATCGCTGCCTCGGAGGGACTTGTGGAAGGCGGAGATAGTATCATAATGTTGGTCACCCGCACGATCGTAGACAAGGGTTTTAGTCAGAGACCGTTTTAACTCTTCCTTAGTGATCCCCGGGCGTTTTGATAAATCCATAGCAAGCTCCAGGAGATTCAGGGAGGTCCGGGCATCCCCGTCAGAAAACTTTGCGAGGTAGTTAATCAACTCGTCATCTACCAGGGCAGAAGGCGAATATTTTGGCCCCTCCACCCGTAAAGCTCGGTCCAATATAGATTTGACATCTTCATCAGTAAGCTTTGCCAGAGTGAAAGTTCTACATCTGGAGAGCAGTGCATTCTGGACTTTGAAGGAGGGATTTTCGGTTGTAGCACCGATAAGAGTAACCTGTCCACTTTCTACAGGCCCCAAGAAGACATCTTGTTGTGATTTAGAGAAGCGGTGGATTTCGTCACAGAAGATTATTGTCTTTCTTCCCGTAAGGTGAAGCTCGCTCTTGGCGTCAGAGAATATCTTCTTGCACTCTGCAACCCCAGTGCTGGTACTGTTGATTTCTACAAACCTGCTCCCCACCATTGAAGCGATAACCCTTGCAATCGTTGTTTTACCAGTTCCGGGCCCACCCCACAATATCATACTTGGGACCCGGTCATGTTCAATGAGCCCGCGAAGAACGCCGTTGGGGCCAACGAGGTCTTGACCGCAGACATCATCGAGAGTCCGAGGTCGCATGCGCTCTGCTAACGGCGCTGCCTTCTGCAATGCGCTCACTTTCGGCCCCTTCACATATTGCTCTGCATTATTTCTCGCCTTCTTGCTGCCATCAGTTACTATTTCCGCTTCAGGCGCTGAGGGTCTCTTGCGAGTAACATTCTGCGAAGGTGAGGAGTCGGGGTGCGAGTTGGGCTGAGCGGATGCTTTCCGCGCAGAGGTAGGCTGGAAAAAGCTGGGGACCTCTGCCTTCTGCGAGGAAGTCAATTCCCCAGTGTTGGACGTTGGCTCATCAATAAAGTTTTGACAATTGGAATCAATATGGTCGTTGATTTTCAGAGATGATACCGAGTTTCCGCATATCGGACAAGACACCATAGTGCTTGGATCATCGAGGGAGACGGGGATTTAGGTTGTTGGGGGTCAGAGCAATCCGATCCTCAATTCAAACAATGTCCAGACGCGTGATCTCACGCGTTTCCCGATACGACCATTAAATTGATTTGGGTGTGGGGTTTCGTGTCAATGAGTAATCGGGGACCCGTGCTGGCATGCCTGAGGACGGCATGAGTGCAAGCACGCAATTTGCGCCCTACGCCATGAAGAGCAGCCTCAGGCACCTTATCATTTTGGCCGATTGGAGTCAACCAGTCCTGCGATTGCGACGGATCATTAGATTACTTCCCCCCCCGCACCGTTGTCACCCTCGATCCTCTCTTCACCTATGTTTTCGGGTTACCGGACTTCTATCTCTACAGCAATCGCGAGATTCAAGACTCCAGCACAACATCCCTTGTTCTCGAAACATACGTCACCCCGCTTTCTCGATCCCCGCGCCAGAGCAATGTCCGCGACCACCTCTCGTGCGGACCCTTTTCGCCCAGCCAAACGGGTCGCTGGCCAAAGACAGGATGTCTGGTATGGGAGTAGTCGTGGGAACAGAACTGTTGCTGTATCGTCGGTCTAATTGACTTTCAGGTCAATCGTCAATGAAGCCGCTGCGGCTTCCCCCGTTCAGCCTATTGTGAATATGGGACAGGGATTCTTGTAAGTGTGGTATTTTGATCCGGCCAGTGACCTGACCTGCTGATTATATCCCCTCTCTCAGTGGCTATAATCCTCCTCAATTTGCGATTGATGCCGCAAAGGAGGCTCTCGACAAAGTTGAATGTAACCAGTACTCCCCGACCAAGGTACGAAAATGATCGAAGGGCACTGATGCACCCAAACACCGGCTCATTTCGGTACAGGGTCGTCCTCGCCTTAAGCAAGCTATTGCGGATGCGTATTCTCCATCCTTCGGCCGGAAGCTCAACCCGGATACCGAGGTTACGATCACCACAGGTGCAAATGAAGGTAATAGCCCGTCGTGGTGTGAGACGGCTTGGGTTTATCTGACTAACCTTTCAAAGGAATGTTAAGTGCTTTTATGGGCTTCATTGAACCTGGCGATGAGGTTATAATCTTCGAACCTTTCTTTGACCAGTGAGTACGCTACGGTGCAACAACTTGCGTACGTCTGACACCCAAGAATAGATACATCAGCAACATCGAAATGCCTGGTGGTACCATTCGATATGTCCCCCTTCACCCTCCCAAGGATGGAGCTACAAGGACCTCCCCAGCTTCGGAATGGTCTATAGACTTTGACGAGTTGGAGAAGACTATCAATCCCAAGACTAGAATGATTGTAAGCGAGCTTCCCTTATCCTTTCCGATACCTCTCATCTGACTCCTTAGGTTTTGAACTCGCCGTGAGCATTACTTGCCCCAGTGACCACGCCTTAAAAAAATACTAATCACCACAATAGCCACAACCCTGTAGGAAAGGTCTTCTCTCGTGATGAGCTTGAGAAAATCGGCGAGCTCTGCATCAAGCACAATCTCATCATTCTTTCTGACGAGGTCTACGACCGTCTCTACTATGTTCCCTTTACTAGGATCGCTACACTGTCACCTGAGCTCTACGAACGCACTCTCACCGTGGGCTCGGCTGGGAAGGCCTTCTACGCTACGGGCTGGCGGGTTGGTTACCTCATTGGCCCGGAGCATCTGATCAAGTACGTGGCGGGTGCACACACTCGAATCTGCTACAGTAGCGTGTCTCCCCTCCAGGAAGCGGCTGCTGTTGCCTTTGAGCAAGCTGACAAGGCTGGCTTCTGGGATGAGAGCCGCACCGAAATGAAGAAGAAGATGGAGCGCTTCTGTGAGGTATTTGACGAGCTTAAGATTCCGGTATGTTCTCGCGAGATGAAAGCCTCGAGCCTCCAAACTGGTTTGAATGACCCCTAACAAATGTCACTAGTACTCTGACCCTGAGGGTGGCTACTTTGTTCTCGCAAACATGTCTTCCGTGAAGCTACCGGAAGACTACCCATTCCCTCCTCATGTTGCAAGCCGTCCCCGCGACTTCAAGCTTTGCTGGTTCCTCATCCATGAGGTTGGCGTTGCGGCCATTCCTCCAACCGAGTTCTACACTGACGCCAACGCCCATATTGCGGAGGATTATCTCCGGTTTGCTGTATGCAAAAATGATGATGTTTTGGAGACCGCCAAGGAGAGACTGCGCGGCTTGAAGAAGTATATTGTACAGTGAATTTATGCCTAGTGCAAAAGCAATTTTGGTGGTGTAGAAAAGAGAACCCCAATGGCATGAACTATCCCTGGTAGACTTATAGTATTAGATTACATAGAGAAGGTTAACAGAACTCTGGCCGAGGTAGCCACAGTAGGTCTTTTCTTTTACTTTCATTTCTGTTCTTTTTTTTTTTTTTTTTGATAGCGTTTGGCTTTGTCCCACAGCCCCAAGGTTTGATCTTCAATGGCCTGCATCGAGCAGTTCTTGAAATCTCTCTTCTGTCCACTTCCTCGACTTCCAGAATCTTAGTTGTTCCTTAAAACTTCTAATGCATGATCAATGATAGATCGACCCTGGAAGGATGGAATGGAACACCAAAAAGGAAATAGTGTCGGATATTGCAGCTGGGTCTAGAGTTCCAGCCTCTAGACTACGGCAGTGCGGTCGAAATCCATGAAAAACTAGTCAGTCATCATTGATTCCCTCAATCTCCAAATCTCTAGTCCCAGCACCATCCCATCCTGCACCCCGGCGGAACTCTCTTCTATCTTCATCCGCGACGTCGCTGAAACCCTCTCCACACATACGCGCTTTGGCGTCACGTACGCCAGGATGGGTGGTTCTCGCCGCTCGAAGAATCCAGTAGCTGCCTTCCAAGTGATCAATGAGTTGACAATGACCCTTTCCCCCAAGGGATCCAAGCAAACGATGGTATTCAGCTCCGCAGATAGCATCCTGGCAATTACGACGGTTCCTTCCATCCCAGTCGGTCTCACAGGCGTGTCTCTCTCCGGTAATATGTGGCTGTATGGTCACGCAGAATTCTTGTTGGAACTGATACTTGAGTGTGGCTTCAAGCTCTATGGGAGCAGTCTGTGAACGGAGTTTGTCTCGAATTAGCCGAAATAGATAATCCACAAGTTCGGTGACTTCGATGGTCACTACGAGGAAATAGGTGATTAGTAGGTATAAATAGTATATTAAGGAAGTTGACGCACTGAAGAGACATGTCGCTAGAACACGACGAAACTGGTCTTTCTCACTGGCATCTTCGAACCTAATGGTATAGATGACCCGACTTGAACACCGCAGTTCAACGTTGTTCTCGGGGAAGCCAGCTTTCACCAGATCGTTCCAGTCTGAGAAGATAAAATAGTCCCCCTCACGAACCTTTGCGTTGAAATAAACGGCCTGACGATGGCGTTCAGGTGTATCGTACGGGTGAAGACAAGGAACCAGAGGTGGTCCATCTCTCACATCCTGGGGAATCGAATTCTCTCGGCAAGGATGCTCAAAGGTCATCTGTCCGCAGTACAGCCAATGGTACCTAATGTCTTCCAGCAGGTGCTCTTTGCAACAATAGCGAATTTCCGAGAATGGCCCGCATCGGGGGCAAATGACGGTTGCACCATCCCATAAATTACAACGCTTCTCACATTCTGCCTTCGCGCAAGGGAATCCGTGGCTATCGAGCTGCCAGAAAAATCCTTCTGGTTTTTGGGTCGATATATACTTTTGTGCAGCTGTGGCACATTGGCCCGGTCTCTCAAGGCTCAGAGATGATGAGGGATGTGCATGACTGCCCTTTGTTTGGGAGATCACAACAGTTCTGGTCTCGGTGGAGAACTTCTGGTGGTCGTTCTTGGTTTCTGCATTTTCAATCTCAGAGGATTCGGTATGTGGCGTGCCCTGAGGTTCGGCGCTAGTCCAACCTGTGGAGGTAGATTTTGAGGACTTTGGTGTACATGTAAGGTGACTCTGAATCTCGCCAGATATGCTACCTCGCTCAGCATGTGGATAACCCTGGGCCGTCTCACTTGTCGTTTCTTGTATAGGAGGCAGTCTTTCCCTTGAAGAAGCCTTGTTCTTGCGTGCAGAGTGACCAAGGCGCGATAACTGAGCACGGGTGGAAGATCCGGTGCTTGAGACATCCTCGTCTTGGACTGAATCGATCGAAGAAGCATCTTTGGGACTTGTATCATGCGTATCTCTCTCAGCTGGCGTCTCTCCAGTGATACTGGGCCACTCTTCGATTGCAAGCGGGGCTGGATGTGCATGGAGCGCAGCGTTGTGCTCTGCTATATCATCTTTTGTGGTCGGATCTGTACATGAGACTCGTCTTTTATCTCTGTGATCCATTGTGCCTAGAAGTGCATCCCGGTAGGTTTGCTCACGGGGACCAGTACTCAATACACGCTCCGTCGAGCAGCCCTCGTGACATTCAGTTGTATCCTTGTCTACGACTCGCAATCTGTCTTCATATTGAGTCGCACAAGGAGCTGCGAAATCTTTCCCCGGGTTGGCAGAGATTAAATGCTTAGTCTTGAGATTAAATTCCTGTAAGCACAAGGATGGGCTGGGCTCCGACAGATCCTGACTTTGAGTCGAAGACGGGCCATTACTTGAGGGTGCCTCCTCACTTGATGGCTGCACGCTCGGCACACGCGCACTTATACTAGCCTGGTTCAACGCTTGCATGTTGGGAGAGCCAGTATGTCCAATATCAAGAGGCACTCGCTTCTTAGGCTTCTTCTTGCTCTTCTTCTTCTTCTTTTTCTTAGATACCTGGGCTGGCTCCATCGCGACGGTAGATGTGATGCTCGGCTCGGTAGGGACCTGGGGAGGAATAGACAATGCCCCCAACTGGGCCAGGCGAGCCTGCGTCCGACCACAGATGAAAGTAATAGCTTCTGCGCGGATCTTCTTCTTCTCAAGGGCTCGTTGATGGGTTTCTTCTGTTTTGTAGACTTCTGGTTAACACGCCTGCATTACAGAAAGCCAGAGGGGTCACAACAAGATAAGGAAAAATAAAGTTACAGCAAATAAACTGACCAGAACAAAGAACCGTTTCGTCTTTTGACGGAGAACTCATATCGGTAGACTCCTGACTTGTGTTTGTTGTCACGTTCGTGTCCAGATCCGCGACAGTGAAGTCCGCAGCCTCATTCAGTTGCTGCACTTCCAGCACATATCCATCACCGAGTCTCACTTGGTCCAATGGGAGGCCTGTCTTTACCTTCAGCCCATGTGAAGTGATTACATCTTTGATTGAGTATATGTCCTCTGACAGTGGCTTCTGTTCTAGAGGTTGTTGTTGGTCTTCATTCTCTGCCTTGTTGCCTGGGTAAGCAACCCAATCTGAAGAGCCTGGGGGTGATTCCATTTTGATGAGTCTTTTATGCCTCCTCGAATGGAGGTTTCAAAAAAGAGGAGAAGCCAATCGAGTTGGTTTGCAAGAGGTTGTAGGTGATATGTTACTCTACAGAGAGATGGTTGAATATCTTTTCAGGGTTAAGATTAACTGTATATTAAAGAAGTATTCAACGGCCTGTTACCTACAGCCCAGAACTTGATGGAGACCATAATGGCCCCAATAGTAGGTTTTTCACATCTCCTTGAGATAGATATTTCAATCTGTATGTCCTATAATATTCTTTCAGGATGGAGATGATTTCTTTTCCTTTGTGCCGCCGAGCCCTAAACTGTGTGTCTATGGCGGCCGTGTTGGTCAACCGTATAGTTTCTACCGTCTTTGCTGCACTGCTCAACCAAGTTACATTTCTCCAATAAGAATAGCAACAAAGATAAGTGTGATATGGTTTTGCTATGGTATAACCCTTGGACTAACTCTGTTGCACAGGTTGGCCGGTGGAGAGTGCCATGGTACTCTCCAAAACAGAGTAAACAATACAAAATACAAGATTACATATAGACATATAGACATAGATAAGACAGAGACGTTTGCGGATGCTGTAGCATACAATCGTAAATGTTGTATGAGCTGGTTGTCCCTTTGCTAGAGCAGTCATATAATATACGCCTCATATGTACAGCTTGCTTGCTCAAGTTTTCATCCACGATCTCCCACTACTCCCAATTTTATTTTTAACAACTACCAGAATCAGAGTCTCATCTAGGTTGCTAGGTCTCAGCGCCCAGAAATGCAGGGCGGCTAATTTACATCCAGTTGACATGTTAATGCACAGTCTGATCTTTGACACCCCAGCGCGAGATGGAACGAGAAACGTCGCAAATGTTGAAGCCTTCGAGGCAACAAATAAAGTCTTCATCCAAGCCTGACCATGGCTCCACATAATGAGGAGACCAAGTCTTTTCTTAGAAGAAACATCTCGCATTGTTTGGCAACCACTGGCTGAGGATAAAGGATTGGTCGACAATGCCGGGCTTCTAAGCGCCGGCTTCGAGTGTACTAATATTGGTTCCTGACAGCGCTCTGCAGAAACCACTGAGAAGAGCCGCCCACTAATTATGCACAAAGTGAAACAAACTTCTGCAGAATCTTCTGCAAATCCTTGTGTCCGTAGACTTCTATTTTCGTGTCTACGGCTTATGAGTGGTCCATATAGCACGTCCCCGGGTGGACATCGCTGTCCGTTTACACCCAAAGACGGCGGCCTCCAGTCCTTTCATCCTTTTTGGCTTTGCTGGTTTCGCAAAAATCCCAGACGATCGCTTGACCTTTCAAGAATAATAAAAAGGTGGGCCCCTTCTTGATTGTCGGATCCGTTATATTGAACCATTGTCCTATTTCTATGCATAACACCAACACGTTTCCCTTGTCAATACATCCATTCCCCTACGTCAGCAGTATATATGACTTTGTGTTATGGCTCTCCAATAATAATTTGTCCCCTGTTCAATTAAAAAAAGGTTGCTGCTGGCCGGCACTTACTCTTTGGTATACAATTACCTTTCGTTTTTGAATACTAGAATTCCATCCACGGACTCGTTCAATACCACTGCTCAAGCTGTGCCATCTCGAAGATATCAGTCCCTTTCGGAGCCCACCTCTATACCCCAATCCAACCCATCGACATGGTATTTTCGAGGTCTGGGCGATCCATTTTCCCGCTGCTCCCACCATATGGCGCGCACGATCCAAATGGCGGCCTTGGACGTGCCGTACCGCTGCACCCCGATGGAATTACACCATATATAGGACTGCGAGCTCGTTTATCACAGGTGTGGCTCAACCGTTGGACGATCTTGCTACTTCTTGTCCTAGCCCGAGTTTTGATAGCGGCGACTGGAATGCAGTCGGACATGGACGTAGCGAAGCGCGAAGCCCAGTCTGCCTGCACATCAGTTGAGACAATGGGAAGTTCGATGGCTTCAATGCCCCATTATCTTTCTCGGGGGGTGAATGAGCTTACAGCCTCTGGTGTTGAAGCAGCGGTTAACGGCCTCATATCCATGCTGTTGCTCACGATCACTGGAGTCGAAGCGCTTATAATCTTTTTCATCAAAGTGATGTACCAAACATACCTTTGCTTATTCACGATGGTTGTCAGAGGTAGCACTCAAGCTGCGCTCGGCGTGATACAAGATACCACCGATTTCTTGAACAAAACAGTCCAAACAGTTGGTGAAGACATTGGCAAAGCAGTCGAAACTTTTGAATCTGGCCTTAACAAATTCTTGAGCGGAATTAACAAAGTTGCGAGCGCTTTCGGTGGAGAAGTGCCGAAGCTTGACATCTCAAAGAGCGTCGACGAGTTGAAGGACATCCACCTCCCAGGATCAATCAACGATACTATCAATAAGATCAACAGCTCCATTCCAACGTTTGATGAAGTTGACAAATTTGTCACAGACGTTTTGAAGTTCCCCTTTGAGGAAGTCAAGAGTCTTATTAATGGGTCATTGGGCAATTACACCTTCGACCGCTCAGTGTTACCTGTTCCTGCGAAGGAACAGCTGACCTTCTGTGATGAAAACAACGGGATCAATACATTCTTCAGGAAGGTCGCCGAAACCATCGTAGCTGCTCGCAAGATCTTCCTCGCTGTTTTGATCATCGCTGCAACTCTTGTCTGTGTCCCGGTAGCCTGGCAGGAGATACGTCGTTGGCGTACCATGAAGGAACGCTCTCAGATCGTGAGAAAGGATGCGCATGATCCGATGGATGTTGTATACATTGTTTCCCGCCCTCACACAGCAGGTGCAGGCATCAAAGCAGCAAGCAGGTTCAGCAATAGCCGCAGACAGATATTGGTGCGGTGGGTCATTGCGTACGCAACATCACCGGCTGCTCTATTCGTCCTGTGCCTCGCCCTTGCCGGACTTTTCGCTTGCCTTTGCCAGTACTTGCTGCTAAAGGCGGTTGAGAGGACAGTACCGGAACTAACTGGCGAAGTCGGTGAGTTTGCCGAGAAAGTGGTCACTTCTTTACAAAACACATCTGCCAAGTGGGCGAACGACACCAACAAAGTCATCGATGGCATGAGCAATGACATCAACAAGAACGTCCTCGGCTGGGTAAACACCAGCACAACAGCCGTAAACGATACCTTGAACGCCTTCGTCGACAAGACAACTGGAGTCCTCAATGACACGTTCGGAGGCACCATCCTGTATAGCCCACTGCAGGACGTCTTCAATTGTCTGATCGGTCTCAAGGTGGCATCTGTCCAAAAAGGCCTTACCTGGGTCCATGAACATGCCCACGTTGACTTCCCACGTGTACCCAACGATGTTCTTTCCAAGGGTGCTGACAGCAGCATCAACAACAGCACAAGCGCATCCGACAGTTTCCTCGCCAACCCAGGCGACAAGACGTCCGACAAGATCACCGAAGTTGTCATGCGGGTCCTCAACAAGATCAAAGAAGGCATCCGAACAGAAACCATCATATCGGCTTGCGTACTGGGCATATGGTTCATCAATTTTCTTTTTGGCCTTATCCGCGCCCTGATCCTTTTCTGGGGCCGGGATAAGAACCGCGGCGAAGGTGGTGGTGCTCCCATGAACAATAATCCAGATGTTAATGGCTTCACCGAAGTCCCATTGACTGCTATGCCCAATGCAAACGCCGCCTCGCAACCTGCTCCTCGGTATGAGGTCGCCCTGAAAACCCCGCCCGTCGTCGGTCATTTCCATGAAGATGAGAAGATGGGATACGCTGGTCAAAGAGCGCTTAAGGTTGATGGGACTTCTGATCTGCGTGGAAGTAGCTATATTGAGTATGGGATCGAGAAACGTTGATCCACGTGGTATTTACGATTGCTGCACCAGCTACTTTATCTTTCTTTTTTGATTATCTATTATGTTAAATAGAATACAAGTCGGCGTTTGATATACGGGTATGCCCACAAGCGAAGGCGTGACTTTTTTTTTTCATTCTATGAAAGCCAAATAGATGTGCAGGCACTGGGTATAATTTTCTAGTCTTCTACTTCGTCAATTACCAAATACATATCACGTATCACATACATATCAAATGATACTGAGCTGTGTAGCAGTACGCATACTACTAAGTTCTGTAGATATAATAGATGTAGTAGACCTAGATATGCACTATCCTAGAACACAGAAATATGCTATACAACCTATATAACAGGGGATACATTAGTGAAAGAAGACCGTTCTCAATCTAATTTCACAACAAAACCATGACACTGTAGAATCTCTTGGCAAAAGATACAGATGATTAAAATGGTTAGTGACATGGGAAGACTTAAATCTCAACAAAAAAGCTCTTCTCTCCCTCCTTAGGTAAGACTCTTGCCCGTTCGATAATGGGGTCAGCGCAGCTGACCCGAATCCGTTCGGGGGTGGCCGGACTTCGTAGACTGAGAACTTCGTGAACATTGTACTGCTTCCGTGCTGCTTTCAGAGCGTCACGGATAGCAAAGAACACGGCGCTTCCCATGAACAGTGGTGGTTCACCGACACCACGAGATCGTTGGATTGTACGAAGATTTTCCCATTCAACATCCTTAAGAAGGCTGACATTGAAAACTTGTGGGATGTCTCGAAACCCGGGGATCTTATAGTTTCCGGGTCCCTTGGTGACAACCTGGCCTGAGGCACGATGCCAGAGGCTTTCCTCCGTCGTGAAGAGACCTTGGCCCTGAATGAAGGCTCCCTCTATCTGTCCGTAGTCAATAGAGGGATTGATGGTGCGGCCGACATCCATCTTGATGTCTGCACGTAGCGGAGTCCAATCCCCGGTTAATGTATCGATCTCAACTTCGGCGGCTGTCACACCCTGTGTGAAGTAGAAGAACATTTGGCCGGTGTTCTCGCCCCATACATAGCCGATATCTGGAGTACGATAATACCCCTGAGCGGAGAGATTAACTCGATCAAAGTAAGCTGCATGCGCGAGTTCTTTCATTGGGGCATCCGGCATCTTTTCCCGATAAGGCCGAAGGCGCTCGTTGAGTTGCTCGCAGGCATTGAAGATAGCGTAACCATTAAGGTCGGAACTGGCCGACGCAGCTGTAGACGAGGTATTTGCGACTGTGTTTGTGGCTGTTTCGGAAATGAACACGTCTGACTGAGGAACGCCTAGTGCTTCTGCCGCAATCATAGTCATCTTAGTATGCAGCCCCTGGCCCATTTCGACACCGCCGTGGGCGACGAGAACGCTCCCGTCATGGTAGATGTGAACGAGAGCCCCAGCTTGGTTCAGGAACAAGGCCGTAAAGGAAATGCCGAATTTTGTCGGAATGATAGCCATGCCACGTTTCGACCACTTGTGCTTCTTATTGTACTCCTCCACGGCTTTTCGACGTTCCATGTACGAGCTCTCCTCCAAGACTTGATTATACATCAAGGGAACATGCCAATCTTTGAGCTCTTGGTTGAAGTGGGTCTTATCCCCGGGCTTATACATGTTTTCCATCCTAAGCTTTTCCACCGGGATGTCCAGATGATCCGCGATCTCTGACATGAAGCTTTCCGCCATGAACATTCCCTGTGGTCCACCGAAGCCACGGAACGCGGAATTTGAGACTGTATTTGTCTTGCAAATACGACCCCGGACATGAACATTCGGGATGTTATACACTCCATCAATATGTGACAAGGACCTGTCCACAACTGCGGCAGAAAGATCTTGTGTATGTCCACCGTTGGCATATACATCAGCATCGAGGGCAAGTAGTTTCCCTTCCTTGGTAACGGCAACCTTCCAGCGGCAGTAGAATGGGTGACGTTGACCTGAAGTTATAATATCTTCATCACGGTTAAGCATGCATCGAACGGGCCGTCTCGTTTTGGCTGCGGCCGTCGCACATAAGCCAGCTAGTTGAATGGACCGAGTTTCCTTACCACCAAATCCACCACCTAATCGCTTAACCCTTGAGACTATCTTATTAGCTGCCACCCCCGTGACCTGAGCAACGTATGTTTGACTATAGCAATGTTAGCTTTTTATTGTAATGTTGCAATGCCGAACTCACGTTTCAGTGGGATTTTGTGTGCCACTCCAAATCTCCATTTCCCCATCTTCAGGTTTGGGAATGGCGACGCACGCTTGGGTTTCCAGGTAGAAATGCTCCTGGCCTCCCATCCTCGATACGCCAGTGATGACGCGGTCAGCATGTCTGAAAGCCGCTTCTGCGTCGCCCTTTTTAATGTAGTGGTTGTGTCCGAAGAACGATTCGGCTTCGATGGCCTCTTCGATGGTAAGTACAGCCGGCAGCTCCTCATACTCGATCTTCACAGCTCTCGCAGCCTCTTCGGCAGTTTTGGCCGACTTTGCGAGGATCATACCAATGGGCTGTCCCGCAGTTGTAACCTTGTCTACCGCAAAAAACACCTCATCGGCCACAGGAGCACCCCACCAATTAGCCTCTGGACTGGGGAGATCTCTGTGATCCACATAGTCATGAACGCCAGGGATATCGAGAGCAGCAGAGGGATCAACGCTGATTAATTTGGCATGCGGTTTCGTCGAAAGAACCATGCAACCAAACAGTTCGTTTTTTAGGACAGGTACATCATCCGTGTACTGCGCTTCTCCAGTGGCCTGTTTCAACGCCGAGACATGAGGACCTGCTTTCCCTAATACCCGCTGTTGATATGCCGCTGAAGCCTCATGATCCTTTTCCCCAGAAGAGATAGCTCTTTCAATCTCAGCAATCACGTCGTGGTCAATGTCCGTACTGTTCAACTCAACCCCCGACAAGACGTCATGATAGAATCGGTAGAAGAATCCTAGGGCAAGAGACCGACGATAGCTAGCCATACCACCAGGTACTCCGTACTGCAGATCAAAGTCTTGTTCTAATGCACTCATGGTGCCCTCAAGGGTTGCAGGATGCGTAAATCTCTTGCCTATCAAGAACGCTTCTGCCTTTCGTGCAGACACAGTCATTGGGGCCATACCGCCAAACACGAGGTTTACGCTCGCCACATCATGTGAAGACGAAAGCGAAACCCGCAATGCGGCATTGACGATAGCGATATCATCATCCTTTCTTTTGGACTGTTTGTAAGCCCGTATATACTCCCTACTCTCTGATGCAGTAGGGACGCGCAGACTCCCAATTATAGCATCTGGTGGAAGGGCAGTTGTCCTGTAACCTTTGAAGAATTCGGTCATTGGAATCTCAATATCTCCTTCTAGTGACTTGGCAACAAGTACCGTGTTTGTTGCAACGAAGACTGGGTTCAAATCCGAGATAGGGGAGGCGGTAGCCAAATTACCAGCCGGAGACGCCACGTTTCTAATTTGCCTCCCGGCAAAATACCGAAGCTGCTTTTTGATCGCAGTAAAAGGCTGGCCTCGCACAGGTCCATATCGCTCTAAGGCTTCATCACATATTGACTCCAAATCAGTCAAAGTGACATTAGCCCCAATCTCCAAGTGGTCGTCTTGAAATGAGAACTGGCGAAGTTCGGGAATATCGCCAACGTAGACCGAAGCACTATATCGCATCGCCTTGAACTTTGTTTCAATCTGAGTCTCGGTGCTGCCACCAATAACTTTAGCGTCTGGGTGTACATGCTTGATCTCCAAGAGCTGCTGTAAAGTAACCGGTCTGTACCACCTCTTTCTCTTATTACCAAAAACTAAGGGCCGAAACTCATGCCTGTGAAGAGTTGGCGGAAATATCAGTTCTGTGTCTGGCCTCTGGCTTATGAACTCAGGTGCCGTAAGCTTCAAAGAATTTCCATTGGCTGTCGCCGTCTCCGAAGAATCTTTGCAGCATCCTCCAGAGCCAGTCTGTTTTTCCATGCAACAGCCAGTTCCACCATTGGCACTGGATTTCCCGCAGCCACCACTGGCTTTAAAGCTGTGAGCGGCGTCCAGTATAGGCCTGTATCCAGTGCAACGGCACAAATTTCCATCAAATGCTTCTTCCACAGCATGTTCAGATGGTTCAGGGTTGTTATGTATAAGGGCATAGAGACTCTGCCAGCACGTGATATTAGATAACACAATTACTCTGTATAAGACAAAAGGATCATACCATCACTATACCTGGTGTACAGAAACCACACTGGCTTCCGTTACCGATGGCAATTCGTTGCTGAACCGCGTGGGGGTTCTTCACATCTCCGATGCCTTCGACAGTGATAACATGTTTTCCATCCACACTTATGACCGGCGCAAGACAAGCATTTACTGACGCGTGATAGAGCTTCTTGGTCGTAGGGTTCACATGCGACACCACCTATCGAAATCAGTATCCTCGATAGTCTGCAAATAAATCAAGAATACCGCTTACCACCGTGCAAGCGCCACAGCCTCCCTCCGCACAGCCTAGCTTTGTTCCTGTCAAACCGACTCCCCTTAAGTATTCCAGAAGTGTGAGCTCCGGGTCCACAGAGTCGAGGGTCACTTTCGTGCCGTTCAAGAAGAAGCGAATGGTATCATCCCATTCCTCCGTTAGCTGGGCCAGCGAGCCAGTCTTTAGAGAAGCCACCTCAGGCCCCGGCGATGTCAAGATGCCGGGTGCCATTGTGAATTGTTTGAACCAAAACTTGGACGGTCTGGTGCGGGGATAGCTGATCCGAATGCCAAGCCAGAGATCTGTTGTCTCTCCAGTTGAAACGGACTTTGTAAGACTTTCACGAGGGTCTGATGAAGAAGATATATATATTAATGGTGAGGGGCAAAGTCAAGGAAGCATAGGGTAGTATTCATGCCGTACACCGAAACAGGGATATGAGGCATGTATGTGTTGACGGATGATCTTCTTATCTGAGGAGGCGAAACCCCACAGTCGTTATCAAGACCCTTGCGGGCGGGGATCGCCACCATCCGATTCCACGCTTGCCCCGGGGCGGAAACCATCGGCAATACTTCATGTGATCTCTAATCTCCTCTACTACTACTCCGTACAATGTAGTGATATATGACTTGGGTGTTTCTTTTTTTTTTTTTTTTTTTAATTCTCTTTTCACAAAACATTAGAATATTAGACCACGCCCGCTCCAGATGCTCCAACCGGTGGTGTACAAACAAGATCAAGAAACTTACATCAATTCGCATTAGGAGACAAGAAAAGGCCGTATCGAGGAAATAGGAGCAGCGGTACATAAAATTGAATCATTTAGGAACGTGCACAAGGAAGTTAATCCTTTAGTTTCACACCAACGAAGTCTTTCTCGTCCTCTTGCCACTTCTTACGTTCCACAACACTTCGGGCCCTGGAAATCACGCATATAATTAGCTCGAGTCACTGCGGCTTGCCTGCGGGGAAAGGTAGGGGGTGTGGAGACAGGTATGATTGCTAGGCTAGGAATACGAACCGGTAGGCTCTCACAAATCGCCATACTTCCGTGTCTGCCAAGTTCCAAGCTTCTGTCACGTCTTTGATGCCAATCCGATTGGTTTCCTTGCTCTTCAAGACTTCCCTGGCCTGTTTTAAGATGTCATACTCCTTTGCGACGCCTTGTCGGCTAGGATTGGCATTCTGCACGGACTCCCTGCCATCACCTTCGTTCTTAGAGTCCACATTGTTATCCTCCCGAGGAATCTGGAATCCAAATTGCCATTCGAATTCGTCTAAAAGGCCAGATGGGAGGGACTGGCCGGCCTCGGGAGGCAAGGACTCGACGGTCATCCACAAGGAAGTACCGACCACGGCGTCATCGGCGACGGCCTTTTTGAAAACCACAGCGCGTGACGATCCACCAATATCAACGCCCAGCTGCTCCTTGGTGACTTCTGTCAGCCACGGATCACGCTCCGTCTCGCGACGGATGTGCCGGGTGGTAACTTCCGCCGAGTCCTGCTGTAAACTAATAAGAGTGTAGGGATGGGGGAGAGTCCCGATAGTGAATACCCGGGTCGTATTTCGGTAGGTAGCCGGCTGGCTAACCTGCATCGGCTTGCCTGCATCGCAGGGATGGCATTTCGGCTGGTTTGGAGGACAAGATGATGGCACAGGGGATTTAGGGCATTGAACGAGGGCTTTGGCGAGCCGCAAGGCTGGCTCTACCAGAGCAGTAGTATGTTCAGTAAAAGGCTTTAAGACAGCTATGCCGGCAGGGAATGCGTTCTGAAAAGTATCATGTAAATGTGCATTAATAAGCTCTGCCAACGCAAGTCGGCCCGCTGTCGTTGAAGATTTCTCTGCAAGTGTCGGGTAGTGGGAATGGATAGTAGCAGGGTCATAGAAAGCCAGGGAAGTCGGTGGTGACTCGTTTCTGAAGAACTCTGGAGGAATCAGATCCAACATAGAGTTCGAAGTCTCCGAGGCTTTCTTAACTGCCTCCTTGATCGCGTTATTGATCCGGGTCTTCTCTCCCGCAAACAGTGCGCTGTCAATGCGGTCAAACCGGGTAATCACAGCCGGGTCGGTACCGCGTCGCAAAGAAGACAGCAGGTCATCATCATATCGCGCCATCGGAAAGCAGTGCCAATCTGCAAGTAAACCATCACCCATATGGCCCCAGGCGAGCCAGCGGAACAGCTCATTCTCAACTTTAGGGGTAAGTTTCATGGGTTGCACCAGCGAATAAAGTTCATTATTCATAGCCTCTGCGCGACCCAGGATAACAGGCCGAAACCCTTGCGCAAACCAAGATCTGCGCCACGCAAGAAGAATCTGAGCATCAGCTTGTTCCGTATCCTTTTCATCATCCCCTTTGGTTGGTTCGTAGTATGTGTATATGAACGGTCGGTTTCGTAAAGGGGGCAGTACGGAGCGGTTCTCGTCGAGGGTTATGGAAGATGAGAACGGGTTGATCCAAGCCCAATTGCTAAACCACTTCGACTCGCCGCTGGTACTGTTTGGTTGTGGTTCGGGCGGCGTATGAACCGTCGGGTGAAATGAAGGTAGATGAAGATCGCTCAACGAAGGCAACTTGGGTCGGGGTACATATCTGGCTGGGCCAGTGACTTCTTTAGATGAAGAGTCTGGACGCGGAGAGGCTGAGAATATCACCAAAAGAAGGGCGACAAAAACGATTATTGTGAGAAGCGCAGTACTCCTGTGAGGAATCATTGTGACAAAAAATGTCTGTACTTTGGAGATTGGACAAAAGGTTTAATTATGCAGGGTACAGCGGATAGGAGGCAGATAGGCCAAGCCTCCACCCGCCTCGAATGTACCTGTTAGCAGTTCAGGGATAGTCGAGAAGTCGAGATAGTTTTAGGAAGTAATAAAAGCTAATCACATTTGCGGGTTCGAACAACAATAAGTTAAAAGGTTATCTAGTCATTTCAAGTGAGTGTACAACAAGGGGTGGTCCTGTCAACTTTGGGGGGGAATATATTAAAAAAAAAAAAGAAAAAGAATGGCAGTTCAAGCAACTGTCGGCATTGAATAGGTTGCAGTGGGTGCAATTTAAAAGAGAAAAAATCACTGACGGTACCTTGGATTGAGTGGTAGTAATATGGAGACCGCAGGTACCTCCTATTGCTGGACGGACTAGGAAAGGTGCAAAGCAATGCATTTGGTATGCGCACAGCCACTTCTCTTGATGCCTGCATGCCTCACCGTTCTGGATCCAACCGAAGCCGGCCTAGTCCGAGGTGGGAGGCGGTAAGTGATGATGTGAGTGTGGGGTTTCAGAAGCTTGGCCGCTATGACTGGCTGCGAAATCGGCACTTTTTCTTAGTGCCCCTCCAATTGACTGAGTCACAATAGAACATCGTCTATATTTCCCCAACCAACACTGCGGTTTGACATTCAGAGGGCATTGTCACTGCAATCATGGGCGTTGAAACAGCATCCCTCCAGGATCGCCTTGAGCGATGGGCTCAAAGGTTACAAAACTTGACTGTTAGTCCTCTTACTCGGGATTATCCCGATAACCAGAACCAGGAGCTTCCCAAGAGAGCTATTGAGGCATTTGAAACCTTCAAGCTCCCGGAAGATACGGAGGGAAAATTGCAGAAGCTTTCGGGCTCATCCTCTGGCTTTACCATCTTTTTGACAGCTTTTGTTGTGCTTGTTGCTCGTCTTACCGGCGATGAAGACATTGCTATCGGTACCACTTCGTCCGAAGACGGCCGTCCATTCGTCCTGAGGGTCCCAATTGACGCCTCGGAGACTTTCCTTCAATTGTACGCCAAGGTTAAGAAGGTATGATTACAGCCGGTATATTTATAATTGACTCTTCCTAACTACTACTAGGCATTCGACCAAGGGTCTTCCGACATTGTTCCTTTGGGCAGTTTACGATCCTACATCCAGCAGAAGTCCCAGTCCGAACGACCCCCAATTCTTTTCCGCTTTGCAGCCTACGATGCACCCGCCGCGTCTCAGGAATACCCTGCCAACACATTCGAGACCACGGACCTAGTCGTGAATGTTGCGCCTGCAGCAGGCGGGTTAACATCTCAAGCGGAATTGGGCGCATACTATAATCAAAGACTCTTCTCAAGCGCTCGGATATCCACGATATTGAAGCAGCTGGGCAAGATCGTTGAAAATGCGACCAACAACCCAGAAGAGGCAATTGGCCGCCTTGACTTCATGACCGATGATCAGCAGGCACTTCTGCCAGACCCCACAGCTGACCTGCATTGGTCCAAGTTCCGGGGCGCAATTCATGATATCTTTGCGCAGAACGCCGAGAAACACCCAGAAAAGCTGTGTGTGGTCGAAACCACGTCCGATCGTTCTCCCCACCGCGAATTCACATACAGGCAAATCAACGAGGCCTCCAACATTCTGGCACATCACTTGGTCCAATCAGGTATTGAGAGAGGTGAAGTCGTCATGGTGTACGCCTACCGTGGTGTCGATCTTGTGGTGGCGGTTATGGGTATCCTTAAAGCCGGTGCAACTTTCTCCGTCATCGACCCCGCGTATCCACCAGAGAGACAGTGCATCTACCTTGATGTCGCTCGTCCTCGGGCTCTCATAAATATTGAGAAGGCCACTAAGGATGCTGGCGAGCTTTCCGAAAAAGTTCGCTCCTTCATCAATGAAAACCTCGAGCTTCGCACAGAAGTCCCTGCACTCGCACTTCGCGACGACGGTTCGCTCCTTGGAGGATCGATCAATGGCCAAGATGTTTTAATCAACCAGGTGCCTTTGGCATCTAAGCCTGTCGGTGTTGTGGTTGGTCCAGACTCGATCCCTACATTGTCCTTCACCTCTGGATCGGAGGGAAGGCCTAAGGGTGTGAGAGGACGCCATTTCTCCTTGGCATACTATTTCGACTGGATGTCCGAGACGTTCAAGCTGACCCCCAATGACCGTTTCACGATGCTCAGCGGTATTGCCCATGACCCCATTCAAAGAGATATCTTTACTCCTCTTTTCCTAGGAGCACAGTTGTTAGTACCGGCACGTGAAGATATCCAGAATGAGCGGCTTGCGGAATGGATGCGGGAATACGGTGCTAGTGTAACCCATCTTACACCCGCCATGGGTCAGATTCTGGTCGGTGGTGCCTCCGCACAGTTTCCAGCTCTTCACCACGCTTTCTTCGTCGGTGATATCTTGATCAAGAGAGATTGCCGATCTCTGCAAGGACTGGCCCCGAATGTCAACATCGTAAACATGTATGGTACAACCGAAACCCAGCGTGCGGTTAGTTATTATGAAATTCCTAGCTACTCCAGCAACGAAGGGTTCCTGGACACTATGAAGGATGTAATTCCCGCCGGTCGGGGAATGGTTGATGTGCAGATGCTGGTTGTCAACCGCTTTGACCCAAGCCGTATTTGCGCCATCGGAGAGGTGGGCGAAATCTATGTTCGCGCTGCTGGTTTGGCAGAAGGCTACTTGGGCTCCCCCGAGTTGAACGAGAAGAAGTTCCTCAAGAACTGGTTTGTTGATCCTCAATCTTGGGTTCAGAAGGATCAAGCCCAAGCGCAAGGTGGCAATGAGCCCTGGAGGCAATTCTATGTTGGACCAAGAGACCGCCTGTACCGCAGTGGAGACCTTGGTAGATACACTCCTTCCGGTGACGTTGAATGTTCCGGCCGCGCGGATGACCAAGTGAAGATTCGTGGTTTCCGTATCGAGCTTGGTGAGATTGATACACACCTTTCACGCCACCCATTGGTGAGAGAGAATGTCACTTTGGTGAGGCGAGACAAGTTCGAGGAGCCAACGCTGGTCAGTTACTTCGTGCCGGATATGAGCAAGTGGGCTTCGTGGTTGCAAGGAAAGGGCCTTGAAGACGACACTTCCGCTGAAGGAATGGTCGGTATGCTCGTGCGATTTAGGCCCCTTCGTGATGATGCTCGAGAGCTTCTGCGTAGCAAGCTACCGACGTATGCTGTGCCAACAGTGCTCATCCCGCTCAAACGGATGCCTCTTAACCCTAATGGAAAGATCGATAAGCCTGCATTGCCGTTCCCAGATACTGCGGAGCTCAGTGCTGCTGCACCTCAGCGCAAGTCGTCTGTCCTGGAGGCCCTGTCCGAGACAGAGCAAGCTTTGGCTCAGATTTGGGCACAGCGCATTCCAAATGTCACCTCTTCCATGGTTGGCCCTGACGATTCATTCTTTGACCTTGGAGGACATAGTATTCTGGCACAGCAGATGTTCTTTGACCTTCGGCGCAAGTGGCGTGGCGTTGACATTAGTATGAACGCAATCTTCCGCAGTCCTACCCTTAGAGGGTTCGCTGCCGAGATCGACCGCTTGTTGAATTTTGAATCATTCGCCGCCAGTGACAATAAGACAGCCGCCGAAGATCTAGATACCTCTAGTGCACCTGATGATGAGTACTCCAAGGACGCTCGGAAGCTGGTAGACGTTCTGCCGCAGGCATTCCCTGAGAGGACAGAGCCTATTCTCTCTGGGGAACCAACCATCTTCCTTACGGGCGGTACTGGATTCCTGGGCGCGCATATTCTTCGCGACCTCCTCACCCGTAAGACACCCTTGGCAAAGGTTGTGGCTTTGGTTCGAGGAAAGACCGAGGAGCAAGCACTGGAGCGTATCCGGTCCACCTGTCGAGCATACGGTTTCTGGGACGAGGCGTGGACCAGCCGGCTTCAGTGTGTCTGCGGTAACCTAGGAGACCCTCAATTCGGCCTCTCTCAAGCGCTGTGGGATGATCTGACGAACCGTGTGGACGCGGTGATCCATAATGGAGCCCTTGTCCATTGGGTGTATCCTTATTCTACTCTCAAGCCCGCCAACGTTATGGGTACTATCGACGCCCTGAAGCTTTGCGCCACTGGAAAGCCTAAACAGTTCTCTTTTGTCAGCTCTACTAGCGTGCTTGACAGCGATCATTACGTCGAGGAGTCTGAACGTATTGTTGCGGCCGGAGGAGCCGGTATCAGTGAAGAGGATGATCTGGAGGGTAGCAGCGTAGGCCTTGGAACCGGTTACGGCCAGAGCAAATGGGCAGGAGAGTACCTTGTCCGAGAGGCGGGTAAGAGAGGATTAAAGGGAACCATTATCCGTCCTGGATACGTGCTCGGTGACTCTCAGACCGGAAGTAAGTATTTCAAGTCCTTCGCACCATCGTTTTAAGTCTCTATATGCTAACCACATATCTCACCAGCCACGAACACCGATGACTTCCTTATCCGCATGATCAAGGGGTGTATTCAGCTTTCTGCTCGCCCCAACATCAACAACACGGTCAATATGGTTCCCGTCGATCATGTTGCCCGCGTTGTCATCGCTGGTGCCTTCCAGCCTCCATGCACGCCCATTAGTGTCGCGCAGGTGACTGGCCACCCACGTCTTCGATTCAACCAATTCCTGGGAGCACTGCAGCTGTACGGCTACAACGTACCCCAGGTTGACTACGTCCCATGGGCACAGTCGCTTGAGCAATATGTCAACGACGGACAGCACGACGATCCAGAGTCCCAGCATGCACTGTAAGTTCAATGTCAACCGCGCAGCAAGGTTCTTAGATCAAATGCTAATGGTTGACTTTAGTATGCCCCTCTATCACTTTGTGACCGCTGATCTACCATCCAATACTAAGGCCCCTGAACTCGACGATGTTCATGCCGCTGCTTCCCTCCGTGCAGATGCCGCCTGGTCCGGCGTCGATGCCTCCGCTGGGGCCGGCGTGACCGAGGAATTGGTTGGTCTGTACGCGGCCTACCTCGTTACGATCGGGTTCTTGCCTTCGCCGCCTGCGTCCTCGACAGCCCGGCCGTTACCCACGGTCCAACTCAGCGACGACCAGAAGCAGGCCTTGGCCAATGTCGGTGGCCGTGGAGGCAGCTCATGAATCGATTGAAACGTAGCGCCTTTTTCTGTTTCAACGATGCATGTTTTCGTTTCCTTTTAATTTCTTATTTTCAGATGATAAAAGCTACGGATGCGGTATTTGTAGAAAGTACAGTGTATATATAGAAAAGAAACGAATAGGGGGTGGGGACAACAAATATGACATCGATTTCTGTGTTCAATTCAATCCAGTTGGCTGCTTTGTATTACCCGATCTGTTCGTCACACCCCACATCTTTGATCCACGTGGGAAAATGCCTCAGGGGACAAAGGACCTTTCCTGCTGGGTGTGAGATTTACCCCCCAAGAGTTGGTGGAAGAGATCTAAATATGGGCAAAGCGAGATAAATCACTCGTGCAATCACGCAACGTCGAGAGATACCACTTAAAAGGGGTGGCATTAGATCTGCCCACTGGAGCTTTGCCGTATTTCCCGATCTGTGCCGCTCACCGGGCGTTATAAAGTCGCCTTTTGCGTTCCTTTTCCGCGGCACCATTTGCCAAGACAGAACAACATTCTTCTTCCCCCAACAAGATCCTTCTTCTTCTTCTTCTTCTTGAACGACTCTGTTCTTTAACATCCTCTGCTTCGACATCCGTTGTAAACCCATTTTCGAAATCGCGTTCCACTAACGTCGCCTTGAAGCACCATGCCAGGTATGTTCACAAGTCATATTCCTTTTCGTTTTCTTTCTTGGCATTTTCGGATATCGTCGCTGAACGACGGGGCCCTCTTTTTCTGCCACTTCCCCTTGCCTTCCTTTCGTTTTCTATATCCTTTCTTCGGCGGGGTATCTTCATCTTCACATTTGATCGATAAGTCTTGACTGGAGCGCATCGTTGCAAAGAACGGCTGAGGACTGGTGGTGACTGGACTCTGCTTGCTGCCCGCATTTTTCGTTTTCTTTTTTTCTGCCCCAACCCCTTCCCCGTCCCGTTGAATCCGTTGAGTCATTCGCCGCCGGGCCCATTTTGACCCTTTGTTTTCCCACCCTGTGACCACCTACCTGTAACATATTTGCCATCATGATGAATCTCGCAAGGCTGGTACCGCGGTCTCAATCATCGTTTCGTTCCCTAGCGGCGGTGAGGGATTTGCAAGGCTGCACTGGAAGCCTCCATCTTCCCTTAGCCCGAGCCCGCACCAACCCCGTTATCGGCCAATCTCAACGCCTTTCCCTCTCAACCTCTGCATCATTATCGTGCGACAAACACAATATGTCGCAAGCGGAGACTAATTATTCTCCAGACCGTTTCACCACTGCACTGCAGGCCAACAAGGAGTGGGCTGCTAGAACTGCCCTGGAAAATCCGGACCTGTTCCCCACGCTTGCCAATGGCCAGTCCCCCGAAATTCTTTGGATCGGTTGCTCCGATTCTCGATGCCCTGAGACGGTCGTTCTAGGCCTCAAGCCTGGTGATGTCTTTGTCCATCGGAATATCGCCAATATTTTGCATGCCGGCGATCTCAGCTCGGGTGCAGTCATCGAATATGCCGTCCGTCATCTGCGGGTCAACCACATCGTGCTCTCCGGCCACACCAAGTGTGGTGGTATCGCAGCAGCCCTCGGTAACAAGCAGCTCGGTATCCTCGATCCCTGGCTGTTGCCTCTGCGCCAGATTCGTGAGCAGAACCTTGCGCTGCTGCAGACATTGACACCGGAAGATGCGACCGTCAAGATGGCGGAGCTAAACGTCCGGGAGGGTGTCAAGCTTTTGAAGTCGAAGGGTGTAGTGCTTGAAGCGATGCAGCAGCGGGGTCTCCAGGTTCACGGGCTCATCTATGACGTCGCCTGTGGTATGCTCCGGGATATAGACACCAAGGACTCGGAGGAAGAGATCAAGAGGCGACTGGTGGCCTTCAAGACGGAGGCTTAGGGAAGGAACTCGGCGATAGGTCTGCTGTCATTTCTTTCGATGTTTTTTTTTTTGGCATTGTTTCCTTTCAGCGATCGTCCGGGTGTATTTGAGGTGTTTTGGGACGGGTATTCCTGTGGCTGTCTGAGCGATCTTAGCATTGTCTCAGTGACCATGCTGTAAATAGACCAGCACAGTGAATCTCATAGACGTCAAATTCGAAGCATTCATTTTCCACATTGAATCCGAACAAAGAGAATGAGAGCGAAAGAGATAGACGTAGGAATCACGTAAGTCTGGGGAGGGGGGGGGGGAACGGGGAACAGAAGTGTCACGTTGACTCGAAGAGAGGATGGGATGTAATTTAGGGAGGGGGGAAGGGAAATCGAGTAAAAGAGGGAGAGAGAGGGAGAGAGAAGAGGACGAGGGAAAGAGTCAGTCCGTCGTAGCCTCGTTTCACGTCTGCAATCCCAGCGGTTTGAGCGATTCCATTGCCTAATGGGGAAGCCAAGGGAACCTCGCGGATCCGCTTTGGAGCCCAATCCGGTATGGTCCCGGCCGAAGCGGAGATGCGTCGGTTGATGCCTGATTATCTGGTCCTGCATGGGATTTATGTACTAACTGTACTGTACTACTAGTACATACATTGTCAATGCATCACTGGCAGTCTTCAATGCTGGCGCATTATGTAGCGGCCTCGGTGGTTCTCCTGCATTGATCCTTCCAACGAATGTGCCTGAATCAACGGACGGAACCCCGGGAAGTTAGGGAGGGCCAACCGGTCCTCGGCTGGAAGTCTGCCTAATTAATGACTTCGGCTACTTCAACCATTCTAAGTCCTGCTCTGCTCAACTCGCAGCCGCTGATACAGTCCACCCAATAACTACACCCAGCTTCGCTGTCGTTTGTCTATTCGAAGACTTGGACTGGATGGATGCTAGTGTGATTCGTGCTGCCTTCGATTTTCTGGTGTACGTTTTGGCCATGACAACGTCCTCTTACCGGAAAGTTTCTGATACTCCAAGTCTGTCTAGTATTCTGCTGGAGGCTTTCCCATTCTGGATCCATTATCAGGACAAGAACAGCAGACCTACGCTTAGGTCTAATCAACTTTTGGGAAATGCCTCGCTCACTTCAATCGGCCTCGCGGTCTTTTTCCTGTTGGACATCGTTGAATGGGATGGAGTACTTTACCACCCTTGAGTATGTTCCCATCCCATGATGTACCTGATGTCCCGCGTCAAAATACAGACAATTGCAGTTGGGTCCGGCGTAGTTACTCTAATTGCACCAGTGCTCATGGCCACCACCAAAGTCGACGAGAACTTCTAGCTTGTGCCGTTCTGGGATATGCTCTTATCCCCTGCTAACCCCGACAGTACGGTATCCGTACCAATCCCTCAAAAAAATGTCTCTTGCAAGGAGTGACAATTGTCCCACCGGAATACTACCCGTCATAGTATCCAACCTTGTAATCTCCGACGCCCTCCCAGCAGGCATTCAAATCCCCACCGTGCCGGTAGCCCGGATATATGCACTCTTTCTCAGTCAGTTTACTTTAGATATCCTTATTGAACTTCGATTCATTCCCCTTTTCACGGACCTTGCGGGGCCTTTTATATTGCTTTGCTTAGCGTGTGTTTTTATATCGAAGCCAGATAGACCAGTGGAAGCCCCCTCTACATGGTGATGAGACATGCTCTAGATAAGAAACGAGAAGGGCGGGACATCTCGAAGCTATATACTTAGTGTTTATAGGAAGCTACCAAATACCGTATGCAGCATCGTCTTAAGCATCCAGTTGTCCCCATGCAAGAGAGAGAGATCAGACTCTGCAGCTCTATGGCATAGTATAACTATTGTATACACCAAAAGTGTATATAGTTCAGTCCAACCCTGATCAAGCCCCGGGAAGCCCACGTAGCCCTCGTCAAGAACCCAGCAAAACCACCGAGATCAACATGCTTATCATAACGAGGAAAGCAATAGCAACGGTGCCGACAACACTCCCCGACCTCGGGGAAGCGAACGTTACCGCGGGGGCCACAGGGTGTAATCGGTTATCTGTCGGCTTTCCCAGTCTATCGCTTCATACATTCGGCAGATGGAAAGAGTGGAGCCATTCTACCTCCCCCTTGTCTGGAAGTCGTTCTCTCGCGATAGCTTCATCTTTTTCCTTCCTAGTGTCCTATTTTCGGTATTCCTTCGGGTAGATCTGAATCGTTGCACATTAGTGAAAGGTGTGTTAAAAAAAAAAAAAAAAAAACGCTGCTTGTATAAAGGGAAGAAAGTGACCGGTGGATCCCCACAATGACGTGTGACGTGATGATTCCCGCCCGCTTTGTTTCGCATAGTTGAAAGAGATGCGGATGGTGACTGACAATTGACCATCACAGACGCTCCCTGGAAAGCAGAACATCATGGCCAGCGAAATGGAATACACTCGGTACGTCCACAGCATCTAGACAAGTAGACTGCTCAACCCCGTTAACAAAGATATGAGTCACCAGACTCGGAACCTCCGGTCTCAAGATCTCCAAGGTCATCCTCGGTGCCATGTCCTACGGCACCAAGGAATGGCAGGATTGGGTGCTAGATGAGAAGGAGGCCCTTCCCTTGATCGAGCATGCATACAAGCGTGGAATCAACACCTGGGACACAGTGCGTTAAACTCCACCCCGATCACGTAACGCATTCTGCACGACCAAAAAAGGGAAAATAAAAGAAAAGCGAAGCAATCATGACACTAATCCATGAAATCCTTCAATTGAAACACAGGCCGATGTCTACTCTCACGGTCGCTCCGAGGAAATCATCGGAAAGGCCCTGACAGAGTACAACATCCCGCGCAACCGCGTGGTCATCCTGACCAAGTGCTATTTTGGGGTGGACGACGGAGGCAAGCAACCTCCTATTTCCGCCGCAGGCGGAACGACGGCGACTGGGTCAACCGTGTTGGACTGTCCCGGAAGCACATCTTCGATGCGGTGGACGCCAGCGTGAGCAGACTGGGCACCTACATTGACGTGTTGCAGATCCACCGTCTAGACCGGGACACACCCCGGGAGGAGATCATGAGGGCGCTCAACGATGTGATTGAGAGCGGGAAGGTCAGATACATTGGGGCTAGTACTGTATGTATCTTTTTACACTTGTCCTTTGACTTATTGGGTTTCGATTACGCTATGCTAACTGCCCCCAGATGGCCGCGTGGGAGTTCCAAACGCTCCAAAACATCGCGGAACGAAACGGATGGCACAAGTTCATTTCCATGCAGAACTACCACAACCTCTTGGCTCGGGAAGAAGAGCGCGAGATGATCCCGTACTGTGTTGACTCCGGGGTGGGTCTGATCCCCTGGTCTCCCATGGCGCGTGGTGTGTTGGCACGGCCGTGGAATTCTCGCTCGACGACCCGTGAGTCCACCGATGCCGCGCTCAGGCTCCTGGTCCGGAGCCGAGAGTCCGAGGCCGACAAGGCGATCGTTGACCGAGTGGAGGAGCTTTCCAAGAAGAAGGGTGTCAGCATGGCGCAGGTGTCCATTGCTTGGTCCTTGAGTCACACCAATGAAAATCCCATCTTGGGGTTGAACAGCAAGGAACGCATTGATGAAGCTGTGGCTAGTGTCAAGGTCAAGTTGACCGATGAGGAGATCAAGTATTTGGAGGAACCATATATTCCTAAGGCTTTATCTGCTCTTGAGCGGTAAACTGAGAAAACAAAAAGAGAAAAGGGCAAAGAAAAGAAAATTGTACAGGGTATCTTTGTTCATAATTCATATCAGGATGTATCTAAGTCAATGATAAACCCAGCTACATCAGTGCAAGCGTTAAATGCGTGAGTATCCGATACTCTTAGGTACATGCAATCTGGAGACAACAAGATACTTTAATAAAAGGCCTTATATCTCAAGTGTATTTACCACTGATTGTTGATCTTTTTATATACAAATCCTGTTTGGTCGAGAACGAAGGGCACAGTCACTCCTGATCATCAAGGATCACAGTGCTGCGAAGAGGTGAGAGTATTGCGTAAAGACAGTAACCACGGAGACCCCGTATGCAAATTGATTTTTTGAGCTATCCCGAAAATCCCATCATAGCACCTGGCCACCGGGAATAAAAAGGTATTCAAAAGGGAACCCCAAAGGGGAACCCGCTTCACCTCTGCTAGAGGGAGCGTAGAATCGAATTAGGTGTCACGTAACCGTATGAGACATGGTTCCACCAGCCATTAGAGAAGCACCGGGCTTCATTAGTGGTGCTTTCGAGTCAGGAAGTCGAAAATATTGCTCAGCCGGCGTCGGCATCTCCTTGTGGAGCTGCTTCGGCCCAGCTGTTTAGCATTTAGATCGGATGGTTCAAGTTGGTGTAGTGGATGGCTATCGTTACCTCGCGGGCGATCCAATGGCGGGTCTGGGGCTGCCGACTGTGTTGTGGACTCTCCATTACTTTGTTCCACTGGGCTGTTTCCGTTCTGGTCCAGTTCGCGAGGACTTGAACGCAAACTATGTCTTTTAGGTCGGCCAATGGTCCCAGAAGCACGCCGGTTGGTTCGCTCCATGAAAGCTGCGCCTGTTGAATTCGAGCGCTTGGTCAGACTACCATATGCTATGGACCGGTCTGACGGCGCGTTTGGCTGGGGTGATGAGCCATTTGGCACCGATGTGCGGTTCCTCGAGCCATTCGATACCAGTCCTTCCGAGCGATTATCCCTTCCAGCGGGTATCGGATCATTCTCGGTTCTAACTGCAGATGGAGATGGCTGTCGAGATGGGGAAAGCGCTGCGTTGAACGTCACGGCTGAATCGTCATAAGTGAAACTATGCGACCAGCCTTCTCTGAACGCCACCCAAATACTGGTGATGATGATCAACGTCCGGAGATCATCGTCCGTCTCAATGACCTTCTTGTCCAAGGAGGCGTCCATTTCAGAATCATCGCTGATCACAGACATCGTAGATGTCGGCGACAGAGGATGTCCAGATGCCGTGGGCATGGCGTACTCATCAAATATCTCCAGGTGATTTCGAGCCATAGTCGCGATGACAGGATGACGGCGGGTGTTGGGGTTGATGACGCTGAAAGTAAATCGTTTCGTGTCCGCCTGGGGCGTAGTTCCAGGGGGCGCAGAGATGCGGCGATTCCGTGCTCCGCGAAGTACCCATCGCAGGATCTGAATACCATCTTCGGTGTTGGCCACAAACTCGTAGGATCCATTGGGAAGAGGGGTCGCTTCCCACACCGGCCCGTAGTTGAGACAAATCTCCGCCTTCCCTTTTGACAACGCATCCTCCTTGAGAAGTTGGCAAATTGTTGCGACGACTTCACGCTGTTCACTGTATTCCTCGTCCGAGCTGAGATACTTATCAGCAATATCCCCACCGGACCGTTCATAAAGATCGCTGGTCACGATGATCAAATCATTTGGACCCAATCCCTTCTTGCCTCGAAAAATCGTAGGGAACTTGCGCGATAATCTAGGTAAAAAGACGGTCGACGGTAATACATCCAGGACAGGCAAAGGGCGTGGAGTTTGTGATACTCGCTGGAGCTGCAGAAGAAGCTTGGGTCGGAGCCTCAATCGCTTATGACGTGCATGGGATGCGGGGTGAGCTAATTGGTAGATTGTCTTAGGCCGCGACGATTGTTTCCTAAATGCCTGCGGGCGGGCGTTCCGGGGTTGACTGAGGACTGTCCCTGCCGCCGAGTACTCTCCATCGCTCGAAACCACCGACGCCACTGGGCTCGCAGACATTGCCCGCGGAGGTCCCTTATGTGGTCGCTCTATCTCCGAGCCCTTATACCGGCCGTAAAAACTCCCCAAGCCCATTGTCGGCAATGTTGCAAATGAAACCGTCGGCGGGGAGGAATGACGATTTAAACTCCCCGAAAGCTGCGACTCCGGTTGAGGACCAGCGTCGTTCTCGTGAGCCGCTGCTGCATGTGCTGTCAGGCCCAAATTAAACAGCATTATTATTTCATGAAATGCGAAACCCTCTCTGACCGTCCATCAAGACGAGCATTGACAGATCGACAAACAACAGTGGACCGAAACCCAGTGATATCACACGGCGATCGTGGCGCCTCACGCTGATGATCACTTGTTCCCAAGCTATATAGGTAGTGGGGGATGACACGCGAAGGTTATGTCCGTCAGTAAATAAAGGGAACGCAGTTGTAAGGAGAGGATCAGTGAGAATTCAGGTGTGACCTGCACAGCAATTGTTCTGGAGAATTGTTTAAGAGACGGGCGAGGCTGAAGAGGAGGAAGAATAGGGAGGTGCAGATGGGCGCACGACTGTATTGTTGTACAATGGAAAGTACGTAGGTATCGTAATGTGCAACGCAACTGTCGGAACAAGCGAATATGCAAGGGAGAACATGCAAGGGAGGGACGTGTAAGTAAGGGCAGAATGTTTAAATTGGATGAACTATTGAAGTTGGAACCATGCGGGTGACCGAAGCCTTAATACTCAGGTATGTGGACTGTATGTAACAAAGAGAACGAGTGGATGCAGTTAAAATGAAGGGTAAGAAAAAAAGAAATTTCAAGAAAGATCGGGTTGCACGTCAGATGGATGGGTCAATATAGCGGTCAAGTAATACGATCAATCAAATCAGAAAATAGAGGGGATTATGAAAGCAGGGCAAGAAAAAGAAGAGAAAAAGAAAATCCAATAAATCAAATCAAAAGCACTGAGTCAGTGGCCCACTTCCTGAGATGGGAAATAATAATCATCATCATCACATATTCACACACCTCGGTGATAGTTCCATGGAAGCTCCGCAGAGCGAGCTGTTGTGCTTTGCAGATATGTACCGTAAGTACTACTCCTAGTACAAGACGAGAGGATCGAATAGTATTTACTACTAAAACCCGACGAATGCTGGATTTGCATGAAAACAAGTCCCCACCTAGCGGAACTTACCTTTGAGGGGGCGATCCATGGAAATTTCGTCTTAAAGACGCCGAGATGGCAACTAATTCGCAGTCATGCCCCAAACCAGTCTAGACGGCGATCTTCGGGACTAGACAACGCCCGAGGCTCCAGTACCGCTAGTAATGATTTATCACCATCCGGGAACGCCGTGGTACTGGGTGCTCCGTAACTTTCGGTTCTCCCACCCTCCGTCATCAACCATCCAATTATGCTTTTCCAATTTTGGGCTTCTCTTTAGTAGTAACCATTTTCAGTTGTCCATCAGGTGCCAAGTTTGAAAGAAGCGTTACCCTATAAGGCACGAGGACAACTCACCCCTCAAAGAAACATTTTTCACGACTGTATTCCGTTGTATTCCTCCATCTACCATCTGTCTCATACTTCTTCTCTCTCGGACCTCAGTCATCACTTATCCTACCGCTTACTAACCCTATACTAGTACCTACTAAACTACTAGTGACTACTACTACTACTACTACATACTCTCGCCTTCCGTACTCCGAACGCCAACAGTCACGTACAGTGCAAACGGAGGTCCGAGCCTCCGATACGTTGCCGGCCAATCTGTCCTGTCCATGGATAAGGCTCTTGGCCCGGGCCAGGCAACCCATATCCAGGCAACCCATATCCAACGTGGACCGAACCCATCCACTCCCAAGCCAAAACTAATTATTCAGAGCTCCATTACTACTAGGACCTACCTACTAGTAGTAACTGGTTAAGGCATGGGGTCTTTCTCTTCCCATCCATCAGCTGCACCGTCTCTGATCCTCTGAAAATTCTGCCCCTGTACGAGATTGATAATGCTCTGGAACCTTCTTCCTTCCGTAGTTCATGATTCTATACTTAGAGTCCAAGGGCACTTTCAAACCACGGGTTCTTCGTTACCTGAGGTACTTTTTGGCCTTGGCATTATTACGGTCCATTATACAGAACGTAGTACTGTACGGAGTAGACAGAAAAAGAGGGCCCATAGTTATCTGGATGGAAACACCACCCCACCAGCGGGGTGGTGCGCCCATTTGTTCTGTCTCTTCCCCTCTTTCCTTACATAGATGATTATTTCAGGCGAAGAATAATCAGAGCGGTTACCATAAGCATAACTTATCTATCCTCATGTGACAGCCCTACGGTTATGGTGCAGAATATACTCCACAAGGCGGCAGGGATTGTACGCATACGATCATATAGTGATCATCATAAGATGCTATCGCCACCGACAAGAAATTGTCTAGGCCCATCCGGGGGGTTTTTATTGGAAAATACCAAGACTTGACAGCGACATCAGACATCTCTATAAGTTTACTGTAGTGTGTACAATGGTACAATGGTACATGTACTGTACATACAACCTATTGCGACTGTGTAGTTATTGTGGAGTGTCACATCCCGAGCGCGTGACCCGAAACGGGGCCTGCAAACGTAGCCTCCTAGATTCAGGGAAATTAATCTTTGTTCTTTATGGGACTAGTAGATTGGAGTTGCGTGTGTTCAAAACTCCATCCCGCTAAAAGGAAATCTCTGATCGATTCCATGTGGAATATATTACTTACTCTTTCCACTAGTTCCTCGGAATCGGACCGCCATCCTCGGACTCGGACTCGTAATCAAGCCGGAGGAAATATTTGAATATGGTCATATCGCCCAGAGGAGATCTCCCAAGAGCTATGATGCAACTTAAAATAGAGTGCTACTCTGTTGGCCAACTAGGGGTTTATGAAGAACTATCCTATTCTCATCAGTACCGAATGGTTCCTCTCCGTCTACCTTAAGTTATTTTCCATAAAAAGAAGGAACATAAAAGAAGATAAAAGACGATGATGGAAGGAAAGTACACAATCCTCCGTGGTGTAGTGAGATCCGTCCGTCAGCGGACTGGGCTTTTCGTAGGGCTGAATCGACCGCGGGTTGATCCCAAGGGTAGGGTTGGTGACATGTTCAATCACTTTCCAGAAATTCTCGGTGGGATGGAACATCCACCCTTTGGTAGGTAAAGTTACACCTCGGATGTTCATGACATAATATTGTAGCCTAGTATATCTATGCCATGGATAAAGGACAAGTAGTGATACTTGACTTGTTCAGGTGGCCATTCTTCCAGCTCAGTCATGAGTTCCAAAGAAGGTGACATCGACACATCCGTTTTAGTTACTTCCCTCTAGACTTCAGCCCATCAGATTTAAGCGTGAGCCGTCATTGTGGCGACTGCAAGGATTTCAACTAGTTTAACTATTTTCGTTTATCTGTTACGTTAACCTGTCGGTCCAAGTTATGCATCGGGATGCTGAATAAGGCATCGCTTAAGTTATGCTCCTCTGCCGAAAAATCCGAATCCCCACTTGCCGTTCGACTTCCAACATCATCAGTTAAACTACGTGACTGGGACCAGTTCAGCAAGTGTGCCTCGGTCAGTGATAACGGTTCTTATCATTTTTAATATTCTTTTTTTCTTAACAAATTTTGCGCCGGTGGACCCTTGGTTCGGGAATCCAAAAAACCCCTCATAGATATCTATACATGGCATGAGGTGGAAGAAACGGGTCTAACCTAATCCTGGACTACCTCAATATCAAATCCCCTAGGGATCTTGTAAGGGATGGCTGCCAGGCTGGCCTTAGCCCCCCCGGGGCTCTTGAATCCCAACAATCCCATTAGGAGTCTATCTCTAGCGTTCTGGTTATGGAAAGCTCTTCTGTTTCTGGTTATCATTGGTTGCCCGGGGCCTGGTTATGATACTTCCACAGGGCTGCTTCCTTTCCAGGAATCCGCCGCTTCTGACGCCAGAGGGGAAGTCATTAGGCATGCGCCCTTCTCGTTTCCTCTAAAGCTTGTCAGATGGGATTCAATATACTTTGTGCATATTGTGCGGGATGGCTATGTCTTTGAACAAGAATGGGCATTTGGCTATGGTTACACTAGAATCCTCTCCTTTCTAACATCTGGTATATACGTTTCTGCATGCCCTGGGGTAGATGGCTGCTAATAGTAGGCAAAGTTCTTCCTCAACTCTGTGGCCTGGACGGTGTTGCCAAAATCGCACTGGTTGCAAGTGCCCTCTCTCATATTGCCCATTACTTATCGATGTTGGCCATATACGGACTATCCATCAATATCTTTGGCCATGGCACCACCTCAGGAAGGTTAGTCAGCTTTCTTGCTGCTGCCTTACACATTATCTGCCCTGCGGGGGCATTTCTCTCTGCACCCTACGGAGAATCATTATTCTCCTTTCTCAACATTACTGGGTATTATCTATATGCATCGTCCCTACTTGATGCTAACACTGGTAAGCGGGCATCCAGTGATGCGAAAATGTTGCTCGCGGCTGCGTTGTTCTCAATAGCTACAGCAGTCCGCAGCAATGGGATCCTTAGCGGAGCCTTATTTGCGTACGACGCGCTGCTACAGTTGCACAAGATTATCTTCCAAGGTATATCCGGGGGGAATGTGCTTCGCCTAGGTGTCATTGTGGTCAGTGGCTGTGTAGTGGCCTTGGGGCTCATTGTACCACAGTGGATTGCGTACACAGCATTCTGCATGTCTGGCGAACCTTTGCGACCGTGGTGTGAACAGCTCATACCTAGTATATATGGCTGGGTTCAGGTTCATTATTGGTCAGTGGCTAACACACCATGATCTAGGAGCAATCAATTACTGACACTCTCTACAGGAACGTAGGGTTCCTACGGTACTGGACATTTTCCAACCTGCCGCTTTTTATCCTGGCCTTTCCTATGTTATTCTTGCTGTGTCGCTCCTCTATCTGGGCGTTAAACATGGCATGGCTATCAGATACAGCAACTCCAGTGCTGACACGGCTTGCGGTGCCCAATGGTCTACTTGCTGTGATGGCTTTTACTAGCTATCACGTTCAGATCATCAATCGGATATCCTCTGGGTATCCGCTCTGGTATTGGTACCTTATATATCAGACATTCGGCCAGGCTGTGGATTCTAGTAGCGTTGCCAAGCGCAGCCAAACTTTCACGATTGCTATACAAGGTATAGTGATGTATGCCATTGTTCAGGCGGTTCTTTTTGGATCCTTCCTGCCACCGGCTTAGGATTTGTCGATACCGCAAAGGTCTTGTCATTAAAAGATGAGTTAATAGTAAGATCTTAATATATAATATTCAACTCTACCCCCGTTGCTTATATGTGAAGATTTCATGCTCAAGTGAGATAGAACAAAAGTTACAAGCATTGGATATAAATGTTGTTCTCACGGAAGACTTCCCGTTTTGGGTAGACAGACGGAAAGAGCTTAGTGTCAAGGGTTAGGCTGCGGTGCAGTTACGTGGAATTATGTCATCAGAAACTTAACTCACTGAGCGATAATACCTCTTTCTACCTTCTTCCAACTGCTACACTTGGGCTTAAAAACTGAATGATTCTTCACACTGCCAGAGCTGTATTTTATTGCGACACGGACAGCACATACTCCTCCTCACCGCTCCCTCTACAGCATATGTCCTCATCGGAGGACTTTCCCCATCATTCGTACTAGCTTCTGAACGTTCCAAAGCTTCTATTGCTGTACCCGGTCGTCCTACTAGCCAAGACCCTTCCTGTTGCCCATGCGAACAGAATTGGCAGTAGGTCACTCTTTGTCATCGATCTTCGCAGCTGGACATTGGGCTACAATCTTCATGTCCAATGTAAGTCCATACCGCTAAAGGCCCATTTACGCGCTGTTGCTATTGATGTCCTCGAACGAAAGTAGTTAACATTGAGTCTTCTAGAGCTCTTCCAAACCTCTCTCATTCCCAACACCTGCACCGCAGTGATCATCGATCCTATTGGATGACGATGGATCAATCAGCCGCGAAGGCCATTTTAACATCAGAAAATTTCCATAATGCGCACGAAGTATCGCGAGCCACCTCACCGGGGGGTGAGCCTGCAGGGATGAACGGGAATGACGAACCCAAGGCACGAGTCCGCCCTCGCACCTATCCGTATTTCAAATATCTACCATATCCGCTCGAAAATGAAACCGAGAGGGAACGGAGTCTGCGGGAGATACTGACCCAGCTCTATGTTGCTGTAGAGGCGGGTGATTTCAGTCCTGGTGCCGTGCACTGGACCAGGGAGCTTAGAGGATGGCTGTCGCTCAAGTTTGATCCGTCCCGTACGGACCGGATCAACCTGGTGAGGCTATATTATGAGCTTTCTCTCGCCCCGGGCATCGATCCAAATGTTTCAGAGCGATTTGCTAGCATGTTTATGTTCCTCACTAAGTAAGCTAGACCCGCCATGACTGCTGTTGTTCATCATGGTACTGACATCGGCACAGACGCAAGCATTATCTGAGGCCCGTTAAGGACCTGACTCTAGACTGGAAGCCTCTTTACAGGGAATTAAAGGCTTTTGTGTTACCTACAGAGTCGGGCTTGGTGCATTCTACGAATTTGAAGAGAAATGTCAAGACACTGACGAAGCTCTGTGCGTTCGTCCAGCTGTACATTGACCCGTGTGAGCTGCCAGCTATGCTGGAAGAGTTTCTTCCTCATTATACCACGTCCTTTTCGGAGGGTGCGTTCGTCGTAGTTGGGTTGATAAACCTATTACTCCCGACGTCACCTCCGCCCGAGACCAGGGAAGACCTACTGCCACATCATTACTTGCCGACGTACTTTCACCTTTGGGCCTTAGTCAGTCGGTCAAAAACATTCGATACCACCTTCCTTGACTACCTCTCGAGGCTGGCTCGTGATTCATTGCCTGCCCAGCAGATACCATTCTCCGAATTTGGTCTTTTCACAAAGGAACAGTCGTCCCTCATCTTCACGGCTATCCTGAGATTGTTGGAGATTCCTGTGGGACAATCCACCTCTCCTTACAGTGCACTGGTGGATATCTCGTCTGGACTAGGCATTATGCTTGACCGAGATACCAGGAAGCATCCAGTAGCACATCACATCGCTCGATGGGTCGTGATGTCGCTCTCTCCCGCATGCCTCGACGCTGAAGAGTCTATTCTGACACAGCTAGAGGGCCTTATACAGGCAGTGGAAACTTTCTTCCATCCATCCAACTCTGGCAGTTGGACAAAAACCTTGTCACAACTCGTCTACTACCTCGCCGACTTCTTCATTATGCGATGGAATCGAGAGCAAAGCGGGGAGATGGAAGTCCCGGCAGAACGAAGATTGACAGAGCCTCTGAAGCGTCGCTTTGTACTCTGTCTCCGTGATGTCATATTCATGGGTATCTATGCTAAAAGCGGTACGGCAATGAGCTTCTCATTGTCTACGCTACAAAGTTTGGCCTTCCTGGAGCCACATCTCATCCTTCCCGGAGCTTTGCAACGCATATATCCATCCCTTCAAGGCTTAGTAGAAGTTCACCGCACGACGTCATCGCTCCGCGCCCTTCAAGTTCTTTCACGAATCATTTCAAGGACGAAGGGATACCGCTGTCACATGACAACTCTACTGGGACTTGCGCTGCCCGGTGTCGATGCCAATGACCTTGAGAAATCTCTGCATGCTTTGTCATTCATCCAGTCTGCTTGCTATAACATACCATTAGCCGACCTAACGCAAGGGAGGGAAGACGTAAACTGTAACATGCTGGCGATGCAATGGATTTCGGGTGAAATGGAGCGTATGGAAGAAGAGGGCGTTGAGGTGCAGCTCAATTATGATCGGGATCTGGATGATGAAACTGAGGAAATGATCCTCCGTTCTTCAACCTGTGGCTTCGGTGACTTCATCATATCGTTTCTTGGGCGAGTCTTTACTCTCCTGGAGAATCTACCAGACGTGAGCAGGGTACGCAACGGCTCTCCCGAGGAGAACATTGTGAATACCCTACCTGCCACATTCATGCCGCTTCTGTCATCCCTCTCGCCCGAGTATTACGATATTGCCTTGTCGAAGGTTGTAGACTTCGTGTCCAATCACGTTATTCATCAAGCGCGAGATGCGATGGCCTTTATCTGTAACTCGGTTTGCAAGGTCAACCCAGAAAAAGCTCTGAAGCGCTTTATTCCAGTGCTGATACAGGCTATCCGTACTGAGATCGACGACAATGGCGCTGGCTCCACCAGGACTACTGGAACGGATGTCCTCCCCCGAGACCGTGGCTTGGTTTGGAATGTCAGTATGCTGAGCATGTGTGTTGTTCATGTCGGCGATGCTGTGCTAGCTCACAGGAAAGAGCTCTTCGACATTGCGGTGTATATGCAACAGAAATGTAGGGGCATACCGACTGTTCATATCTCGAACTTTGTGCATCACCTTCTCTTAAACCTTACGGGCACTTATACTGCGGACTACTCCTTATATGAGCCCAATGTCGCTGCTCAGGGTGTACAACCTGAGCTTTGGAGCTATCAGCCAGATCCCAATAATTTAACCGTAAAATGGCATGTGCCAAAACGTGAAGAACTCGAGTTTGCCGTCGAGCTATTCAAGAGCCAGGCTGAGTCTGCCCTAAAACAATTGACCGATCTCACCAATGAGACATCCAGTGTCAAACGAGATGGAAGTGGCAAAGCGTGGTCGGATGACGTTACTAGGAACCTGGTTCTACTACGACTTATCATTTCTGGTATCTCTGTGCTATTTGATCCAAAGGCTGCGTCGCAGACGAAAGCCAATGGAGTAAATGGGTCGTCCAAATCATTGGCCGATATTGATATGGTAGATGGTGAACATGGCTCCCAGGATGAAGATCCCGATTCATTACTTGACAGCTCGGATGAAGCTACAGTTAGAGAATCATTCTTCTACCCTACCGGCTATCCACTAAAGGAGACCGATTCGATGTACACTACTATCCATGACATCCGGGAGAGAGCAGGTTGGGTTCTTCATGAGGTGCATAGGTTCTTGTCGGACAAGCAAGAGGATGATGTGCCTTGCTTCAGCGCTCTGTACTCAGCTTATCGGTCATGGTTTGTGGACGTTGGCATTGAAAGATCTGCCCATGTCCTTGACAGGGTCACGCGTCTCCTCGCCGCAGACATTCATCCCTACAAAATGAGTGGCATCCGCAAAGACTACCCTCGTCCGTTGTTGGTTCGCAGAGCCAATGTCTACCATTTACAGCGCCTGAGGCACAATGCAGCCCCTCGGCGGCGGTCTCAACTAGACGAGATCCTGCTCTTGGATATCGCAGAATCATGCGTCTCCCTCTATACCGAGACTCGGCGCAATGCTCAAAGTGCAGGGGAGTCTGCTCTTAAGGCTGTGTGGGGGGCTCGCCTTCTTGTTATCCCACCCCTAATGAAGGCTCTGCAGAAAGGCATCAAAGAAAACGACCACGCCCGGATCAAAGGTGCATTGTTTTCGTTACTCCTAAGCAGCGTCGCGAAGACCGTAGGCCGCCATTGGAAGTACGCCCCAACCTTGGTAAGAACTTTCATCGACGCAAGCGCAGTCGACAAACCTTCCGTACAAAGAATCTGCTCGGGCGCGGTTTATCAAATCATGGACTATGGCCGCGCTATGGAAAGGATGGCTATTCTTGATCGGAATATCGTTGAGGCGATCGCTCCGAAAAAGGATGTTCAGGATGAGATCCAGCATAAGCGCAAGAATATCAACAGCAAGCGAGCCATCATTGAAAAGAAGAAAGCTGACCTGGCTGAAGAACTGGTAAATTTGGCCAGAGTATCGCATTGGAAAGTTGCCAGCCGAGCAGCCACCATCGTGATCACCATGGGTCTTAGATTTGATTACGTTGCAAGTGAGAACCTAATAGACCTTGTAACTCAAGGGTCTATCGATGACCATCCGGGATTGCGCGGCATGTATTCCCAAGCTCTCATCGCCTTGTTCACCATGGTAGATGTTAGGGCTATTTGCAACCATGACTACAAGAATTACATCCTGGGCCATCAACACTTCCCTTCTAAGATCAATGTGGCTACCAAGCGACACAAAAATGGCTGGACAAAGGAGTATCTGTCGAGCTTTGCCAAACCGGAGGCTGAGTACTATGTTGACCATGACTTCCCGGGATGGCTTGTGTGGGCCGAAAGCATGCCTGCGTACAAGTCGAACGTTGAGCGCGACATCGAGTATGACGAAACTGAGTGGAAAGTACGGGCTAACATGGGGAAACTGTTCGATCGAGCTTGGTTCAACAAGTTTTTCATGTACTTGAAGCAAGAGCCACGGGACCCTACTGCTGACAAGTTCCGCATGCCCTGCGCAATGATGCTTCTGTACGCCTTCGAATTAATGCTCCGGGATGGATTGACCGCTGCTAAATTCAAGGACATTCAAGAAGAAATCGAGGCTGTTTTTGAAGACGGTAGCGATAAACATCAACACAGAGCTACTGCGGAGATCCTCGGTGCTCTTATAAGCTCTGTTGCCGATACAAGCGTGGAGAAACGGACATTGGTTTGGGAATACGCTTTCCCGATTGTGCGTAAAATCTTTACTGATGGACTAACTCCGGAAAACTCCGGATACTGGACGACGTTCCTTCATATGATCCTTCAATGTCGTGACCCACGAAGAGCGTGGCCCCTGGTCGATTGGCTTGCGAGCTTTCGGCTAGATATGTCGACAAATGCTGCTTTCAAGGAAAGCTCCAAGATCAATCTGCTGCATCAAGCCATCATAGATGCAGGGTGGCATTTCCAACTTGAAAAGCCCATCGTTAGAGATTTTCTGGCGCACCTTGATCATCCATACAAGGGCGTCCGCGAGGCGATGGGCCAAACGATTGCAACCATCTATCGCACACGGTATCATGAATCATACGCCGATGTTAAGACCCTCCTTGCGGCACAGGAGGCTGCGTCATCAGTGGGCACATATCCATATCAGCCCACCGAAGAATTCACCAAAATGATACATGATATCTTCACTGACATTGAGAAGTGGCGGCGCGAGAGGATCCCAGGTCAGCAGACGCCGTCATCTTATACTTCAGGATGCAAGACAGTGCTTCTCTGGCTGGACTCCACTCTTTCGTCGTATGAGTGCACGCAGTTGGTTCCCTTCTTCCCAGACGTGTTCACAGGACAACTGCTACACATGATGGATGTAAAGGAAGATCCAGAGCTCCAATCATTGGCCTATCATGTTTTCCGACATTTGCCCAACATCCCGTACCCCGCCGAGCAGAACTCTGGGTTCATCCAGTCCCTCATTCACATAGGACAGACGTCACCCTCATGGCATCAGCGTCTGCGAGTTATGATCAACATTCAAATCATTTACTTCCGCCGTCTATTCCTGCTTTCCGTCGCTGATAGAGACAAGCTTTTTGAGTGTGTGGCGAACATGTTAGAAGACCCTCAGCACGAAGTGAGGGCTGGGGCATCAGCTACCTTGTCTGGCATGATTCGTTGCTCACCCGTATTTTTGCGCGAAGAGATGGTTAGCCGGTTCAAGCAGCGATTTTCGAAAATACTGATCGACAATCCTCTCCCAAAACGCCCCAAAATCCTTCGGTCCGGCTTGTCAACCCCAGTTTCATCTGGGGCTGGCACTCCAACACCTGAGCATGCTCGACTCATAATCACGAGACACGGTGCAGTTTTAGGTCTTGGTGCGCTAATCCAAGCATTCCCGTACAATAGTCCGCCGCCCACGTGGATGCCTGAAGCCCTGGCTACATTGAGCGTTCGGGCTGCAAACGACCCAGGCGTTGTGGGCTCGAGTGTCAAATCTATAATTAGCGAGTTCAAAAAGACCAGACAAGATACTTGGCATATTGATGCGAAGGTGGGTAGTGATTCATCGTCGAGAGAGAATGATCGTTTGTAAGCTAACATTTTGTGTAGGCATTCACTCCCGATCAGCTCGAAGACCTCTCTGGTGTGCTTTGGAAGAGTTACTTCGCTTAGATTAAGAGGGGCAATACAGACATGTATCTATGACTCGTACAAGTCATACACCACTTTTAGCAAGCTACAACGTATTGGTTGTTCAGTATGTGGCAGTATGAGAATTGGGAATTATTAGAGCATTCGGTATGAATAATGGTGGATTTGGTGGAGGGATAATTCTTCTTAGATTGTTGTTGGATGTGAAAGTTTTAGGTGGCCTTCTTGAATTGAAGGCACATATACCACAGTACACAGCGATATTCACTTCAAAAGCATTTTATGGCATCTATCGCTGCTTAGCAGACTATTCTTCATACATAACTACTACATCTGGGATAGACAGGTGATTAGTTAAGCATCATCCTCCCGTAATCACGTGTCACAACAGCCACGCGGCTCTTCCGCAACCAAAGCTCACCGTCAGCGCTTCTCCTCAACTGCGTCGGCGCCCATCTCTGGCATCTTTATCATTATTTAACTATTGTCGTGCGTACGCCACTGTGGGACTGTTGCGCAGTCTTTGTACCTGTGGTGAACGGAACCTGCTCCAGGCAGCCTCTTCACCATGGCTCCGAAGGATACCTTCTTCCGTTCGTCGGATATGAGCTTGACCCAGCTCTATATCGCCAATGAAATCGGACGAGAAGTTGTCAGTGCCTTGGGAGAACTCGGTCAGGTTCAGTTTAGAGATGTGAGTGGATAATCGAAAACCGGAACAAGCAGCACGACAGTAACCTGGGCTGACATTGATTGGCTTGCAAATAGCTTAACCCTGACACTAATGCTTTTCAACGTACCTTTACCAAAGAGATCCGTCGCCTGGATAATGTGGAAAGGCAGCTGCGTATGGCAACCCATATGGAATAATATGTTCTCAAGGCCGGAAAGCAACTGACGTTATTTTGTCCTCTACAGGATATTTCCATTCCCAGATGGACAAGGCAGGGATCCCAATGCGGTCTTCATCCGAATTCACCGATACATTAGCTGCACCCTTGGCTTCAGAGATTGATGAGCTTGCCGAACGGAGCGAGAGCTTAGAACAGCGGATTGCCTCACTCAACGATAGTTATGAGACTCTCAAGAAGCGTGAGGTGGAGCTCACGGAATGGCGTTGGGTTTTGAGGGAAGCTGGTGGATTCTTCGATCGCGCCCACACTCATACGGAAGAAATACGACAATCATTTGACAACGATGAAGCTCCTCTCCTTCGTGATGTCGAACAGCAGTCCCACCGGGGTCAGAACGGCGAGGCCCAGGGTCAACAATCCTTCCTCGAGATGAATATCGGGTTTGTCGCAGGTGTCATTCCACGTGACCGTATTGGTGCCTTTGAGCGTATTCTTTGGCGAACTCTGCGTGGTAACTTGTACATGAATCAGTCAGAGATTCCCGAGGCTATCATTGACCCGACGACCAACGAGGAGTCTCACAAGAATGTGTTTGTTATTTTCGCCCACGGAAAGAACATCATCGCGAAAATCAGGAAAATATCCGAATCTCTTGGTGCTTCACTGTACGGTGTTGACGAGAACAGTGAGCTGAGACGCGATCAGATTCATGAAGTAAATACACGCTTGAGTGATGTGGATAACGTCTTGCGCAATACTAAGAATACGCTCGATGCGGAACTTACACAGATTGCCCGCTCGCTTGCGGCCTGGATGATCATCGTCAGGAAGGAAAAAGCTGTCTATGACACACTCAACAGATTCTCCTACGATCAAGCGAGAAAAACGCTAATTGCGGAGGCCTGGTGTCCAACAAACTCGCTGCCGTTGATCAAGTCGACGTTGCAGGATGTGAACGACCGTGCTGGCTTGAGTGTGCCTACTATTGTTAATCAGATCCGGACTAACAAGACACCCCCTACCTATATGCGGACAAACAAGTTCACGGAGGCTTTCCAGACCATTGTCAATGCGTATGGTATCCCGAAATACTCAGAGGCCAACCCTGGATTGTACACAATCGTCACCTTCCCATTCCTGTTTGCCGTCATGTTTGGCGATTTCGGTCACGGTGCTCTCATGACTATGTGTGCTGCTGCAATGATTTTCTGGGAGAGGAAGCTTCAGAAGACCAAGTTAGATGAACTGACGTATATGGCATTCTATGGCCGATATATTATGCTGATGATGGGTCTTTTCTCCATGTACACTGGTCTTATTTACAATGATATCTTCTCCAAGTCGTTCACGGTTTTCTCAAGTCAATGGAAGTGGCCTGAGATCACCCATACAGGCCAGGCAGTTGAGGCTTCCCTGAAGGGCGACTATCGTTTTCCCTTTGGACTTGACTGGAATTGGCATGAGGCTGAAAACTCTCTACTGTTTACGAACAGTTTGAAGATGAAAATGAGTATCCTGCTGGGCTGGTCTCACGTAAGTCCTTCCATTCAATGGATTGTTGTTCACTGCAGAAACTAACCAATTTACAGATGACCTATGCTCTTTGCTTGCAGTATGTCAACGCTCGCCACTTCAAGTCTAAGGTTGATATCATTGGCAACTTCCTCCCGGGAATGATTTTCTTCCAGTCTATTTTTGGGTACCTTGTCCTTACTGTCATCTATAAGTGGTCGGTTGACTGGCCAGCCAGGGGCCAGTCACCCCCAGGGTTGCTGAATATGCTCATTTTCATGTTTCTCTCTCCTGGTACAGTTGAGGAGGAACTCTACCCAGGCCAAGGCTCTGTTCAGATGATCCTATTGCTTCTTGCCGTCGCGCAAGTACCTGTCATGCTCCTCTTCAAGCCATTCTACCTCCGCTGGGAGCATAACCGTGCCCGTGCTCATGGATACAGAGGCCTTGGGGAACAGTCAAGAGTCAGTGCGCTTGAAGACGATGGCGATATGGATGGAGGACTTACTGGGGGCCACGACAGCATGGTCAGCGAGAGCGAGGGGGTAGCTATGATTGCCCAAGACCTTGGAGAGGAAGAGCACGAAGAATTCGACTTCTCTGAGATTATGATCCATCAGGTCATTCATACCATTGAATTCTGTTTGAATTGTATTTCTCACACTGCGTCTTACCTGCGTCTGTGGGCTCTTTCTCTGGCCCATCAACAGCTTTCGATCGTTTTGTGGACTATGACTCTTGGCGGTGCCTTCGAGCAGGAGTCTCCCACCCTTCGTGTGATTATGATTGTCGTCTCCTTCTACTTGTGGTTCACTCTGACAATCGCCATTCTCTGTGTCATGGAGGGAACTAGCGCCATGCTCCATTCGCTTCGTCTACACTGGGTCGAGGCTATGAGCAAGCATTTCATGGGCGAGGGTATACCATTTGCTCCGTTCAGTTTCAAGGCGCTCCTTGAGGAGGATCCCGTTGATTAATCTGGGCGTCCTGATCCGTTCTTTTCCTTCCTTTCATTTTGGATTATATGTACTCTAGTTCCCTATGGGAATCAATTAAACTCTAGACACCAATTGGCTTGTCTATATCTAACCTCGCCTTTGCTCCCTCGCTCCTAAACCCTTAGTGCATTCATATACCTGAAAACTGTTGCAATTCTACTCGATTTAAGTTTGCCTGTCTCGTTGGACTTCTATGTAGACAGTGTCAGCATGTTCTCTCTTGATTAAACATTGGCTGTACTAGAATATATATCCAACTAGTACTCCGTACTGTGCTATTCAACTGGTAGTGATTTAGGGAGTAGAACCAGGGACATTGAAACCCATTGTGAAAACATCATGGAAGTTGCGTCCGAGTTACGATTTGGGGCTAGATATATATCCACCCTATAAGGCTGTATCTGGCATTGGCAAGTAGAATATAAGGCGATTCGATCAGGGAAATCAACCCGAGAAGAACTGCGCTGTTATATAAATTTTCAAATGTTTATTTCAATATTTATTTAGTTCAGGACGCTTTTCATACATTAAATACCCATGACCATCTTCATTAAATACCGTCCCGTGGCGAAATCACCAGAACTCCCACGGGTATAAGCTGGCCACATACGGGCCAATAAATTCAACTCATTTCTTGTACTTGTTATAAGTGTCGATGATCTTCTGCACCTCGTCCTTCGAGCCGAGGAACACACCACTCTTGTCGTGGATGTGCTCAGGGACAACGCTTAGAAGGCGCTCCGTGCGAGAGTTCACAGCAAGACCACCGGCGTTCTCAAATATCATAGCCATGGGCGAGCACTCGTACAAAATACGCAGCTTACCCTTGGGAGCCTTCTTGTCGGCCGGGTAAGCGAAGACACCACCGTAGAGCAGTGTCCGGTAAGCATCGGCCACCATACTACCGATGTAACGAGCACTGTAAGGCTTCTCGCCCTCGGGGGGAAACTTCAGTGAGTGGAAGTAAGCGTTGGTCCACTCGTCCCAGTAGCTGCTATTACCCTCGTTGACGGAGTAGATGGCGCGCTTGGTGGGGATGGTCATGTTGGGGTGGGTGAGGATGAATTCGCCCAGAGAGTTCTCTAGGGTGAAGCCGTTGACGCCACCATCGCGCATGGTGATGACGAGCTGGGCGGAGGCACCGTACATGGTAAAGCCGGAGGCGACCATCTCGGTACCGGGGAGGAGAATGTCCTTGGGGGAGACCTTGTTCTCGGGACCCAGGACGGAGTCGGGCAGCTTGAAAATGCCGAAAATAGTTCCTACCGAGACGCCAGCGTCCAGGTTGGAGGATCCATCAATGGGGTCGCAGACGACTGCGTAGCGGGCGTAGGGGTGCTCGTCGAAGATGATGGCTTCTTCTTCTTCTTCCGAGACAAGGATGCGACATTTACCTGAGCCGCGCATGGCGGAGATGAAGATGTCGTTCCCGATTACGTCGAGCTTCTTCTGGTCATCGCCTGTGGTGTTTGAGGAACCTGCCAGTCCGGTCAGGTTGATTAAGGATGCACGACGGATGTAGTAGGCGATAGACTTGAAGGAGAATTGAAGAGCGTGGTAGAGGAGTCTAGAGGGGTGGTTATAAACGGTTAGTTCCTCTTTCCTTCAGCGTTGATTCTACTGGGACTATGGGCTTGAGCGTACGTGAAGTCACCAGTGGCTTCTGGCACCTTGGTTTGTTCTTCCGTCAAAAACCTTGTGAGGGTGACGATGTTTGTGTTGATGTTCTCCTGTCCCACAGGGGGCGCACCGTTGTTCTCGTGTCCGGACATGGTTGGTGATGTTGATTTGGGATTCTTGAGCACAGAGGGGGGATATGCGCAGATGGTTCAGGAGGGGAGATCAAGTTGGTTCTGGGGTGCAATGGACCGGTTTAAAGTAATGCGCAACCTCGGTTCAACGGAGAAAGCAGGAAGACTAGGGCACCAATGGACGTGAGGTGATAATGGTCGGGTGTAGGATTCAAGTACGTAAGTCAGTCAGAGATTAGGTCGGTCGATACAAACTGGAAGACTGGAAGAGCAGACAGAGGAAGTATAAATAGTATAGACAGTATAAATAGTATCATGAAGGATCTGTATGATCATCGTGCACAGGGTCATAGGAGCAATAATATTTTGCCGGTGGAGACCATGTTTGAGTAAGGAGAACGTCAGTCCAGATCATGGACAATACGGGCTCCATTGACGCAATGCGGTACGAACGGAGACTCAGTACTGTGTTACTGCGTAGTCCTGGTTTTCGTCATCGTCTCCCCGCAGTCCCCGCCGCTCTTGTCTCTCCCGGCTTTTCCCTGTTTTTATTTTTGTCCGCCTCCGATTCCCCCCGCAGTCAAGAACCGGTCCGTACGGAAACTAGAATGGGTTCGATGGATATGATATCAATGGTTTTCATACTTGTCGGCAATTGGGAGGGTAACTCATCCCCATGGATGTAACCGATACCAAGGTCCGATCTCTTATCAGCGACCCAATGTGCTTTGAAACCATATTACAGTCAATAGTGTTCTGTATTGCCTAAAGAAATGCCGCTTCAAACAGATAGCTCTGGTCTGCGCTATCGTTCTCGCGCAAATTAAACCTATAGCCGGAAGTGGATATCTCCTGGTCAGCAGACGCGATAATTTTTGATCGCCCACGTCAAACTATTATTGAACTATTCGAGTCTCGGCCGTTCTGTGAAGCAATCCTCTGCTCCTTGTTCGGGTTTCTTTCCTCCGTCGATCGCACCCTTTTTCAGGTCAGCTGACTGGATGTCGCTTACCTAAGCCATTACCTACTCACATCCCGTGACTCTTTCCAATCTAACCGGATTAGGCCTCGGTAAAATTAGCTCCGGTGGGAGCGCAGCTTGAAAAAGTTCGACACGCTTTTTCTTTTTTCTTTTTCCTTTTAGAAACTTCACTTTCCAACACAAACAGCAACAGCAGCAAAAACAACAATCCTGGTTGATGGTTGTTCACCTGAAATGGTTGGGCTGCAACATCCATCAGACTTGGTATAACCAAACAAATATAATTGCTCAATGATTTCATATGCTCATCCTGGGCGTGAACTAATCACTAGCAACTTGCATCGCAGGATACTCACTTTGGTAAGTCTACTCAATCTGACTTGTTCTACTCTTATCTTCTTCCACATCTTCCATCATGATGTAACCTACAACCATTTACAAACTAGAGTCTTTGACCTACTTGGCATGAAAACTCGGTTTTGCACGTCAGTCTGATCTGCTTGCAAAGAAAGCTTTCTGCTCACTTCCATTTCAGTATAAAAGCACATTGCTGACTTTGTGTCCCACAGGACTAACAATTGTATGGCATGCGAAAAGCAGTGGGGTTGATCTTCATTTGCACTAATGGTACGTACTGGCTTTTTCTTTTTTTTTTTTTCCCCCTATCACATTGTCTAGCATGATGCTTCACAACAACATATACGCTGGAAATTACCGACTGAGACCTTCGGGTCGTTGGCGATAACTCTTATGGCACATTTCTGATCTGCTACCTCATCTTGATTCGTTTGATCTCATTCTCACGTGTTTGATTGCATGCTGACGATCAAAAAAAGTTCAGTAGGTGGCCAGTAATGCAGAGTTGAGTGCTATGGCTCCAGGGTCCATATTCTAGATGGTAAGACTCGACCGTTCTATCTCCCTCCCACCTCTTCGAAGATGAAACGGCACTGGGCTCCGACGGCGTCCGACAGACGACCGGTTGTGATGGATATGCCCTTTTTGCGGCAGGCCTAGAAAACCTCGCCCACTGAGATCACACAATTATACAAATATGTTGATCCTACAAGACTTGAGCCTGGGGCTAATGGTCATGGATAGTGTCACATAAGCTATGTATAATATATAAAAACTCTTAGCTAAAAGGTAAATATCAACTTATCTCATAACTCCCAAGCCTCACATGATGATCTCCTTAGATGACGAGTCTTATTCGAGTTATCGATGCTGACACCATCTTTTTTTTACCATTCATGCATTTCTGACACACACACCTTCGGAATAAATTCTAATGGAGTTTCCGTGAACGTTGCTGACCCTTTTGCCATCTACAGACAGTCAAGACCTTCTCTAGCATACCGGACCTCTGGTCTGGTGGCTCGCAGGAGGCCAGTTACTTGTATGTAGGCATCTTGCCCCGACTCTAGTTGTTTTCGACATCATGATGAATCGACATTAAAACAAATGACAAGCATATGTCCAAGTCAGCATTGCTGGCCAGGACGACAACTGTCAGGACTGATCAGTCAATAATTTGTCTTCGTCTGTCACAGCCTTGAAGCAATCGAAGCTGATTGTATGCCCAGATTTTGTAGATCGCATACAAGAACACCTCGCCTTGGCCAACGAATGTTGGCAGGGCATGAATCAATTGATGTAAGTTGAATCTGCTTTTCCTCGAGTCGCCCTCCTGCCTTGATATCCTGTACAATGATGATTTTTATTTTATTTTAATCACGACGGTCAACATAATCAAATACATTGATGACCACCGCCTGTGACAGGGCATTTAATCTGAAATACCATCCATCCGTTTGATTTGTCAGATTTCAGCAATTGCTTGTTCCAGCGCTGACTCTGACTTTAGTGGCTTGTATGTATAGCGTGGTGCGGGTTTGCAAGAAAGGTCATTTCGCCATTCAAGCTTTCTTAGTTCATTGGATTGACCCAAGTGAAAGAGCGTTTCGCTGGTTCGGCACATCCATACGGTCGTGACAAAGTTTACCATATGCAGTAGTTGAAGTTTAGAAATACTCAATGAACAAGATCTGTTTTTTCAATACTCGATTGTTGTCTTTCCGTGTAAGCACTGATGAGCCATGTTAAAGTACCATGGATCCCAATTTACTTGAAGATATAAACCTTTTCTTTGGCGCATCCTTTCCCCCTGGAGTCCGTTCTGGCCCTGGGACTAAACTCGATCGTCTAGGATGTTTCAAACGCCTGCAAGCTTGGTTCTAAATACAGGATCAATCTAATAAGATGTGATGAGGGCTCTGGTTTGCCAGGGCGGTATGGGAAAGCCGGGGTATTCGACCAGTAAGCGTCCGCACATCCCGTGCCCTAAGCGCCAACAAGACGCCGGCTGTGATGAACTCCCCAGGCTGCAGCTCACTAACCATATCCATGCCCTTCTCGTGTCTGAAGAGTCTTGTCTCTTCCAAATTCCACCTGGGTGGCCCCAGACGCCCAAGTCTTGGGTGTGTTATTTTTATCTCAGGTGGATCCGTCGCGTTATCCCCGTCAAAACGCCCGATTTGTCTTGCGAGATGCAGGCGGGTTGGCCTACGGAACATGTTGCAAAGACTGGAAATTCGCCTTTCTCTCTGCCCTTCTCGTTGACTTGTCGCGTCTGGTAGGCTCGGGCCTTCCTTTTGCTCCTCTTCCTAATCTTATTGCTGCGCACGGCTTTTAGCCATGGCTTCACGTCCGGTTGGCTCTTAATTTCTTCGGCAGTATGAATAGGTGCGCGGGCCCCTCATGCCCACGACTGTCCCTCTTCCCTTGAAGTGATCTGCCGTCAGCGTCTCACATTACTGATTGCGATTTCCAAGTAGCTGGTGGCCTGCAAATAGCGTTGGCGACGAGCCGCCGTCCTGGCCAACACCTCATGCCAGTACTAGCAATCAGCCATCTCCCAGCCGTCGAGAACATGTTCTGCAACCGCCACCTTTGACAACGACTCTAAATGGTCCTCAGTTTCATGGACTAGGTGTCGCGCTCGGTGGAAACTACTCGTCGACCCCTCTGTCCACGACCTCCTTATCAAGCCCGTTTACGCAAGGCCAGTCTCCTGCAACTAATAACCCGGGAGGCGTAGGAGTCGGGTCATCATTGATGGCTGCCAGACAGTATAATGTCCCTTACAACCCCCAGGATTGGGGGCCGGTGGGCGGTTCAGGGCAATCCACTTATCCTCAAACGAATAGCATGACTCGAATCATTTCACAGTCGCGGCAAACTGGGTCTCATACAGGTCTGTTGAGCCCATTTCTTTACCTTCCATGTTTCAATTTCATTTTTTGCTTCCCCCTCTCTGCTTCTCTTCTGAATCATTTTATGTCACCACGGATACTTGTATCTTTATCTAAACCTCAAAAGGTATTTTATCAAGACACGCTTAACATGTTGTGTGTAGATGCTTCCCTTTCGCCTCCACCGCCGCCATACTCGCCACCAAGCCAGCCCCAGCAGCAACATCATGCGCGAGATAATGCCAACCATAATACACCAGGCAGAGGCTCAGCATCTCCAGGGGCGGTATCTTCGTATAATGGAGTAATGCATGGCAATACTGATACACCCGCGGAGTATCGACAGCGTCCCATTCCTCGCACCCGTCCGCTGTCTATGGTTCATATGGGCGACACAGGGCAAAATAGACATGTATCACTTCCACCACCTCCACCGTTATCACAAGGAGTGTCATCTTCCAGATCATCGTCCCAACATAGAGCTGATGTGTATCAAGAACAAAATTCACTGAACGCAGGATCAAGGCCCTATATTATGGTTTCTCAACAGGACAATCTACATCCGTCTCAGTCGAATAATTATAATTATATGGCGGCCACTACCCAACAGGATGACGTCACGCGGCCACCAACCTCCAGGCGAGCCGTTTCTGCAGGCCCCGTTGTGAATAGCGCTGGTACGTCCCGGGCTGCAAGCCAGTCTCGGAGTAGCTCACCCCAAGGACGTGGGTGGGAGCCTGGTATGCCTCTTCCACCACCACCCCCAGGCCCTCCTCCTACTACAAGGTCGCAGAGTGTCAGTGGCCTGTCCGATATAACGTCTTTGCGACACTCGCAGGTTCAGCCCAGGAGTAACAGAACTCGACCGCCTCCAGTGCTGGGAACTGGCCTGGACAGTATTCCCCCGACTCCAGCTGGCTGGGTGGACGAAGGGCCCGCAGTGACCAAGCAAAGAGACCAAGCACCCCTAGTTATTGACACGGCGAACATCACGGGGTCCCATGTTGGAGCCGATGGATCTAGAACTCATGCCCCCCAAAACTCCACCAGCAATGGCCTGTTTCGCAGCCCGGCTCTTCGAGACCCAAACGCTAAGGGAATCCGGGAGAGGCGAATCGAGCGCAGGAACCGACAGAGCCAAGTTTTTGAGGACTTCAGCGCAGTATCGACCAACAGTAACCCGTGGGCCGATGCCTTGGACCACGTAAAGCCATCGAATCTAGTACTTGAGGACACGAATGTTATTTCTGATAGTACACGGAACCAAACATCTACAAGAGCCACCCCCAAGAGTAGTCATAGCTTGGGGTCTGATGGACAACATGTCACCTCACGTCCTAGAGCCTCATCTACTGGACTGTTTTCAAATCGATCATCTTTTTCTACTCCAAGAGGCGAGCCCAGCCCCGTTGGGCCGACCCGAGGATTTGCACATACTCCACCATTCTCCCCGGGTGGTGAAAAATCATCAGGATACTCCAAGACGGCCTCGCAGGCTTTGCCCCCAAGAGCCCTTCCGACTCCCCCGTTGCAACATGGGCAAGACACACGGCCACCCTCTCGACCTAGTTCGAGAGAGGACCGGCCGGTCTCTCATTTGTTACACTTGCCGAATGATGCTCTGCCTGCGGTCTCAACATTAGCCCCTCGTCGAGTCCCATCACAGAAAGGTCCCTCTTTGGATTCTGTCGTCAACCAGGATATGGAATTTGTTCAGAGCGCTATACAAAGACACAAGACCTTTATAGACAGGGAGGCAGACGCTACAGATGAAGTGGATGCTCTGAGAATATTTACGGAATTTATTATATCTGAGTCCCAGATCAGGCGTGAGAGATATGCTAAACTATGGGACTCCGGCTCATTGGATATCGAAACTGTGCGCCATAGGCTATTTGAAAAACCTCCAAAGCCACAGGCTTCGCCTGCATCGCTCTCTAGACGGCCATCAAGGGGTGCTCCGAGGCTCGATATACCCCAATCACGTCCCGAATCTGCTTGGTGGAACAACTATCAACCTTGCTTGTCACCAATAGCGAGTCTTAGTATGAGTAATGATGGAATGAGCTCCCGAGGCCGTGCACCGAGTCGTTGGTGGGAATCAAAATCAAGCAGCGAGGGAGGCGAACGAAGAATTGAGCTTTCAAAGCGTGAATCTAAATATATGGGATTGCCTCGCGAATCTCTTCAGTGGTCCCAAGGACGAGATCCTGCACAAGGCAGAGATATGAGTTATGCATCTGAATCGACAGACCAATATGCAGCTTACGGACTAGATGAATACCCGCCTGAGAAGGTGGGGTGGCACGAGGAGCCAGCCTCGTCGGATTATTCAAGTACGGTTGGGCATAATAACTACGGGTATACTAAGGAACCTCACAAAATGGATGTGTCGAGGCTGATTACCCTGCCACCACCTTACCCTCGGCACCATCCGGCCGTCAACAATAGCCACCCAGATCTTGTCAACTATCGTACTCTAGTTCGATCGATTAGTGATCTTTCTGTTGTAAAATCCACCAGAGAACGGCATCAATCGGAGATCAAGAGCCTGAAGCAAAACCATCAAGAGAGGATGCAGGACAGCCGTCGATGTTTTAAGGCCAATATCCAGAGCCAGATCGAACAGGGCAGCATTAGTTTTGCAGAAGCCGCGGAGGCGGAGGCCGCGCTGATTATGGAAGAGAGTAAGCTTGCGAGGGAGTTGGCAAAACAAGAGCTGGATGGCTACCAAGAATCAGTGCTAAAGCCAATGCATACAATTCTCACTGAACGAATCAACAAGGCCACTGCTTCCATTGATGAGTTACAGAGCAAGTTGTTCGATGACGCTCGGAATGAGACTCCCGACCAGACCCAGGAGGAAGGCGATGAAAAGCCTGAACTATTAGAGAAACTCACGCAGCTCAAATGGCTATTTGAAGCTCGAGAGCAATTACATCGCGAAACATACGACCTAGTCAGTGACCGAGATGAAAAGTACAAGGCAGTGGTCATACTCCCTTATAAGCAGAACGCAAACGAGGAGAAAGTGCGGGAAACAAGCAGCTTCTTTGCTAAAGATGCCTTGAACCGCCGCGTTAACCACGAGGAGAGCGCACTGGCTCGGCTTGAATCCTTTTTGAATGTGGTTGAAGAGAACGTGGTTCGAGGAGTCGAGATACAGCTGTCCGCCTTCTGGGACATCGCACCGTCTCTTCTCACTCTGGTCCAGCGGGTTCCAGTGAGCCTTGTCGGTTTTCAGGTCCAGATACCTACCAATGAGTATGAGGAAAATCCAAGTTACCAGAATCATCCGTTGCAATATCTCTACACTCTTCTTTCACATGCGGAAAAGTCTAGCTACCAATATATCGAATCGCAGACCAACCTTTTTTGCCTCTTACACGAGGTTAAGTCGGCTGTCATGAGAGCAAATTGCAAGCTTATGGTAGCTGAACGGGTGCGATTGGGAGAGGACGAAGACCATGTACGGCGAGAAATGCAAGAGTCCCGCGCGGACGAGGAGCGGTCTTTGACACATGATCTAAAAGATAAGGTCGCTACAGTGGAGGGGCAATGGACCGAGGCCCTGGGAAGTGCTATACAAGGCTTACGAGAGCGTGTGAAGGAACAGCTTATGGATGAAGCTGGATGGGAGGAGCTGGAACAATTGCAGGAGTGATGAACGTTGGATGAATTGTGTGTGATGACCATACGACCTTGATGAGCCTTTGCTCCCGTCTTTGATTTGATTTGCTTTATGTTGTTTTGTTGAAGATACCCAAATTATTCGTTCGCTACTGAGTTGATCAAATACATAAACATTGAACTACGTACGGAGTACTATGTATGTACTAACTACTAGTAGTTGCTATGCAACTTCTTAGGGTTGCTTACCAATTTTATGCATTCCGCCCACTCGCTCAAGACTAGCTCCCACGTGACCATGGTTACCTTCTAGAGCTTTCCTTCCGAATCCCTTTTTTCTCTTTCGCCTTCAACTTCGGTTGAGGGGATACACTGTATTATTTAAGTAAACTCTGGTTCCCCCCAACTCCACCGCGGTACTTCCCTTCCTCTTGTTCCCTTCTCTACCGCATTGGACCTGGTTGATCTACTTTTTGCAGCGTCTTTGATTTGAGACGTCTTGTCGTAAAACTGTGAGTACCCCAACTTCTCTTTTCTTCATCCCCTCCCCACCAATGCAGACTTTTCCCCCCAACCCACAAAACCTCATCCAACTGCCCCGCCGTTGGATATGGTCTGCCCCTCGATGATGAGATTATATAGCTGGCACCAGTCAGAGAAAAGATGGATTTCGATTCATCTTTTGTGTTGATTAGCTCCCGGTCCGGGGACGCTACCCGTGATCACTGAGAAATATCTTATGCACCTCGTCTTGTATGCATCAATTGATTCCTCAGACTAGATATACTGACTTGGATCTTGCAGAACCTAGCATTGGAACAGTCTTAAAGGAAAGGCCTCCCATCCATCCATTCGGGGTTGGGTGTCTTTTGTCAACACTGCAATAGAGAAGATTTTTTTTTTTTATCTTTACATCAAGACCCACTAGCAGTTCATAATAAATTTATTTAAAATACCAACATCATGGTTCTGCACAACCCCAACAACTGGCACTGGGTGAATAAGGATGCCTCCGGATGGGCCAAGGATTACCTGAAGGAGAAGCTCTGTGTGCTTTCCGCCGAAGACAATGGTGTCACCGCCAAGATCTCCAACCTCCTGTCTATGGATGGCGACGTAGACGTCAGCCAGAGAAAAGGCAAGGTCATCACCTTGTTCGATGTCAAAGTACAGTTAGAGTATGAAGGTTCGTGAACGTATTGTGTGCTTCCCTTGTCCGGGGCACAACTAAATTTCCTGGACAGGTAAGACCAAGGACGAGGAGTCTGTTAGCGGTACTATCACCATCCCCGAGGTTGCCCACGACACAGAGGAAGACGAGTATGTTGTATGTTCCCTTTCTCCCTCTCCGAGACGGCCAACTGGGGATGGTAGTGCTGACACCTCCGGTCTGGTGTAGTTTGAGATTGACATCTACTCTGAATCCTCTTCCAAGCAGCCGGTGAAGGACCTCGTGCGGTCGAAGCTTCTGCCTCAACTCAGACAGGAGTTGGCTAAACTTGCACCCTCCCTGATCACCGAGCATGGCAAGGATATCCAGCATGCCCCCGGTGAGAACCCATCTAAGGGTTTCACCGCCCCAGCCTATCATCCGCAGACTAAAAAGGACACTCCTGCCCCCAAGACGACCACTACTACTACCGGCAGCAAGGTTGCTGTCAACACTACTACCGTGGTTGCCTCGGACGAGTTCCGCACCACCGCCGAGGAATTGTACAACACCTTTACAGACCCCCAGCGCATTGCCGCTTTCACCCGCGGAGCGCCTCGTCAATTTGAAGGTGCCCAGGTTGGCGGAAAGTTCGCCATCTTTGATGGCAACGTCACCGGAGAATATACTAAGCTGGAGAAGCCGACTCAGATCGTGCAGAAGTGGCGATTGGCCCAGTGGCCCGAGGGCCACTTCAGCTCCCTTGAGATCAACTTTGACCAGAACGATGTCGACGGTGTCACCCAAATGCGTGTATCTTGGACTGGAGTCCCAGTTGGCCAGGAGGATGTCACCAAGCAGAACTGGGAAATGTACTATGTTCGCAGTATCAAGCAGACTTTTGGGTATGTTCCCCCTCCGTGCATTGTTTCGTAGCCAAATCTTCCTTACCATGGCTCCCAGTTCTCGTTTCCACTTCTGGAGGCAATTGCTGATCTCGCTCTTCGTACTTCTTTTTGCTATAGGTTTGGCACTATCCTCTAATCTCGTGCGCCCGTCTTTGGAAGCTTGACGATTCGAACGCCGATTTGGGGTGTACAGATGACCTGATGCTGTCTGCGATGAACGCGTCCTGTAGAGGCTGGCGTGTCAATGTTTTGGATCGACTGAATAGCGTTCTTGGAAAGCAGACACTCTGTACCTCACATCTGTGCCTTTTGTGATACACCTTCCCCTCTTGCATCTGAGGGTATGGTTCGACGATTCCACGATAGAATTCCATGATTAGATCAATGTAAAACGAATCAATAACGAAAACCCACAGTTGAGTACACACTATATCGATAATCACACTTATTTACGATAAATCAAGTTTTCCTTAACCCTGTTGAATATTTCTCTAACCATTTATAAACATTTTAGATCGTTAAAAACAGTTCATTCGTATAAACAGCGAGTTTACAAAGTCTTTTCAATCATCTCAATGCCGTACTCCTCCTTGAGAGTCTTAATTAGGGGAGCACAGATGTCCCAGGTCATGGGAGCAATAACACCCTAAGAACAAATCGTTAGTTAAGCCTTCATCTCACGCGGGCACACAGCTGGGATTTAAATAAAGAACGTACTTTCTTGTTGATAGTGCCATCAAGCACCAGCTGGACAGCAACACCACAGGGAACACCGACAGTCTTAGCCATAGCAGAGTAACCACCGATCACACCATACTCGCACATGGTGCTAGTGCGTGTCTCCTTGGAGCCATCCTTGTGCTCGATCTCGAACTTGTGCTGCAGCATAACCATGTCACGTTCTTCGGGACCGTACTGCATCTTCTTCTCGAGAGTGGCACAGAGGGTATCGAGAGGGTTACCGCGGGGGATGATCTGCTCATCAGAGAAGATGCCGATCCAGCGGAGACCCGCGATAAGGCGGTTGCGCTCCTCGTTGTTCGCGAAGGAGGTCTTGGAGGCGATGGCCCATTCGAGGTCCTTCTCGGTAGCCGTCGTAGCGCCCAGGATCTGCTTGGTGGCGTCCTTCCAGGCGATGGGGGAGTTGAGGAAGCCGGCGGGCTCGTCGCTCAGGAAGCCGATGTCGACCAACACCTTGATCATCTCAGGGAAGCCCTGGTAGCGAAGAGTACCACGGACGATGGTCTGGGCTTCGGGAATGTTGTAGCGCTCGCTGTAGGGAGTCGAGTCACGGTTGGGGTACGCAACAAAGGCAAAGCCAGGGTAGATGTAGTAGGGCTTGGCGGTAGCCATGAGGTCGGGACCGGCGACGCTGACTTCCTGACCGTCCTTGTAGAACTTGGCGGCATTACGGAGAGCAAGAAGGACACCACGGCTGGACCAGGAGAACTTGTAGCCCAGAGGGTTGTTGGAGCACTCAGGAGCGGGGAGGCCACCACAGTAGGAGAGGAAGGAGGTGATCTTACCACCCTCCTTGTGGACCTGTTGTTCCAATGTTTTAGCAGTAGTTCTATGGAATCCCCTGATAGTATATTCAAATGAAACTTACCTCGTCAATAGTCTTGACGGCATACAAGTGGTCAATACCCTAATTGCAAGTTAGTCAAGTCTGTGAGCTAATGCATAAATGTCCCCCGTCCGAGAGTACGTACAGGATCCAAGCCAATCTCGTTCATGACTGTGATACCGGCCTTCTTGCACTCCTCGTCCAACTCAAGCATTGCGGGAGAGACGTAAGAAGTAGTAACAACATGCTTCTTAGTACGGATAGCGGACTTGATAACAAGGGCATGGAAAGTGTAAGGGATCAAGGAGATAGCAAGGTCGACCTGCTCGAGAGCCTTGTCGAGAGCGTTGGCATCGTTGACATCCAAGGCAATGGCTGTGGTGTTCTTGAAGCCCTCAGCGAGCTTTTGGGCGCTTTCGAGGGTACGGCACGCTATAATGCAGTATCGAAACCAGATAATTAGAGATCATATAACTTTTAAGGTGTCGGTTGGGGCTTGATCAGAGAGGATGGTGTGCCAAGGTCTCCCATCCGCCGATGCGACAGTTGGGTAATGATGAAGATCTAGAGAGGAGAGAGGTCCGAGTGAATGGAAGCGTCAATGGTACATACCGACAGTGACGTGAACATTGGCCTTGCTCAGAACCTCAACGGTGGGCTTGGTAACTAAGATTCAGTTAGTCATTGAGCTCAATGCGGGGCTCCTCATAGTTCGGGAATCATAGATATATGAAAGGAGGCCAATGCGATGGGAGACTGACCGAAACCCGAGCCCAGAAGGAGAACCTTGGAACCAGCGACCTGACCAGGCATTGTGACAATTGGAGGGAGGAATATGAGTAGTATGTGTCAAACGACTGAGAAGGAAAAGAAAGAGTCAGTTATCTTGTTGGTCTTCCCCGCCGGCAGTTGTGTGATGACTCAGTCACGTGGGTCCACCTGGGGACGGGCGGTATCGGAGGTGTGGATTATCATATTAACTAAAAGTATGTGCTTATCGCATTAGAGTGATGTGGATTGGCTCTATCTTTATATTATGTATGTATGCGCTTCCCCAGAAGAAAATGCAGCGGTGGGTAATGAATGACAAAAACTTGAGACATGGATATCAGTCTAACAATCAGTACCAAAGGAGCGAACTCCAAACTCCGTATGTTCCAATGCTTCCCGGGCCTGGATTCCCCAGGCCAGGGGTGATACAGTTGGTGCTTTACAAGTCCTTGACCTTTGTACTTGGGCTCAAGACTTGGTCGCTCAAACCGTTTTCAGATGATCCGGCAGCGTCGCCATCGAAGTCGCCTTCCGCATCCGGATTCTTCCTCGACTTCGAAACCCTTCTTTGCCACCCCAGCAGAACTGGCAGGAAGTGCCATAGATCGAATTCAGGCCAAAGAACGTCCAGAAAAACA